TGGTTGAACAGCAAATGACACAGTATTCACTGACCTGTCTTCCGTTGCTCTGCTTGCCTTTTGTCGTGGCTGATGAGATGCACGTTCATTACTCGCGACACGCCCCTGCTACACCACGGGCTGGGCGTTCGTCCTGGGCATTCTTGGTCAAAGTCAAGCTCAAGTCGAGGTCAAGGCAAGGTCAAATCAAGCCGACACTCTGAGGGGCTGTTACCCGATGGTGCTGGTCTAGCACCTTACACCTATTCATACCACTTCACATTTTGCGCGATAGTATATGGCGACACAGCGCACGACAACACCACCCGTGGCAATAGCGCGACATTGGCGACGCGGTGTAGTGCGACCACACCGCTTCGCAGCACGTGACATCACCTTACAGTACATTAGTTGGACTAATTAGGTAACAGTCCGGGTTTGTCTTGCGTCCTGCTGCGCGCTGGACCAAGTTCACAGCATCGATCCTAACCCCTTCCTTAAAAGGCTCGCATCGTGTGAGAGCGTGAGTGGAAACGAATGAATAGGTGGATGGATCAACGATTGACTGATGGACTGATGGACTGTCGGATTGTGGTATGCCAGTGACTTGACACCGACTACATACCACCACCGCCAATCGTGACATGAAAAACTCCGTCGGCATTACGCTGCTTCTAATGGCCCTTTCTAACCCGTAGAATGTATCCTTGATCATCTCCCCCAAAGCAAACAAGCAAAGGAAGGCAACGAGACGCTTAGATGCCGTTTGCACCATCCAAGCCCTCGGCTGGGGGGGTTTTCTCGTTCTCCATGCCCTTCATGTTAGGCGACTTTGTGGAACGCTTAAAGTAAGAAGAGACCTCGGAGTGGAAGTCGTCGTCGTCGGCGAAATGGTCGTCGTGCTGCTGCTCCTTCTCCTGCATCTTGGCCTGCATGCGCTCCTCCCACTCGCCGCGCATCTCCTCGATGCGCTGCTTAAAGTCGAGCTCCGGGTCGTAGGGCTTGCCGACGCCGCGCATGCGCTCCCACAGGGAGAGATGCTTCGGGTGGATGGCGATGCCGTGGTAGTCCTTCTCGCGGCCGGCGCGGATGTAGGCCCACCGGCGCTCTTGCTCCTTGAGATCGAGGCCCGTGGTGTCGGGCATCCAGATGACGTTGAGGATCACACCCGCAAGACCGAACCAGGGGACGACCCAGAATTTCGTCTGGGTGGACCAGTAGCTGTAGCCGACGGCAGCCGTCAAGGCGCCCAGTTTGCCGACAGCCGCCGAGAAGCCGTGGGCCGTGGCACGCACGGCGACGGGGTAGACCTCGGCCGCGGCCAAGAAAGTGACGCAGTTGGGGCCGAACTGCTGGAAGAACGACGACAGGAAGTACATGGCCTGGAACTCCTTGATGTGTTCCTTGGACGTGTAGTAGCCGAGCTGGGTGCCGGGGATGATGAAGAAGATAAAGTCCATCAGGAATCCCAGGGACTGCATGTGCTTGCGGCCGTAGAGTTTGTTGTCAACCAGGAAGCTGGCCAGGTAGTACCCGCACAGGGAGACACCGACGTTGATGAGATTGTACAGCCAGGCCGGCATGATGGAGCTGCTCGTGGGCATGATGACGTGGATGAACTCGCTCTGGAAGAGCTTGTTGCCGTAGAAGAAGACGTCGTTCATGTACCACGTGCCAGCCGTGGCGAGGATCCGGCCACCGAAGTAGTAGAAGGTCAACCTGAGGGACTCGACGTCGTACCCGGTGACGGCGTTCTTCTTCTTCGCAAGACGAAGTTGTCGATTGGCGCTGGCCTTGACCTTGAAGGTACGGAAGTAGATGAGCCAGGCGGTGCCGACGGCAGGGATGGCAAACGACACTCGGTACGTGTATTGAGCGGCGATCTTGGAGTACGGGGCGTTTCCGCTGCCGTGGTGGAAGATCAAGAGCAGAAGGATGAGGATGACTTGGTTGAAGAATTGACCCCAACCCTGCATCAAGAAGGCACTGACGACTTTACGACCGCGGTGAAGTCGATCTTCACGCGTCGAGACCTTGCCGGACCCGACGGCGTTCTCCATACCCGAGGTGGCAGTCATTGGGTATTCACCGCCGACACCGATGCCGTAGAAGAACAGGGACCACGCGTAGCAAATGACCCAGCCGTTTTGGGTAACACCCCAGGCGCACACGAGCATGATGAGACCGATGAACATGATCGTGGCATCTTGGATGAGACCCCAACGACGCCCGATCCAGTCGCCAATGAAGCCGACGAGGATTTGACCGACAATGATACCGCAGATTTCGAGGTAGTCGATGGCGTTAACCCAGGTCTTGTCGCAGATCGTGTTGGACTTCCAGCAGTCGGGAAAAGCAGCTTGAAATAGAGGCTTGATGTTGCCGATCGAGAACAGGACGTAACCTTCCAGCCCGAGGCCGGCACCGGGCAGGACCATGTTGCGAAAATAGAAGCCGATCGGAGCGAGGGGATCGTTTTTGAACATCTGCCAGAAGGCGGCAAACTCTCTCCTCGTCTCCTGTCTGTCGACTTTGCTGACAAACTTGACCCGTTTCATGATGGGAAGGTCGGCCCAGTACACGCCGTTTTCGTCGTACATGTCGTCGGGCTTCAGCAGATACTTGAAGACCTCCTTTTCATTCGCAGTCATGTCGATGTGGGGATCCTCGAATGGCGGGTGGCCGCCTGAGACATCGGGGCCATGAGGTGGGTTGGGACCGAATCTGGTCACATCATCATAGACAGTGGCCTCCCCAGTGGCAGCCATGGTGACCAGACTATATGATACGGATGCACAATGATGCAGTGCGCAAGGCTGCAGGATGAAAGGGACTGTTGCAACCAGACAGGAAGTCAAAGAGGTCGTGTTCGCAATTTATGGGGAAGACGTCGCTTCATAATTTTCTTGCAGTCGGAGAGAGTGGAGCCCTTGGAAGAAAAACCAAACCTTGACGGAGGCCAAGACGCCTCGGCGAATGGCTCGAGCTTGACCGTGAGTAGCTCGAAGTATAAAAGCTTAAGTGGTCTCGGATCAGGCGGATGACGGTACTGCCCAAATGATCCAATTGTGATGCTGCAGGAGGAGCTGCCAACGGGCGACAAATGCCAGAAGAAGCCATGTGTGAAGCCACGAGTTCAAATTTGGTTGACTGATTCGTCCAGCAGCCGAAGCAAGGATTATTGGGGCAGATGCCGCGTGCCAGCGCCATTGGTATTCGTGAGGGAAGGGTCATCACTGAGAGTAGGGGTCGACGCTGCGGTCTGATGTATGTGACTTGCTGGATTCAGCCCGAGGATCGATAAGAGGCAGTAGAGAAGAGCAAGGTAGACGATGTAGGGTCGTAGGTGGAGCGCTGGGAAGCTGGGATCTCGTCAGCAGGCGACATCAGCGATCGTCATAAGCGGCATCAGTAGCAGAGAGCACGGCCTCGCTTTCGCGAAGCGGCGCTATGCTCGACATCATAATGAGAGGGCGACAACCAGGCGCCGCGCTAAGTGCCTGTCGAATGAGCGAAAATGACGAAGCATCCGCAAGCTTGGTATCACGAACAATGCACTCGAAAGCTTGGTATTGCTAAGAGTATTTGGCGAGTTCGAGGAGAGGCTTCGACTCAGATCTGCTTTGCCAGGGCTGAGGGTTGTGCACTGCACGGCCATGCTTATCCGTTGATGCCCACTACCGGCGGATAAGCGGGCGCCGGTAATCTTGTTCGAAAAGAGATTGTCGAGGCGAGCAACGAGACTGGACGTTGGCCGACCGGGTTTTGAGTTAGTCGATGGGAATGTGGGATGCTGGAAGAGCGAAAGAGAAGTGAGGTTGAAGTACACGTGCGTAGATCCGTGTTTGTGATTGGTTTTCAATCAACGTCGAGAAACGGCCATGATTGAAATTTTACAAGGGTAACAAGTTGTAATGAAGCTGTTATCTGTGTGTGGTACCCGGGACACCTTGATACTTGGGTGGGGCGGCCATCCAGCGGTATTCCCAACCATGGGCAGGTAGGAGCAGCTTCGTACCACTGAAATACTTTGTAATGAAATAAAGTGAAATTTCTTGGTGCATTTGCCTTCAACTAGTGCCGCCTCAAGCCTCCACATCACCACCCCGCCACCTCTTCTGGGTACTCGTACGAGTCTTGTGCTGGCCTTGCGTGCCTCGACACCTGCGCGAAGCTCGTGGGTGACAAGCTGAATAGCACGCATTTTAGTTCAGGATATTGGTACGGCTCAGGCCGTGATCGTTGTTCGCCCACGGCCCATTGCCGAGCTGCCAGCTAGAAGAGCCATGGGGACCAACGGACCACATCAGTCCCGGGGCCGGACTCAACGTGCCGAAGTGCCATATATAATCGTATCAGTCAGCCTTACTCCGTACTGGCCTGACATACATATCCCAACTGTTTATGGCATATCTTCTGAAGACTGAATGCTGGGTGTGCTCTTGGCTATTTCGTATAAAGCTGCTGCGCAGAGTAATTGCACGCGCCATGTTGAGTTTCTTTCGACGGAAGCCGGATAGTGCACAGTCACCACGTTCCTCCGTGCTTGCCATCAGACTAAGCGTGCCTCCAAAATGACAGCTCTTAATTCTGGTGCACCCAGATCTTGGCTACAGGCTCCAAGGCCGCCTCCCCGAACCTGTGTCGTCTGACCTATCAGGACGTCATCCGCAGGGGCACTTGAGGCAACACGCCAGCAGGTACTACGTTTGAAGGAATCCCATTTAGACCGCCAACCCACAAATTGTCATCATCTGGCGTAGATGACTCCAATGTCTTGGGGACATGGCTCAAATGAGAATTCAATCTCACCGTGTTATCCGTTAGGTTTCTAGGCCTCGACACCAGATCTCTTGCTCCTGCAGCTTGTTGAACGAGGTGTGATGTTTGGACCCGTTATAAGACAGGACCATGCCAGCAAAGCGCCTTTCACGACTTGGCGTACCGGTTGTGAAGCAGGGACTGGGGTCAAGACTCTGACATGCGCCGGTGATGAGGTATCTGGGAATACGTTGACCTCTTCACTCACAAGTCTCTAGCATTTTCTTGATAAAGCTTTGCAGGGTCGGGTTCCATAGTGCTGCGGCCACCCGTTCCTTGTCGGCTAGCTGCTTGTTGACCTCGTCTGCTGTTGAATGTGTCCCCTCTTTAATCCTGACATCAACTCTAAACCTAGGCGGCAGGGACTCCTCCAGCCGAACGCGGACTCCCAGGCCGATGACGGTGGCCAAGCTGCAGTGTTGGATAGTGGGTGTGATTAACACAGTAACAGTTTGAAGGTTCGAGCTCGGACGGTTCGGGATTGTGGGCATGATGGATATGTCGGGTAGCGAGACAACAGCCAACGAGCCAAGGGTGATGGGGTGCTCAGGGTCGGACATGGTGGCAATCAGGTCATAGATTTCCTGGGCGTCGATGGGCTCTTCATCTACATCACTATCACTCTCCTCGGATAACAAGGGACTCGCCGTGCGCGTGAAAGGATCGTTGGCGAAAGACGGTGCTGGATAGACAAAGCTTGACTCGCCGTGGGCACGATCATCTCGTGCTGTTGCCCGCCGCTTCCGGGTGGGTAAATCGGAAGGGTTGAGGACAAGCGGATTGGCGTTCTTTCCGTCTTCCATAGCGGTGGCTCCAGAGAGTTTGGTGTAGGTTCTGGTGAGAACGGAAGGAGCGACGCGAAAGGCGAAATGTTGGTTGGAGTGATCAGCAGACTGGTCTGCTCGTGCAATGAATCGATGGAAGCGCAAAAGTTCAAGTTATCGAGAATGCGCCCTTGGCTTGGCACACGGCGATCTCGGTGGGGTAGGTGGGGTTTGAATTCCGAATTGATAGGTTGCCCCTCGCGGCTTCAATCTGTGACAAGACAGGCACGTGCACTGGCTGCTGGAATACTCGTGATTCTGTACCACAGTATGTACTTCGCCGCTGATTTAAAAATCTAGGTAACTCGTACCTAGGTACCTATGTAGGCAGTGGAGATCGACCTTGATCTCTTTTTACCCGTACTACCTCGTACAACTCGTACGGGGTACCCGGAATCTTTGTCGTGTCGGCATTCGCCTGTGTTGTGGCAACATAGGCTGCTCTTGCTCCCACCCCTAGGCCCACCGTCCCTTACCTTCGATCGGAAATTTCCCGGATTCTAGAAGCTTACCCCTTCAGAGCAGGTTTTGAGCACGCAATCAGTTTGCTGACACGATTACTCCCTACACGGGTCGCAAGACTTCGTCCCCTTGGTGCATCCTTCAAACATGTGTCTAGTCTTTCGCGGTGGTGTATCGTCCTGCTTCGGCCATCGTCTTACTCATACGCCGATGCTCCAACGAACTGAGTTTTGCCCGAGCGGTTGATCGCCTGAAGATCCCCTAACGAGTGCCTAAGCAGACTCAAGCCTCCAGAGTGCGGGGTGAAGGTGAACCGCTCTTGCCAACAATGGACCTGAAACATCGCCCGAGACAAGCCAGCGATGGTGCCACGCGCCCAGGCACTTTTACTGTCACTGTCTTCTCACCGACTCACCTTCTCAAGTGTCTTTGATGGAAAGGCCAGAGTACTCCGTACTGTGATAAGACACTCTCACCAGTTCGGCAACGGCCGCTGATGGTGATCATTCTTCGAGTCGGACGCCGACCGACGCAAATGACCTAGGTGATCGTCTACGGCGGAATTCTGGCATGGCAGCTTGCCACCTAGAGGCAGGCTATCGAAACTCCAAGATTCGGCGTGTTGCAATCGCCGCCACAAATGTAATACCGTAGACGCAGATGGTCGTCAGGACTGCGAACGCGTCACGGAGAGTTAGATTGTATGTAATGAGGCCTAAAGTCCGACCCTGCGCCTTGCGAATGACCGACTCGCTGAGCGGAAGAAGTGCTGCTATTAGCATTGTGCATGTCTGCCTCTCTACCTGGCCAACTTCTGCGCAGGTTTGAAAAGCGCATCAAGCAGGAATGCCTGATAGACGTTGCATCCAAGGCTGACAGCCCATTCCGGCCCCTCAGTTGCGCCCAGTGTTTGTTCCTCTCATCGTTTTACCATCAGCAATTCCCCCCGTATCACCCACTACCACCACAACTGGCCACTCACCTTACATCCTATAGTATCGGTCCCTGCAATTTGTCCGCCATGCCAGGCGCCAAACGGAGTCGTGAAACCGGCACCTGAGACTTTCCTGCTGTTTGTGGCGTGTCGATGCATTGATTAAGTCCTCTTGCAGCCTTCCGTTACTGGGCGTGTGCATATCGCTAGCCCCTCGACAAGAGGCGAACCGGGCTTCCGCACATGACTTCTTGGTCGTCTATGCGAATCCTTATGTACACTCGCATCAGTGAGAGGCCGTAGCCTATCGGATCTCCCCCACATTTTCAGCACCATCGTCGTCTGGAGACTGGACAATGGCCTGCCGTCGTCGCTGCACGCCTCTAACGTCCTGAACATTGTCCGCTAGCAACGACTCATCACCGGTATTTGATCGAGGACGACTCTGGCGCTGCTTGCACCCACCGTCGCACACGATCCTGCGCCCTCAAAGTCTCGGGATTTTCGATCTTGCCGAGGTTGCGTTCCGTGGCGTGCGACACGCAGATTCATCATCTTCGTCTAGCCAGCTTGCTTTTACAGCAACAGCCGGCACCTCCGGGTCCATCCATCTGTGCTCGAAATCGAGGGGCGTTCGTCCGAGCAACCATTCCACTCAGCCGCCCTTGGATATTCACCAACTCGACCGGCGCGCTTATCTAGAGTTAGTCATCGACTTTGATATTAGCCCGTTCACGGCCACAACTCCTCGATTGAGGCACCGCCGTGTCGCACTTACCCAATGTGGTGGCAGTCCGAGTGGATGGAACTGCCACCATGCAGAGTTATCCTCTGTCCTCCGCGCCTGCCTCGGGCCCGAAGAACTATGTCTTTGTCGATGAGCATAACCGGCATAAACGCCTCAAGGTGATGCGCGCCTGTGAGGGCTGCAGGCGGAGGAAAATCAAATGCGATTCCGCCACAACCAACACCTGGCCTTGCGCCGCATGTGTGCGGCTCAAACTCCACTGTGTACCTCCGGCAGGCGGGCTGGAAGAGGATGCGGGCGATACTGCGCCGGCAAACTCTGTGGACGAGCCGCGAAAACTCTCGACAACATCGACCGCACACAGTCAACAGGCGCAAAGTTATGCGCCTGCGTTCCAACTCAACCAAGGCGACAGCTATGCTTACGACGCATATGTTGCCAACTACCAGAAACCTCCGTTTCAGGCAACCGAACCACCGTATGGCAACTTCTACCCTGAGGCTCACTCATATTCTGGCACCAGCAGCGACCCTTATCAGAATTCCGCCCAGACATTTCGCCATGTCCAGGATGACGGGAAGTCCCACAGACACGAACGTGCCAGTTCGTCACCTAGCGACCAGTTCACTGCTGAGGATCTTATGGATCACCTTGGCCAGTTAAAGATCAACGACACCGGAGTCGCGGGCTATATCAGGGCCGAGAAAAGCAGCAAGGAACAAGACCCCCCAATACATGAAACAGAGCCCGAACCAAGGATTGCGGCGGCCTTCAGGACCGGTGCGGGCTCTCAGATCCGGATCCCTCCTGCTCTAATGCCGTCCCAGGAAGAAGCGACGCGGGCGTTCGACACATATTTCACAAACGTTCACCCATACGTGCCCGTATTGAACAAAAACCAATTCTATCGCCAATGGCAGACCGACCCGGCCTCAATATCGCCTCTCGTGTTGGAAGCCATCTTTGCCAATGCAGGTCGTCTGTCGGATGATCCAGCTCAAGGTGCGCAGTGGCTGGCTTTAGCGAACAGTAGGTCCTTGCTGCTATCCGCGTCTCCTCTCTACTAACGTGCCACCAGGACACGAGCCATTCTTCCTCGACAGCCCACGGCTAAGTAACCTCCAAGCCCTGTTGCTCTTGCTCAAGGCTCGGGAAAGCTCACCCAAGAGAGGCTACTACTACCGATCGTGGATGACTATCAAGACGGCCATCACCATGGCAAAGGACCTCGAATTGCACGAGCACCACGATACTCACTCGAGCGGGGAATCGTGTGACTCCGATCCTACAGAATGTCTGAGTAAGACCCGGATCTGGCAGACACTTCTGGTCTGCGAGACCATGGTTGGAGGACCGCAAGGTAGCTTTCATTGGAGTATGAGCCCTACGACGCCCTTGACTGACGCATCCAGGACGCACCGACTACGGCGTGGATCCCAATTCGGTAGATATCAGCGAGAGTCCACCCTGTTCAGACGTGGACGAGTACGAAAGAGCCATTTCTCGGCAATTTGCCTATTTCGTCCGCAACGTCCGCAATATCCGCCTGATATCAGACACGTACATCAAGCTGAAGAAGAAAAAGGACTGGGCTCTCGATCAGGAATTCGTGGCATACAATAAGGCGTTCAAGAAGTGGCCAGATGAACTGCCTAGCGACTTCCAGCTGCATTTGCCGCCCACCAGCCAAGTGCCCCAGGTGCCATCTCATTTCTTGGGAAACATGCATTCTCACTATCATTTGGCCATCGTCATGCTACATCGTCCACAGCTCAAGGCGTCTGAAACATTCGGTGCGGACAGCCAGTGGAGATACCACATGAGCGTCTGTTACAACTCTGCAAAGATCCTCTGTCGGCTTCAGGAAGGTATCTTGACCAGCTTCGACCTCACTGGACTGCTGGTGATGCAGCGAGGCATCAATTTCACCATCTACGCCATCCTGACCTGCGTCATGCTTCACCTCGTGGCGCTTTCATCGCCCGATCCAGAGTTCAACTTCGAGGCTAAGGATTTCTTTGTCCGGCACATGAGGATCCTGGAGAGATGTGTCTCGGCGTGGCCGATGCCAGAAACGGAGGCCCAAATCTATGCCCTTCGCGCTGCCTTCTCGGCCGACGTCAACAAGCCTTTCGAACTGAAAGAATCGTTCCCTCACGGCACGCCATCTGAACATTCGCGCCCATCTACCGTCTCTCCTCCTGCATCGGAAAAACCACAACCGCTACCGCTACAGCCGCAGAAGCCGATGGAGCTTCACCCGTCCCCGCAGGAGCAGCCTGGCGCCTACGTGTCCCAGCACATGAACCAAATGTCAAGACAACCGGGCTATCTTGCAACCCCACCGGTCTCGGTCTACGCCGCCGATTCCAAACCCCAAACGCCGATGTACACGCAGGGTTACGACCTCGGGGAACAGAGCTCATATTCGAGCTTGCCGACCTCAGCTGGTGGATATTACCAACAACCCGCCTCGGTGACCGACATCCAATGGAATCCAACCCCGATCATGGATCAATTTGATACAGCTTTTGCAATTCCTCCGTCGGCACTCGCACCTCCGCCATCGCTGTACGGTGGAAGCGGCGCCTCCCCACCAGGAAACATGCCAAATATACATCACGCGGCTTCATTCCAATCCGCCGGGTCTCCGACATACCCTTCGATCACGCCACCGGGTTATGCTGCCCAGCATCAACACCAGCAGCACCAGCACCAGCAAAGACAGCAGCATTACTTCTCTGCGCAACAAGCGCAATCTTTCCACGATACGTCGCCACCTGTTGCCCCGAATGCGCAATTACCACAAGTTCAATCGGCCGGCTACGTGCCGCCAGGAGTGTCTGGGCCGGCCATGTTCGTTACCTCGCAGCAGTGGCAGCAAAGTGTGGCAAATGTCTTTGACGCGGGCAGATTGAAGAGGAGGTGGGAATACACTCAGTAGGCTCCACCGACAAATTTTTAGACGGGCCAAACGTCGATACCAGGCAGAGAGGACCAGACAGCAAAGGCCGAGCGCAGAAGAGAACCAATCAAGGCAAAGTGGCTAGCCCGTAGGAAGCCACAGGCGTGGCAAACCGAGGTGACCGACAATCGACAGCCGACGTCACACAGCCGCAGTATCGAGATGTCGACGAAAGAGAATGGCGCAGTCCTTCCTCTATCGGGGGTATGGACTAACCAAAGCCACGAAACGAGAGCGGTCCGAGAATCCGCTGCCCGAACGGGGGACCACGAGGACCGGGACCTTGCGATCGACTTGATCGATTCGCTCAAAATGTCCCTAACTGAATGCATGCGCATTCCGTACATGAACTAACGAAAGGAAAAAGGGGACAGCGCAAGCCAACACAACAGTCCGAAGCAGAGGAGGACAGCGCAAGCACCCTCGTTTCATACACATATACTTACACACCTGCTCCTAGTAAGCAGCAAACCGGCCTGTGGGTTGCAAGACCTGCCTGAGCCAGCAAACGAACGAAGCATGGACTGGCATGACGGTGCCTCAAAGTAAAAAACAGACGAAGATACATGAATACATACATGAATACACAGCACACACACACCTACATACCGGTATATACATACTGCCTGCCTGCCCGCCTACTTGCCTGCCGCGAATGCAAACGGAAACGCACACGCTACAGCGAAAGGAGCCAAAGCGACGAGGTCACCTCGAACTTGGGCACATTAACGAGATGGGATGGAAAGCAATGGGATGGGACACGGTGCCCTCCCACAAATGCGATTGAGTTCGTCCCTTTCACGTTCCCATTCACGTGGCATGGCATGTCTATCTGTCTATCTATCTGTGCACAGGCTCCACAAGGCAGTGCGGTATGCGGCGGTGCCGTGCCGTGCCGTGCGTGCAATCAAGACTTGTCTACTGTGTACAGCGTACAGCGTACAACGAAGGTAGATCTCCCTGGCGTGACCCTGCCCGGACGTTGCGCCACCTTACTCCGTACGTATTCTGCATATGCGCCAGTTCTCTTTCCGACGTGCCTCTGGGACTTGATGTTGTGGTGGTGCTGGAAGGCATCCTCGAACACGATGTAGCGTAACGCGGGCCACCTGAGGTGCTGGGTGGTCGTACTGTGATCTGGCTCAACCAGCCGAGTGGTGGCAGGAGCAGTAGGTGTTGGACCAGAATGTCCTGTAAGGGGCCGGTCTTGGGGGACTTGCTGTCGGCGCGCTCTCCTTGAGGCGGAGGTTGCGTGATCGTTGGTGAGAAAGCTTTTCTTGCTCATTCAGACGGAGGTCATGCCTGGTGAGTATTTTGTCCTTGCTCTTTCAAGGTACCTGATCGTGAGCACCTCCTTGCTCTTTGAGTGGAGGTTATGCCTGGGCGAGCATCATGTCCTTGCTCTTTCAGAGTATTCGTCGGTGAGCACCTTCTCTCTCTATCGCCTCGCGGGTCCCCTGGTAATATCGCCCGTGAGACATCTGGATTTTTTTTCCAGTACGCCGTCCTGTGTGTTCCTTTCCTCGGTGTGTCAGGAACAACCTCTTATGCTCTGCGTGCACGCTTGGACAGCAGTATCGCTGACTTCCTTGAGCCCGACTATGTGGAGGTTGTAGATTGCCTGGGCTCTTGAAGGGACTGAGTGCTCATTGCTGTGCTGCTGGGCGACCGACAGCATTACCACAGTACAGCACTTTGTCCAAGTCTGGCATCCCAGTCAAGTATGCTCTTTTTTTTCTCTTCCTTTGGGATCCCCACTTCTTTGCGCTCTCTCACCTCCGAGTCAACCACTGTCCCAGACTCCTTTCCCACGCGTCTATCCTAATGGGCATCTCCATCTGCCAGAACGGATTCTTGCACACATAGTCGGCATACCGCTCGTAGATGCCCTTCATTAGCACGTCTGTGTTGGGCATGCTCGGGTCCGTAAACAGCAAAAACTTCGTCCCCGAGAGGGTCTGGAACACGGTCAGACGGAAGAACGAACTCTCCATGCTCTCGATGCCGGTCGCCGGGACCGTCGGGTCAGGGTATGTCCAGGTCTTGCCGTTGCCCGTACCGCTTCCCGCCGAGGACGAGGACGTGATGGGCAGTTTGGGCGTCAGGGAGCGGGTGATGGCGTGGACGCCGTGGAATGTTCCGGCTAGGACGAGGTAGTCGTTCGTCGTGAGGGTTGAGGTTCCGAGTAGGCCGAGCGTGCCGACTGTCTGTTGGGATTTTGGGTCAGTACCTCCGCCGGAGCCAGCGGCGGTGGTGCCGGGGCTGGTCGTGGGGAATGTACGGTGGTAGATCAAGGAGCCGGCTTTGGAGATCACGAGGAGGGCGAAGACCGGCCTGCGAGGAGTGAGCATAAGCTGGGGGTGGTATGTATACTGGTTGATGGAAAGGTAAGGGCGTGGTGAAGGCTTCTCGGTATACAGGACGAGGCTGCGACGCAAGGATCAGATCACGATAGACTCACATGTTGATTGTGGAGGACGAGGTGAGGCGACGAGCCAGTCAGCCAGTCATGCAGTTCTCATCAGTCTTGAGCTATGACTGACGCAGCCATCGTCTGGCTCGTATGGACATGCACCGTTCAGCTAGTCGGGGCGAATGAATCGATGCAGGACCAGGATCGCTGCGTACACGGGACCTGCTTGTCGGTACTGTCGAGGCTGTGGGCTGCGCACAAATCGCGAGTGGTGAGAAGTTGGAGATTCATCTACTGTGTATTGCTGCGCACGGCGCCCCCGCTCGGCTCCACGATCAACAGGCGAGGACTTTCACGTGGCTTTCTCTGTACGTGAGAGATTGGGCGCCTCCTGTGCATCATTTTTCTGCTCATCCAGTACGGAGTAGTAAGCAGAAGAATTACCATGGGCGTACGAGCACCTATGTGCGCGAAGAAATCACCATGCTTCTCATTTGAGTGTCTGATCGGCCACAGGTGAAATGCCGACAAGAGTGCGGAAGTGTCCTGTATCTGATCCAAGCCCGATGCGGAACACCAGGGCAGCTCGGGGCCTGGTGCTTAAGCCGTTCAAACTTCGGGGGTGATCCTGTAAAGTCTATTTTCCCCTGAAACAAGGCGACGAGGGCCCTGTCAGAGTGCCCGAGCATGCTCAACTCAGCCCTGGGACGCGTTGTTTGGACAGTCGGTGCACGCGTGTGACACAGTACATACGCTGGACGCTGAGCTTGCGGGCAACATTGTATGGGCTGCAATGCACGTCGACCTGGCCTAAAACACGATGCTGCCTACTGTCGCCTTCAGGCACAGATGTCGGCTTCTGGTCATCAGCCACGAACTAATAGGGATACATGTCCTGTGCCTCTACCCCGTGTTAAGCCTGGCATGAGACGTGATATCAGAGATTGAGACCCGGGGGCAGCGCTAATAGTCTGAGAATACACTTCGGCCCCATTGATGTCGCTACCTCTTGCACGCTAACATATATAAGTATATTAATGGCCCGGTAGCCTTGACGCAGAATACATCTATCTACCTTCTCGCCCGCGTAACAAGTCTCGTTTCTCCGCTCAGAGACATTTCTCAAGATGAAAAACGCCCTTTCTAAAGCCTTCCCTGCAACAGCAGCCGTGGTAGCACTGCTGTCAGGCCAAGCGCACGCGCAAGATGACAGCGGCAGCACAGTGATCAACGTTTTCTGGATCACCGAGACCACATTGAGCCTGAACTCCATCAACCAATATCCACTAGCAGCATCAATCGTCACGGCGGTACGTGCATACGTCTCCCTCGAACAAGTGTAGAAAATGCGACTGACGTTGTCACCCCAGGACTCTTCATCCACGGTCGTGGCAGTCGAGTGTGCGGGACCCAGCATCGACACGAGTGTCTGCGGCACCGAGGCCCAAACCATCACCTATGGCTCGACGACATGGGTGGCCTCAGAGACCACCGGCAATTTGGGTGTCACCATGCAGTGCTCGATCGCCCAGAACTCGGAAAGTGCAGTGTGCACGGGGGAAATCGATGCGCCCGAGCAAATCATCAACGATCCGTTGATCAATTCATCCGAGGCGAGTGAACTACTTACGGCCACGACTGTCGACGTGCTCTCGACGGCTTATAGTGGGACTCTCAGCTCAACGGACTTCACATTCTTGCCCATCACTGTCACTGCAGGACAGGAGAAATTGGCAGGCGGGAGCCGCGCAGCTGATTCTTCCTCATCGTCGTCGTCTAGTGGTGCCGATGGCAATGCCAATGCTAATGGCGCAGGAAGCTTCAAGTCGAATTTGGGTCTGAGTGGATGGATGGCTGGCTTCCTGGGTCTGGTCATGATGGTGTTGTAGACAGTTCTGAGATTAAGTGCCCGGTAGATTTTAGAGCCTCGATAGATTGGGTTCCACAGCCCAAACTGCACTTCTATGCTTCACCGTATCTGAAGCTGCGGCGTAACTGGGCTCTGCCTGCCCGTCGTTTACATGGTTGTCACTTCAACATCAATCCCAATCCTGAGCCGAATTCAACGCCCTCTTAGCCACTTCTAACCTTCTACCTCTTCGCCGTCCTCGATCGCCGTCCATACTCGCCCCAACCTCAACTTTCCTCAAGCTTTTAAGCATCCACCACCGCGATGGTCCTCGAGGCGACCATGATCGTTGTTGACAACAGCGAGACGAGTAGAAATGGCGACTACCTGTAAGATCGCTTCTGGTAATCTCGGCCATCTTGCTCACTTTGTGTCAGGCCGAACCGATTCTCAGCACAATCCGAAGCCGTATCACTCATATTCAATGCCAAAACGTCCTCCAACCCCGAATCTGCCGTTGGCCTCATGTCTATGGCCGGCACAGGTCCCAAAGTCCTCAACACTCCCACCACAAACTTTGGCGCCATCCTCGCGGGTCTACACGAAACCAAAATCAAAGGACACATCCGGCTAGGCACGGCCATTAGTGTGGCGATGCTGGCACTCCATCACAGAGCCAACAAGTCGCAGCGACAACGGATCGTGGTCCTGATATGCAGCGAGCTGGACCAGAAGTTCGGCGACAAGAACGACACGGAAAAGGAACTGATCAAGCTGGCCAAGAAGTGTAAGAAGAACAACGTCTCGGTGGACTTTGTCGCGTTTGGTGATGCCATCGAATCGAGCACCAAGTCAATACTGGAGAAATTTGTGGAGGCCGTGGGTGGGTCATCAGGAGAGGGCAACTATCTGGCCGTCATTCCCCCTGGCCCCGGCCTGCTCAGCGACAGTCTCATCACTACACCGATCGTAAACATGGGTGGGGATGCTGGCGCCGGAGGCAGTGGTATGGAAGGCGTCGAGACTGGAGGGGGAGCCGGTCGCTTTGACGAGTTTGGTATCGACCCTGCTGCTGACCCGGAGCTGGCCATGGCGTTACGGATGAGTATGGAGGAAGAGCAGAATCGGCTGGAGCGCGAGCGGAGAGCACGCGAGGAGGAAGAGAGACGGAATGCCGACAGGATGGAGACCATCACCGAGGAAGGGCAGGCAGCCAATGGAGACAACAAAGAAGGGGGTGATTCGAAACAGCCACGCGTCGAGGACGATAAACAGGAGTAAAGGCTGACGTGCTGCCGGGTTTTTGTATTTGTACCACCGAGGCTGGCATAGACACTGTAACATCTTTGGTCTGATCGACCGCTCGAGATACACCACGTCTTTCGCAGTATGCAGAGGTTGCTCCTTCCGCAAGCAATTTCCACCATCCTCAAGCCTGAGCTAGTACTCTTCCTATCTTGCAAGCCGCATCTCACCATCTTGAGATATCTGCTCTCGAGGTGCAAGATACCGCCCATTTCATGGGGCTCTCATACATCCAACCGCCAGGTAGCGATCTCATGAACATCCTCAACCATGATTGCCACGAACCCAGCACTCACCGTGGCCGTTGCAATCAATCCCTCGACCGACCGCAATCGCGTCAGCGCGTTCCTCGTCTGTCAGTTATTCCTTCCTTCCTGGCACTCGCTCCTGACCGCTATGCCACGGCTGTATCATCGCCGCCGCCGCACATCCAGAAAGTAGTCCAATCGGTATCCAGAATCCTGTATCTGACCTCGTTCCATTTTTCCACATTCATCTCGCGTTGCTGCCCGTCCCCATGATGCGCTCCTCCCTCCCCCTCACGATCCGCGCCTTATCCCCCGGCAAAGGCTTCAATTCGTCGTTCGGATCCACTACGGCAGCTTGGGCCTGATGCTGCTCACCAGCGGCTTGTGACTCGGTGGGCGCATTCTGTTGGTGTAAAAGTTCGGGACCGGCGCCGTTGCGGAACAGACCCTCCGGGTCGTCGCCTGTCTTTTTGTAGCGGAGGTACGCGAGGCGGCGAGCGTGGGATTCTTCGAAGGAGGTAATGTCTTCGGCCGTGATTGTGAGGGCTGTGGGTTTGCGGCGGAGCATTTCGTGAGAAGTGGACGCGGCCAGGGGACAAAGGGTTTTGAGGAAGGTGGGTGGGTTGTTCGCGGAGGGACGGGGGCCTGGGTTTGTGCTGGTGCGCGTGCCCTGTGGGCCTGGCGGGAAGGATAAATGTTAGGTACTCCGTGCGGTTGATCGATTGGGGTGGGTGGGATGCTTGTGGTGCGCGGGTTGGAGCTGGTTCCGGATGTGGATGCGGGTGGCACCGACTGGAGAATGCTGGTGGCTTGGCATTCAAAACGCGGGGACGGGGGGTGCGTCGTGGCGCGTCAATCATTCATTCACCTCATTGTTAACTTCAAAATTATTGTGATTGGCGGTCAACTTCAAGTAATGGTCACCGTGGCCAGCTTCAGTGACTGTGATAGTCTTATGCGTCTGAGATAGGCAGCAACCAGCACCAGCGTAAATCCATCTACATCCGTCGTCTGGGCCATGAGCGCCTACTACAACAAGAACCTGCCCTCGGACGATGGCCGAGGAGATTGTCTCATGTTCCGAATGCAACCTCCTTCTAGTGGCAGCGGGAAAATTATTACGGCGAGACCGAGACGTATAGAGCCGGAGTACGACGCAGTTACCTACCTAACCAAGGGGCGAGATGATAGAGGTGGGTGGTAGCAAGCCGAAAGCCCACGCGAGAGTCTCCAAGTCGACGCTATTGAGATTACAGAGCCACTCGGGAGATCCTAAGAATTGAGCCTTTGCAGTTTACTGTACAGGAACTGGAGCAGGTCCTCACGGAGATATCAATCCTGAAACCTGCAGAGAAAGGAGAGAGTGGTGGCGCCAAGCGCATCACGCATCGGATCTTCGATGGGTCCCGCGAAGTCGCGACAGAAACTGCTCGCCAAATGGTTACTCGACCGTTTAGGTAAGGGTATGCATCCGAATTCCTCCTCTTTGGGCCTCGGACAAGGAAGGCGCTACGCCTGGGGAGTACATGAGGGGCCTACTGATGCTTGACACCGGCCATAATACTCCGTGGCGAAACTAGGCGTCCGTTCAATGGGCAAGCGACAGACTTGCAAGAGCCGACCGTGTGCAATGCTCGCAGTTTGAATTCTCGACGAGGGATGGCAATGGAGTGAAGACATTCGTGTTTCTGGACCGTTCAGGTAGGTTCCCGAAATGACGGTGGTGAAGGATCTGGCTCGGATTGAAACCCTGATATACTGTACGTCTGCTTCGAAAGGTTATGATGAAGGAGTTTCCACACAGGGATCACCAAGCTGCAGTTTCCTTGCGAGCGGGTCTGCCTCGGTTCGCTAACAGTAGACGGGAATGCAGTAAGAAGCGGGACTCTACGGAACAAAGTCCTTGAAGGAGGAACAAGTAGGCAGGTGAGTTGACGAAGGTGAGTCCCGGCACGCTCGAACGGTTTCATTGCACCGCCACGCAGTTTTTCTAACATCGCCGTGCCTGCCCTTTCAAACAGACGTCGCTTCAGTGGTCAGTGCTTGCTACAGCATGCTGGTCCCTCGCCCTCTCGAGAAACTCACCACCCCCAGTGTGCTAAGGTGCTCCTTCCCCCCTAGGGAACACGATTTTACTGGCGGGCATAGCTTCACAGCGGCGGTCCACGCCCCCCTTTCGAGTATGGGGAAACCGATATACGCTGGCTGGGCGCAACGCAGCTTCGTAGAAAGCAGGATCGCCCGTCACGGAATTGCAGACGGCGGAGCTCGATGCCCTTTGTCCACCTCAACCTGTCTGTAGGCGCCCCGGCCATGTCGCCAGCTAGTCCAGCCTCTGTCGATGCAAAGATATAAGCCGGGGTGAGCACATATATAGGTAAGTCCGTCGTACTGTGCTCGCTTCTCTGCGAGACTGTGTTTGCCAAGAGCATTCACAAAGACTTAATGAGGCTGGCGACGCCATGCCGTTGAGCACCCGTTGAAGACACTTCGCAGCTAGCGAGCTAGCTACTTGAAAACCCTGATACGGTGGTGCTGAAGAGACGACGACGGAGTGCAGATCAGGAGACCCAGTCGACCAGCGAGAGGGGGAGGGACGCTCTCCCCAGCATTGTGTCAATCGGGTGCCAGGTCCTGTATCTGAAGACCGGGAACAAGGGACACCGTACTTGGATGAGTTTCTATACTAGCGACGCAGCATGAGTCTCGTCGTGTTCTACAGCTAGGAAATCAGCGCGCCGATTTCACGCAAAGGGAGCCTTGTGTCATCTCCTGTTCGTTGCAGGATTGTGTTACATGGTTGTCGTACTTCTTGCTAAGAAGTAGCGCTATGTAGCTCGGGTGGATTTGCAGGCAGCGACTGCTCTGAAGACCGAACGGCTGGCCCTTCTGTTCTGACTCTGCGTCCAATACTGGCTGAGCGCAATACCCTCAGCTTGCAAGGCAGCTGTCGCCCGCCGAAGAACTCCTTTTCCAAAAGTCTGAGCAGAAGTAGATCATTAAAACGGGGTGCAGCCGTTCCGACCCGAGAGCAAGGCATGATCACCAGCGCAGGAACTTCGTCTCTAGCCGCTGTCGCAAAGTGTCCATGCAAGGCATCTCAAGACCCTTTTGCCGCCTGATCAATAGAGTGCAAGTGCATCCAGCCGGCCGACCTCATGTCGACGTTTCTCTCGTCTGCGTCGGCCGTGCAAGTTCCACCTTTGCCGTACCTCGACCTTTGTGCAATACAATCTGAATGAAAGCGGCCCAGCCCATCAAGATCATTCTCTGCCATACTGTTCAAGAAAATTTCCATCGATTGCCACAGTGCAGACACTCGCAGAACGTCGTCATCGGCTCATCCGCACTCCTAGTCTGCGCCTGGCTATAGGAGACTTTCTTCTGATGACACTTGCCGCACTCCAAACTCGTGCTTACGGATTTTTCTTCCTGCGCAACCATTGCATTGTTCATATTCTCCTTGGCGATCTTGTTGTCCATTTCCTTCTGCTGACGCGACTTCATCTCCTCGTGAGACATTGTGACAAACCTCTGCGCCGAGATCTCACCGGTAAGAATGCGTATTCGGAGTTTGGGATTGCTTTTGTTTTTGAGGTTCTGGAATAAAGAGCGAATCTTCTCTTTGTATACAGGGCTAGCGGAGGAGCCGTTGGCCTCGGGGAGGTTTAGCGCCGCGGCTTCAATCTGTTTGGCGAAGTCGAGGATTGTTTTCATGGGGAGGTCGGAGCCCAGACATAGGCCGTCATAGATCAAGCCGATGCAATTGTTTCGTGCCTTGTCGTGCGGGACAAGGTCATCGCGGGGCACTTTGTCGACTTTCCAGTTTCGCTTGTCTGGCGCCACGCCCGTAGGCGAGGCTGATTTGGCTGGAGGTGCTGGTGATGATGTGCCGTTGGAGCGCGCGCCGTTCGCGATTGGTGTAGATGTGCCACTTGCGAGTTTCTGTTCATTGACGACATGACGCCAGCGGGAGATGATTTCTGCGGCGAGCTTGCTGACTTCTGGATCTAAACCCGGTACGCCCTTGACCTTGTTTACAATCTTGCCTATTCCCGTCGCCCGGAGAAGTTCCTCGCTCGGTTTGACGTTGGTTTTCAGGTCGCGGAGGATGGTCAGGATGTTTTCAGACGGTTCTTTGGCGTTGATGGCCTTCTGGAGGGAGGCGCCCTTCGACAGGATCTCGCGGCGGTCCATGGTGAGCGGGGTGTGAGAGGGTGAAGAAAGGGAGATTTCCTGGGAGCGCGAGCGGCCGCGGCAGGAGCCTTTGTCCAGATGTTATGCAGTGAGAGAAGGCAAGTTCCTATTCTGCGACACGGTTAGCACGTCAGAGTTGGGTCTCAAGGCAACCACGAACAGTTTGGGCAGCCGGACATAAGCTTGCAGCACAGAGAGTTCAGGACCTCAAAGCTGTTGATGAGCACCTCCCTTGTGTCTCTTCCCTGGCCAGCGACAGTGAATCCCCAGGTGCAGGTACACCACTGTCGAGGCTTTCGGTAGGCGGGGACTTTCGCCAAGCAACGGTCTTATCAGGTCAGCCTTGCCTGAGTCAATGTATATGTGCCCTTCTCACGGTTTTCGCACAATTCTTGGACTTTGTCCGCGTATTGGACGGGATAAGCGACGTCCAAATTTCGTCACAAAGGGAAAGCTGTCGCATGAGCATCGGAGGTGGAAGTGAGGCGCAAATGATTCGAGGTCAAGGCGAATGACTGTCATTTGAATATAGCATTCTAGACACAGATAGCGCAGCCTCGCAGCCTTGCTGTGGCATCGCGGCATTCAAGAAGCGGTACGTGACTCAAGGCGTGACGGACCACCTTATAAATTTCGCATCTTCGGCTGGAAGCAGGCACAGTATAGTATAACAGCAGGTCGTGTTACAGACATCAACTCCATGCTGCCTTTCCAAGGATATGCTTTGCTCGAAATTGATCTCCTCACCCAGCTAGTACTCCAACCGGACTTCCTGGCCCTTGACACGCCCGATGACAATGTCTGCGGCATATTTGGGAATGACTTCATCGTCATGGAGCATTTCGAATTCTAAGAAGTGGTTAGCAAGTTTCCAGAGTAGTGAGTGCACAGCTCAGACTTACCCTCCGTAGCATCCTTGCCCATGTGGCTGAACAATGCCTGAGGACCACCAGGGTGCTCATCAAGCCAGTTCGTAACATCCATCACGACACCCTTGACGGCGATCCACAGGTCATCTTTCTTGTTGTGCTTGGCAACTTCTTCTAGTGAGTATTCCTTCTCCGGGACCTTGAAGTTGCTGATGTCGTTTGTGTCCTTCTTCTTGCCAGGATCTTGGCTCTTATTGCCATCCATGACTGGTGCCGCGCTTCTCTGCGCCTGTTGGGACGTCTCTTTTGTACCGACAGAAGGGCCTGACGAAGCACCTGAACCGCCGGTCCACTCCACGGAAATCTTTCCTGGCGAGTTGGGATCAATGTGCAGCGAGATTTGACCCAGACGATTCGAAGCGCCCGAAGCACCACCCTCGGTTGTGAGCTTCTCCAACAAGTATTTCGATGCTGAGTTACCAGCAACACGGCCGTAGACCACACATCCAAGTAGAGACGAGCCACCGAGGCGATTGGCGCCGTGCACGCCACCAGCAAGTTCACCACAGGCGAAAAGCGCATCGAATGGCTTCTGCTCCTTGTTCAGCACTTGGGCCTTGTCGTTGATCTCCATACCACCCATGGTGAAGTGCAAGACGGGCTCCATCAATGCAACGTGGAAAGTATCGTTGATGTCCAGAGGCATATTGTGGAAATACTTCTTGCCCCACGCGTCCTTCTTCTCTCCTTTGGCGATGGCGTTATACTCCTTGAATTGCTTGTCAAGGGCTGCCTCACCGCAGCCGATTTCCTTAGCCAGCTCCTTGCCACTCATCTTCTTCATCAAGCCACGGCCGGAATAGTGGCGAGTATGGAAATCAAGGACATTCGAGGCCTTGGAGTTGAGGACTAGACGGATGGGCCACTTGCCCTTTTCCTTCTCCTCCCACATCTTACCAGAGACATAGTCACGGTGACCTAGGTCGTCACAGAATCGTTGACCGTCGCTGTTGAGCAGAATCCCACCTTCCCCTCGGAGTGCTTCAGCAGCCAAAAACTTCCATTTGGAGGTGGGATCCTTGGGGTCAACCAAACCGGTAGGGTGCACCTGGACCTTGTCCATGTCGATATCGTTGGCACCAATGGCCATCAACATCTTGTGGCCATCGCCAGTGGCGTGCGTGCCGTTGGTGGATGATAGATCGAATGTGTCCGGTCTGTGTTTCTTGAGAAGCGACGTTTCTCCGAAATCCGCAGCATATCCTCCAGTTGCCAGAACGACGACGCCGTCAACTGAATGTTCCTCGCCGCCGAATTCGTAGGTGACACCGGTGATGGTATTGCCTTCCTTGTTCAGCTTTGTGACCTTTGCCTTCTTGATAACCTGGACTCTGTCGGGATCGGATTCGCAAAGCTCCTCCATCCTTTGCATCAGGGCGTACGTGATCGCCATACCAGGGAACTTGGCATCGTGTCCTCGGTGGGTTCGGGGAAACGAGTGGCCACTGTGCATTTGATCAGCTTAAAGCGAGCGCGTCGCGAGCTTTCGCACGTACCCTAGACGTGATACAAGAGTGAGGTCAAGGTTGAATACATCCTGTAACCATTCAACGGCAGCTGCCGATTGGTATGTGAGAACTCGAATGAGGTCTGGTCTCGCCTTGTCACGGGCGGACTTCAGCGTATCTTCGTAGAATTGCTTCACACTGTCCTGGATTCCCAGGTCGACTTGGGTCCGGGTGAGAGCACCGTTGATGCCAGAAGTTGCCTTTGTCGAGTTGCCACCGAAGAAGTCTGCGCAACGGTCAATCAGAGTTTACCGAGCGCCAATGCGTTCATGCTCACTGTTCTTGTCGAGAACAAGGATATTGCCTCCATTGAGGTAGACAGTATGTGCAGCGCTGAGCCCGGAGACTGCGTGGAGAGGATGGTTAGCTGTGGAAGGACGCTCGCAGTGGCACAGGAATTCTTACGGCCTCCACCGACCACAATCACACGAGGAGGGGCCATCTTGAAGGAATGGCAGAAGGGATGTGGACAACGGCGAGGGATAAAGGTGCTCGAAGGCGAATGCCTAAGTCGTCTATGAGAGGAAGGACACTCTCCGAAGCTCAAGATGGCAACTGAGAGAGGAGTTTGATCAGCTGCACGGCCAGCGACGGGATTTGTCTAAAACCAAGTCGATGATTCTTGCAGGCAATTCAATCGACGGACCTCGGCTTGTGCCCAGTGACTTCAAATATGCTTCACCTGTCACCTGATTGGCGCCCACGTTGCTCCTGCCAACGACGACTCGTACAGCCTCTTTGACAGAGCTCCCTGCTACCTATTCACGGCTGAAAAGCCCGACACGCCTGTTCTTGTACTTGAGAAGAACTCGTTCTCGTTCTAGACGCTGCAACTTTGCGCTCAGTATGCCGGGTGCTATTGCACCGACACTCCCATGACTCCGGGACTATCTCCTTCCCAAAAGTCAGCCAACTCCGTACATTTTCGGCGTTCTCTCCCACAGGCACTGGAGTCCTTGGAACACGGGGACATCTGCGCCCCGCACAGCACCACGCGCAAATCTCCCCAGGTCCAGATTCACATGTCTCGGGCACTGACCCGCGGCCTTCAGCCCTGCCATCCATCATCTGCTATGCTCACTGTCCGAGGCATGTGAAAACAACACATTGGAAAGCCAATGACTGTGCTGCTATTCCTATACCGCGTGACCAGATGTAAGATCACCGTGTCATCTGCTCTTGAATTGATTAAATTGCATCTGGATACGAAACCGGCGCAAAGGCGAGCGGCTCTGTCCCAGATTCATTTGTCTATCCAGTCCCCGCGCCATGGCTCGATATATTGGTACAAATACAGCCACAAATCCATATCCGATCCTCACAACGTTATTTTGCTTGCTCGCCCAGAGACATGTGAACGAGGATAAAAGGTGTCGAAAATGTAGAATCCAGGAAACCCAGGATGTATGTCGCCGAAAATCCGTCTACGAAACTGATTGTTGCCAGAATGAAATCCACTTGTGGCATGTTTAGAATTTGTCGACGAGAGAGAATAATTCATCCCAGACCCAGTGGGTACACCCTCAATTGCGGTATGGTAGTGGCTCAGTGATGATATATTCCTTTCAATCGCATCGCGACGTCCGAAGGGTGGCAGAATTCCTTTTGTGTTCAACGTGGCTCATACGCATGTATGCGGCTTCTCCTTCCTTTTCGTCGAGTCCGGTGCGCCATGGCATAGACCATGGACATGCGCTTATGATACTCTTCTAACGTCCCCCTCATGCCTCCGCTGTGCATTGCATGTCGAACTTGTGGAATGTCTTGACAATAGTGACGCTGTCGAAGTTATTGATCGCAGGCTCGATGCCGAAGATGCCACATGCGGGTTTTGCGCACTCGCGGCTTGTCTGTTTTCGTCCTTGGGTTCTTTGTAGAACATGGTGAATCGAAGGGTTTGGTACCTCATTTTCGCGGGAGTGCAAGGGTATGATGCTGTTGTCAGCGTCAAGACATTAGATGTGGAAAGAACAGAACGCAAGGGCTTGAAATGAGAGACTTCCGACACTGAGATGAGAAAGACAGATAAACGAAACGAAGGATACTGCTCCCTTCCACCTGCCGAGCGACGAGCCGGCTGCTGAATATGTAGGACGATCTTGTCATTGAAGGCTCCCATCTTCCGGGTTCGAGATCATGACGACCTGCGCCGCCATTTGCGGGGCTCGAGGGACAAGAGAGGAGCTAAGGAAGAAACCGGAGCAGTTCTTCTGAAGATTTGAGGGCGATGCCTACATCACGTGCTCATTTGTAATGACATGGGTCGAGAGTCAGCGACTCCTGACTTTGCAGTCAAGGAGCCTGTCTTCCTCAAGAAGGCATTTTTCCTCGTGTTCACCTTCGCATCACTACATTGCTCCAGCCCAGCCCTGAGTAGAGTCGCGGATAGTGTCTTCCAAGCTCGTCCACCCAGGTCGACCGAATCGTTTCACGATCTCCTCGGCCCGCCCATTCGTGACTTTGCTCAGGTCTCTGCCGAGATCAGGGATATCGTCCATGAATTTGCGGTTTGGATACAGCTTCCGGTATATTGCCAGAATGTCGTTCCAATTGAATGGGTATGCGAAGTCATACAGCCGCTCGCCCGTGACATCAGGGAAGACGAGAGCTCCAACATGAACGCGAGCTGTGTCTTGGACATTGACATAATATTGCGGAGGGTTGAATTTGAGCTTCTCTTGGCCTTTGAACTCGTTCCAGAGCGCTTTGAGCCATCCCACCGTGCTCGGTGCTCCCTGGTTCTCCGGCGATAGGACCAAACCCATGTTGCAGTTTGGCAAGACGGTATTCAAGACAAATCCCGGTTTCTGCTCCTTCACAAATTTCCATGCGGCCTGCTCGCCTTGAGTCTTACTGGCAGAGTATACATCCAATTTGCGCTGTTCACCTTTGTACGGTGGAGGCGCCCAGGCCGCTTTGACGGCTTCTTCGTTCCAGGTCGACTCGTCAGCGCTGAACTCAAGGTCTGGTTTGGGGCTGATGGCAGCAGTGGAGGACGATGTCAACACAAACCGCTTGACTGAGGGCTCCCCAGCAGCGGCTTTCAATGCGTTCAACGTACCCTCCACGACAATCGGGATCCCTTCATTTGGATCATAGGACACCATGACTGGGGTGGCTGTGTGGATGAACCCAGAAGCACCTTTCACTGCCTTGTCGAACGCCCCTGCCGCTGCCATTTCCGGCACTTCAACCAGCTCAAATTTGCCGACACCATACTTTTCGTCAAAATAGTCAGCAACCCAGCCAGACTTCTCTGCACTGCGCACGGTTCCCCGGACGCGGTAACCCGCTAACAGAAGCTGATCAACGACGTGGCTCGCTATAAATCCGTTGGCGCCGCTGACGACGACAAGGCTCCCTTCTGGGATAGCGTTCTTGGTTGTGGAACCCATCCTGAGAATAAGGGCTGGCATACAATCCAGGAGTCTTCTGTCCTACATCCACCCTGTGCGGTGTTATGAGTTGAAGTACAGCACGATTTTATGTCGTCCCCGCCATCCTTTGCGATGCTTTCTCACGATTGTCTGCATGGCCACAGACCCGTTCATGCGTGCCGCTTAATCACGAAGCAGATGAATCCTACCGAAAGGGATACGAAATTCCCTATCTAAGACTGTTGTTATTTTGACGGAAAGGCTTTATCACAATCCTTTGTTTCGCTGTGGGGAAACAGCCAATCGGAGCACAAAAAAGTTTATCCCAGAACAGTTGCATCTCGGTATGGACTCCTCCCATTAGCTATGCTCGGTCCATATGTCGATATTCTGGAATTCAGCCAAGGACATGGCTACGATGTCAATAGGTCTTGCTCCATAGTCCCCTCGAATGATGTCAGCGATGCGGTCGTCATTAGCACAAGAAAAGGCCCGAGGAAGCCGATTCTCTGCCGTCTCGTGCAGTATCGCAATACAGTTCTGGAGGAGAGTAGAGCAGCAGTCCTCGTATCTGCAGCTCAACACCAATAGGACCTGTCCAGACTAGTCCAAGAATGGCGTTGGTCTCAAGGTAGGTGCCATGGTGAGGTTTATCCGTTCTCTGCTGTTCATTGGGAATGAGGCTTCTCACTTTCTTCATTCCAGTAGCGCCTACCTGGAATGGTAAGTGTGATGCTTGGACGACTGCGGACATTGAGGGGAGGTCGCGCCCAAGCGAGTATTAGCGATTCCCACCAGGTTAAGAGCAACCCTCGTGTTGTGTCCTTAGTACCTCACACGATCGTCGATGCTGCGAAGCTTTGTCAACGGGACGAAAATATTCATTGAGTCAATACTCGAGAACCTGCAGTCTTGGTATTGATCGAAACGTCGTATTCGTTCTCGCCCAGGCTTAGGCGGCGGCATCTACCTTCGCACGCAGAACTATAACATGAGGACCGTTCTACCATAAACTCCAACCTGGAATTGGCAATCTGACCAAGATGCTCTCGCGGCCATATAGCAATCGAGTGAACGTCGCCTACAGGATCGTCTCAAGTATGCCTGCGGCCAAAGCATTGGAAATGTTCACCCAGCCGACGGGCCAAAAAGGCGGGCTACCTCGAAGAACGGTGAAAATCAGTGCCCGGACGTATCGAGCACTGCCGGCGATTCAGCGATATACTACGGTCATGAGAAGGACTGGCCGCGGCGCATCTGTAGCTGTGCTGCTCGCTGCTGCTATTCTGCCGGCAACTGCGTTAGCGTCTGGTGTCCAATATAGAAGAAACTGACGTCGTTAAAGATATTGTTGGATGTCCAGGATGGACGGTCTATAGCATTCGGAACTAATGTCCGCGTGGCGCCGCGACTGGCAAGGCAGCATGAAACAGCAGAGACGGTGGGAAAAGCAAGGGATGTGGATGATCGGGCTCCAAAGTGAATACCGACCCGCGGGGAAGGGGGAGCCATCAGAACTCTGTAACCACTAGTGGGAGAACAAAGGCCGACAGCCGGACTGAATACCTCTCAAATCTGGAGACATATCGTGCTGTGAACATCACTGAGTGTCTTGTCTTGATGGAGGCGAGAAACATTACCGCTGGTGGATAGAACGGATGACTGGATCAACTCTAAAGACTATATCCGTTCAACATCGAGCGATAAATCTGGCAGCGTACATGAGTGCCCTCAGCGAGCGATGGGTATCAATCACCTTCCGGCATCTGCATATCATTGCCCTTGGAAAAGAAGCGGCGCAGTTCCTGTGCAAACACCTCCGGACTCCCGCCCTGTCGCTTGTTGAAAGTGCCGCCATGGTCGATGCCTGGAAGCTCAACGCACTTCGACTGGGGCAGGATCTTGTCAATCTCGCGCACCGACCGCTGCAGATATGCTGGACTTCTGGTCCCGCCAAGGATCAGAGTCTCCGTCTGAACCGCCGACAGGGCCTGTAGACTCTGCTCTCCCAGCATATCCAACGCAATTTTGATATCGTTACGGAACGTCGGAACCAGGTCCTTGAACAACAATTCCTGCTGGGCCACAGCTGTGTTTCTTCCCTGGTTGTCATCCGGCAGACCGACAGGTCGTTCGAATCTCATCATCAATTTCGTCGACACTACCAAGGCGATTCGCGGGAAGTACTCTGACTGCAATATCGACGGACCCATCTGCGCCCCCAGCATGGCTGTCACAGCCGCGCTAGCAAGCTCGCCGCGCTCGACCTCGGCTTCATACCTTGCGATCCAGGCCATCTGAGCCTCTCGCTCTGACTCAGGCCACCATGGCGGTTCAAAGACAGCGATCCTGGCTATATGTGACGGCGGAGCCGCTAGCGCGGCCTTCAAAGTGAGCAGCGCGCCGGAGCTGACGCCAAAGATGAACTTTGCGCCACTCGCGGCGTGGATTGCCTCGACGTCGTCAACTTCCTTCTGTGGTGTATAGGTGCAGTGTTTGCCCGGGGCGCCAGACTGCCCACGTCCGCGACGGTCGGGCAAGTAGCAGGTGAAATGGCTGGCGAGAGACGTCGCGAGATCGGCGTGGCTGAGGGCATGCTGCATGCCGCCATGGAGAATTATAACGCCTGGACCAGTGCCGATTTGGTAGTACGCGATCTTGGTGCCATCTTTGGAATGGGTGGTCTTGAGCTCGAACTTGGAGGCCATTGTTCGGCACAAGTCGTCAGTGAACAGTCCTGAGAGAAGCATTCATACCATCGGACTCTGTCCTGGTTACTTTGGACGTTGTACTTGGATCCAGGATAGCGAGCAGACAGGGAGATACGCGGACAGGGACCGTGGCTGTAGCGCTTGTCAAACGCTACCTCTTTGTCCGGTAAGACATATCCGCGAGGTCAAGATTCAACGAAGTTCTAGTATTCCGTATGCTCGCTCGCTCGCTCGCTCGCTACTGCGGACGCTAGCTCTGTGGCTAGGCACCAGCGATCGCTCGTATCGGGGTAAGGTACCTACCTCTCCGCGTATGCAGCAGGCTCGTATTCGCAAAGTATTGCTGGATACGAGCATGGGACTAGAAACTACCTTGCTTGCAATGGTTGTTGATGATGCAAGTTGAGCGGCTTTTGCGTGTTGGGCGCCTGAGATGGGCGGCCCCTTCGAAGTCAATCTTTTGGTGGACGCTGGACAAGAAGGGTTCATGACTGTTGGACGTGCAAACATTGAGATCTTGTTCATCATCGTATTTTGAGATTATCTTGTCTCTGGCGAGCTCAGATCCCGCTTATTTTTCACTTACTCACCCAGCCACAAGCCACAGGTTACGACCGTCCCTAACCACCAGACCGAGGCGTGGGGCGGTGAATATTCTCGACCGGCTTCCTGGATAAGGTGACTGTAAGAGATCACGCTTGGTCTGAGACTAGATCAACAGTTGATGAGTAGACAAGTAAGAGAGATGTGGCCGAAGGTAGATCCTCAGCTTCAGGATATGTACTGCGATTCGGTCAAAGCGGTACTGTACTCCGCCGTATTTATAGAGCACCGTCGAGTTTTCCTTGCGTGCTTGCCTATTCATTGCTCGGAGGCCAAACAGTTCTCGACCTGTGACTTATTCGTCCTTGTTGATCGTGACGGACATGCGCTTCTTTAGTCATTGTTCTAAAACATCCTTGCGTGTCGCATTCTCTATCCATGAACATGACCAGGACGGACGCAAAGGTCTTGCCTCAATATTCGTTTCGAGTATTTTTGGTTGGACAGCAGCATCCTCTCACTCTCCACTCTAGCATGCGGCTTCACGCGGCTACAGCAAAACATCTACTGTAGTTTGTTCCAGCAAGGATCGTGGCAGCACGGAGTAGGGCACTCGTCTACCGTCGCCTTTCCGGTTGAAGCAGGCCCTGCAATGGCCAGAAATTACCGGCGGCTAGCCCAGCGCCAGATGTGACCACAGCCAGGCTGCACGGCCACAGGCCATCTTTGCTCAGTATGAGACCTGGTTTGTGTTCATCTCACCTTTGGGGTGAATATAATCCACCGCCTGTCCCACCCCAACTCCACAGGCGTCCGGCCCTGAGGTGCGATCTTCCAACGAAACACCAGGAATGGCAATCCAAGAAAGCTGCTGCCCTGGTGGTGTGCTCGGTCTGCTGGTATGGGTATCGGCGTTATTTCACCGCGCGATAGCCGATACCTTCACCAACCCTTCGAACGACAACACCGATCTCTCGATCCACTACACTCTCGGGACCACTGTGCAGATCACCTGGGACTGCTCTCTGGACTCGATTACGCTGGTAGTTGCCCATTGGGGAGGAAATGACGTTGGAGCGCTTCTATGTCCGTGTCGTACCGACCCTCAATCCTGTTGGACACATACGCTAACGATTCTGCTCTTGAACAGCCGATGTCCAGAATTCCGGCTCGTACAGCTGGAAGATTGGCGAACTCGACAACATCAGCGACGACCAGATCTCCGAAAGTGCCAACTTCGTCCTGATAATTCGAGACCCGACAGGAGCGGCCGACACCTCCGGCCTAGGCGGGTTTGTTGACGGGCAGCTGCAGAGCCGCGCCTTCGTGATCGACTCGCCGGACGGATCCGGTGTTTCTGCCTCGTCGTCGTCGTCATCCTCCTCCATGTCTGAATCGGTGTCCTCTTCAATCTCGTCCGCGTCCTCATTGACCTCCTTTGCGGCAACCACGACGTCCGCCTCCATCCCCACCACTGTCACAAGCACCAACTCGGTCGTGCCTTCTCCTACTCGTCTCGCCTCTACAGATTCTCGCGAGCTTAGCACTGTCGCCAAAGTGGGCATCGGAGTTGGTGCCGCGCTGGGCGGGCTGCTCTTACTCGGTTTGGGCACATTTGTGGGCATCAGATTGACGCGGCGCAGGCCCAAGCGAGAACAACAGGCTGGATTCCAAGCTGAATCAGGTACAGCTGGGACGGGGCTGTCGGAGACATACTACCAAGAACAGAAGCCAGGTACCGGCAGTTATGGCTTCCAGTCAGTGTCAGAACTACCATCCGGGCCATATTCACGAGAATATGGGCCTGTTCATGAGCTGGGTGGGAGGTAAACGAAATGTGACGCCGGGACGAATATGGATGTGTGTATGCAATAGCGCGAATCGTAGTGTCTTTGAAGAAGAAACAAGATTGTTATAAAAGTTTCCTGTCCGGCCCAGATGTATGCTACATAACTTTCCAACGTCATCGCCAAGATGCAAAAGTATCGTTCAACGAAATCAACGTACGTTACTCGTTACTGTCCTCCTTCCATGCATCTCGCAGTTCCACGCCGTGCTCGTCCAGCCTGCATTCCTGCGTGCCCCACTTCAACCTGTACATATCTCGCCCCTTCTCCGCCATGGCCCACCACATCTTCTGAAATCCCCGGGGGTCGTACGTCCACGGCTCGCCCTTACCACCATCACTGACTCCCTGCCAGCTATTCCGATGAGTCTCGGGCTTTTGTCGCTCCAAGGCCTCAAGCTCGGCGACCAAGGCACGATAGCGCTGCGATCCGGGCTGCTCCGCGCCATCGGCAGGAGGAAAAAACTTGTGCTCGACATCCTGGATGGCGTCCGGCAGATCGAAAATGCGCCCCGCGCGCACATCATCCTTGGTCAGCCCGTTCAGTGCCACGCGGGAATACGCGTCGCAGTCGGTCGCGTAGTAAGGGACGAAGGGGTCCCACGCGCCGATCTTGCGCCAGGCGGCGACATTGACGAGCGTCAGCCAGTCGTAGGTGAAGTACTTGAGGGCCCACTCGTCGCCGTTGCCAGGGATATCGTCGTGTAAGGCGGAGACGTGGAGATCTGTCCCGAGGATCTCGAGCACGCGGGCGTAGAAGGATTTGTAGGGCTTGGCGTCCTCGTCGCTCAGCACGGCGACATCCATGTGCGACCAGAAGAAGTAGCGCCACCCGTGCGCCATGCTGACGCGCAGGTAAAAGTTCATGAGCTGCGCAAAGGACAGGAGCGTCGGCGTCTGCAGGATCGAGACGCCATACCGTCGGCGCAACAGTACGTAGTCTAGAAAGAATGCATTCTTGGGGGTCAAGAGGCCCAAGGAGTTCGCGTCCATTGTGCCGCTGTTGTCCACCACGATGATGTCCTCGCGAGGCCAGCCTGCCGCAATGTAGCTGAGAACTGTTTGCTCCAGCATGGCGGTGTTGCGGGTGAACGCTATAAACAGGGGCGTGCGAGGTCGCTGGGAGATGGCTGGCGGGAGATTATATGGTGCAACGGCAGGTTGGAAGGGAGTTTCGGTCCCGGGCTGGGGTGGAGGAGGGAACCATAGCTTTGTCCCGTCTTCGTGCGGGCCCAGAAGGTAAGGGAGAGTTGATGTGGCAGGGAGCGTAGAGTCTTGTTGCTGGGTGGCCTGCGGGCGTGGTGTCTGATCGCCATCACGAGAAAGAAGACTCAGGGTGGCCAGGATCCCAAATATCCCGAGCAGGACGGAGAGCCAGCGTTTGGGGAGACGCCAGCCTGGCCCTGTAGCCGAGGACGATTCTTCACGATTCCCATTCCATAGCGGAATATATCGTGAGGCCATATATGGACCTAGAATGCATGGGTTTCTTGCAATTGTGTCCCGTTGCCCATCGACGCGATGAGGACGTGAACGTTCGAAATATCTTGGACGGTTCAGGGCGACGATGAGACGTCGTAGCCGCTGGTGGCCCCTCGGCGTCCCCGTAGCCAATCAGGCTGAGACAGAGTTACGCAGTCGTGGTCGTGGCGCCCCTAAGCGAGTCAGGGGAGGACACAGACCAGGGAAACTGACACTCACAGGCCCCCTGCATGCCTATGTAGTCCGAACAGTGTTAACGATGGGGGCACGATTGCATGAAAATTGCATCCCTAGTATGCCATAACTAACCCCAGTCTTAACTTCCTTCTATACATTCGTCCCACGTTGCAGAACATATTATAGCCTTCTCGATGTATTATTCACTGACGGCACCCCGTGCACGAGACCATTCGGAATTGTATGATCTTGTCGAAGAAATACCGGCGAGAGACACGATCTCGCAGATCAAGAAGCCGACATGTTTACATGCTAACGTCTGATCAGACACTTCAAGGTCTACTCTGCGGTAAACGGGCATGTCTAATCCCGGAGAGCACTTCGTGGTGGCGAAATGCATACGGTATGATGGAGGACTTTTTGGCGAAGAACCCTCCCTTCTCCGGACCGAAACACTATTGTTCCCCAGACCGTTGAGACATAAACGATAATTTACAATTTACGATGCGACAGCCAATTCTTCGCGCCGCCGCACCTCGGCAAAAAAGCCGTTGCAGGATAGCCCGCATTCTCTACACGTCCTTGGCTTCGAAGGGCAAGGCGAAGCACATGGAGGACTGAAGCACAAGCAGCTTATGTGTGCGTTCAGTCAAAGTGCTACGAACAAGATGGCAAGGAATCTCTGGCAGACTGGATTGAGTTGTTCAACAACGTAAAATCCCAACGCGGGACGTGCGGGTCTGTGTGGTCAAAAGTGTGGCGCGCCTTGTACATATATACCCAGGCCTATACGTACACCTATACCTATGCTAATACATCATCCATGCATGTCCACGTCCATGTCCTGTATGAGGGGTGAAAAGGGAAGTGTCTGCAGCTCGCTAATCAGAATGGACAGGTCAAAGACAGATCAGTGATGCGCAACGATCGCAACGACGTGCTTGCCATGATCGATTTCAACGTGCCTTCCCCGCAATTGGTTTGTGTTGTTACCGCCGGTCACGTCAAGCTCGACTTGATCGTGGCAAGCCTGTTGACAGCAGCAACGATCCACACGCGTCGAGCCGAGATGATGTCCCAGACATTGGTGTCGCACGGCATGGCGGAGCTAAGCGGCAACAGCATCTTCATCCAACAGCAAGTCAATGCGAACATCCGGATGGTGATCCAGGAAGCAGAAGGCATGTGGAAGAAGCAGCCCCAGAGTGTCTGTCAACTAAGTGTGGATGTGGAGGCTTGGGATTGCACATGGCACAGTCACGTGAATAGGCCACTAAAATTAAGTGGCCGAAACGTTGTCAAGATTCAGCCGGTTCCCACCAATCATTAATAAGTCGGCTTCTCAGATTCCGAGTCCAGATTGGCGCTAACTCCAAGTCGTATTGCTCACGATGCGCTATGCCAGTTCCGTGCCATCATGATATCGCCGCCTCCTCAAACTCCGTTGCTTTTTTCGTCCGTCATAGTGAATCCACGGGCCCGAGCTTCGAGATGCTGCTGCAGGTGTCGTTCGACTTTCCGACTTGAGTGATGGCCGTCGGATATAGATGCTATGGCCGACGACATGAGCTGACCCCCAAACATGAACTGTGCACGGCGCTGCCAGGAGAGTAGGTATATATACCCAGAGTGAAGCCGTGATCAGAACACAGAGGACTACCATCCAGCCGGTATTCTTCAGTCTGAAGAAAGAGCGCGGGATAGCCGATCAATCCGAAATTTGACCAGCACAGGACTGTTTTTCTGGTTATTGACCACAATCACCACCACCATGTCTCAGCAATACGCAAAAGATCAGCCGGAAGGGTTCAAGAACCGCGTCCAGAACATTGCGATCGTGGGTGTAAGTGACGTGCCTTCCTTAAGCCATTCATCAAGCTTTACCGTGTATTTACTAACCAATGTTAACAGGCAGGTACGTGAACGATGCCTCAAAGTTCACTCACCAACCAAACCTGGTCTGTTCGTTTCTTTGCTCTACTGACACCCTCGCCCGTTCACTCCAGGCGGCAATGTCGGCGAGTACATGGCCAAATCGCTGCTCCAAACAGGCATGCACCACGTCACGGCCGTGACCCGCGCGGACTCCCCCTCCCTCGCCAACATGCCCGCCGGCCTCACGATCAAGAAAGTCAACTACGACGATCCAAGCACCCTGATCGACGCGCTCACAGGCCAAGATGTGCTCATCATCACCATGGCCGTCACCGCCCCACCCGACACGCAGGACAAACTGATCGACGCGGCCGCCGCGGCGGGCGTGCCCTGGATCCTCCCCAACGAATACAGCAGCGACCCAACGAACGAGTCCATGCAAAAGGACATCCTGCTCGGGGACGGGCGCGTCAAGGCCCGCCAGCGCATCGAGCGCCTGGGCGTCAGCAGCTGGATCGGCTTCTGCTGCAGTTTCTGGTACGAGTACTCTCTCGCGGCCGCAGCGGGGACGTTCGGCTTCGACTTCGCGGGCAAGAACCTTACCTTGTACGACGAGGGGACCACGCGAATCAACGCGACGACGTGGGAGCAGTGCGGGCGCGCGGCCGCCGCGCTGTTGAGTCTGAAAGTGTTGCCTGAGGATCCCACTGACAAGGCGCCCACGCTGTCCATGTTCCGCAACGACCACATGTATGTGTCCTCATTCTTGGTCTCGCAGCGGGATATGTTCGAGTCGGTGCTGCGCGTCTCGGGGGACAAAGAGGACGCGTGGACTGTCCGACACGAGGACGTCAGGGAGCGGTATCGGGCTGGCGTGGAGGAGATGAAGGCCGGCGACAGGATGGGGTTCGTCAAGTTGCTGTATGCGCGCGTCTTCTTCCCGGGGGACGGCGACTACGAGTCGAAGAGAGGGCTGCATAACGACATCCTAGGCCTGCCGAAGGAGGACTTTGACGAGGCCACCAAGCGCGCGCTTGATATCGTGGCTAGAGGTGGGCCATGGGTTCCCGAGCGCCGTTGAGACCCTTGCCCAGGATATCAACGCCAGGGGAGGTTACTTTCTGTAGCACGTTAGATTACACGCGGCACTGCGTGGAGGTTGATATCGAACCATGCTGACTTTAAGCTGTTACACGTGCGATACAGTACACGTTGAATCCCCATATAAGTCCCATGAGTACACGTTGAATCCCGATACAAGTCCCATGAGTACACGTTGAATCCCGATACGAGTCCCATGAGTACACAGCGAACCCCGATATAAAGTCCCATGAGTACACAGTAAATCCGGATAAATGCCCCATGAATCATGCCCCATCAGTCGCCGTACATACCGCCTCCCCGAATTTTGGGGCAGAATGCTGCACCCAACCTTGGTCCTTACAGCTTCGACTCCGAGCCGCTGGTGCCGGTGCCGGTATTGTACCACATCCCTGATAATGAGAAAAACTTCAGCGCCGATCTCCAAACCACAACCCGGTCCGTACTGCGCGGACAGTCCAACTTCAGTCGACCTGAGGCTGGGAGCTCACCATTCAACACGAAACGCACTGCCCAACAACTCCCTTATCGCGGCAACCAGACCCTCCGGCCCACCCTGCTCGAGTGTTCCACTAGGCACTTTGACAAACTTGATGGGCTCGCCGTTTTCGTCCTCCTGCGAGGCGACCATCCGGCGCATCTCCTCGCCTTCTTCTTCGCTGAATCCTCCCCCGACAATGACGCCCTCGGGGGGCGGGTAGATCGCGTCGAGCATCAGCTCGAAGTTTTCGAGCGAGTAAGTCTTCTTGGGCTCGATTTTGGTGAGCATCGCGCAGTAGACGAAGTGGGGGACGAGCTTTTGTTGGAGCTTAAGTGCCATGTCGTAGTGTGCGCCCAGGCAGAGGAGTCCGGTGTAGGTCGTTCTTGAGCAGGGAGCAGGAGCGTGCCATGGTGGGGGAATCAATTGATGGTGCTTGCTTTTTGTTTTCTCTGCTGGCGAGAATAAATGTGACCTTCCAGTGCGAGACAGGTTCGATTGGGCCACATCTACCTATATAAGCACCGTACGGGAGTATTCGTCCGCCCGGGGCACTTAGCGCAGCCATGAGGCTGAAAAGCGTGGAAGATTCATTGCGATTGGCTGATCGACGTCATAATAAGGTACCACAGCCTTGTCATGATCGCCGAACGGGCATAATGCCATTCGGAGAGCATTCTTTGATGATGGCCAGGGCCATTGGTCTTCGGTGTCCGAGGCGTTTCAGTGCTTTAGATGTCACTACACGAGGTTGACCGGGTAGGTAAAAGGCATGGCCGATATCATCTCATGATGCGGCGGTCAAGTCGAGTCGTTCACCGGGCTGCGAAGGTAAGCAGAAGACTCAATAGCTGGTGGCTGGCTAGGGTCTACTTGTCATGGCAAGGATGACATGTCCGATTTGTGATCCGTACCATACTCAGCGGATTGACTTGCGCAGAATGCAAAGGACACGTCTGCTGATGTTTCATTTCCTGAGCTTTGCTCAACAAACCTAGACACTCCATGTGAAACCTTGGAGCCAGCGGTGATGAAGTACCTAGGTAGGCCGTCACGCCTTGTATTGCGTCCTGAGACAGCACCAATGTTTGCCATTGCGTTGCGACTCCCGCCTAATCATATTCGTACCCTGCTGGCCCAGAAATGCGAAGGGGGACAGCGTCGAGAGCAGCAGACACCGCACTGTGATGCAATGTAGACCAGCAAAGAGTTGAGGCTGCATACCGCATGCCCTAGCACCTGGTATCATATCGCCGTTATTAGGAAGCACCCCTTGCTGTAAAAAATGCACGCTCCACTCGCTCAAGACTCTTAAACGCAGGTTCAACAAGCGTTTCTTTGACCACGTTCTTGGGCTTTCCCCATGCGGTTGAGCACTCCCAATCAACTCGTATTCAACTCTTGTAATAACTCCCTTACCTCCCCCAGATCACCCTGTCCCTTTCTCTCGCCGTAGATGGCAGCGATCAAACTGCTGTCGATATTGGGAAACTCTTTCTGCAACTGTGCTTGAATGCGATCATCTTCTGATTGCGGAGCGTTCGCCTCGTACTGCTGCATGTGCTCGACTTGCGCCGCGCGATCGCCTTGCTCGGCCAGCAGCTGTTCAGTATCGGATCGGTGAATGCCTTGCGAGGGAGCAGATGTGTTGATCGAGTGCTGCTGTGGCTGCTGCGGCTGTTGATGGCCATGCGACTGTGACTGATATTGTGAGGCGTCGGATTGGTAGTACCCTTGAGCGGCACCTTGATTTTGCTGGGACGTAGGAGAGGTGTAAGGGTTGCCGTTGCTCTCGGTGTTCGACCACGGGTTATTAGACGACATGTCGTGGTGCGAATGTGTCTGAGGTAGAATCTGCTGGACACGCCCGACTCGGCCGTCTGTCAGCTTCACTTTGATGCCTCGTGGATGATTGTGGCGGGTGAGAAGTTGGGAGACCGTGCCCTGGACTTGTCTGCCTGTTCGCTGGTCTGCTTTGAGAACAATTGAGACTGGTAGTCCTGGCTTTATCTGCGCAAACTGTGTCACCGGCATTAATTGTTCGAAGGCGTTGAGGAAAGTGTCGAAGTCGCAGACTGCGCGATTCAAGGAACGCCTGAGAGGAGTGGCTGCTGCTTCAAGCAGGATGACGTATCACGCAGCCGTTGGAGCGGATCTTGCCGGCGTAGCCAGATACAGTAAAGTAAATGGTGAGCACACCTCCTGTAACTAGTGACAACCAGAGATCTCCTGTAAGTTACTCTCCGCTACCACTTACAGATCGAATGCGAACAGATGTATACAACGAGATGCCCTATTGTGTGCCTTGCACACTACACGAATCTACCAGCGTGATCGCGCGTCGTCTCCGAAAGAACGGCTGAAACATGATAAAATTTCATCTATCTGGTAGTTAAGCTCTTTCATCTGACTGGCGCCTCGTATGCAGCAGTGCAGCCACGCTTTCTCGTCACCTGGCTGCCTGCAACCTCAACATATTATAAGGCTGGAACGAGCACAATGGCTTGCTACACGATTTTCGGGTACCCTTTCTGACTGATTGATTGTGATAATACTCCGCGGCAGTTGATCCAGGCGACTGACTTCTGAAACTTCTGGCAGCAAAACTGCGTTTCGCACCAAAGCTCTCGTGGCCGTGCCACGTTACTAGGTAGATTCCTGGTGGGTCTCAGGTCAGTTATACGACTGTCTACGACGTCCTTCCCTAGGATATGTGGGAGAACTACCAATGGACCACTTCCCTCTCTTCGGTCACATTCTGAAGCAGTACATCCCGATCAAGCTCCGGCATGAGATCCCATACGATGGAGGAGGCTTCCACGGGTTTGAGCAACGCGCAGGCTTCGACTCCAGCGAACTCTCAGAAGGCCTCTTCGTCGGAGACCATTCATTACTCCAACGGCCGCCGTCTGTGTACGCCTCCCTTATCCAGTCTTGGTTCTACTGGGCTTTATTGCACGAATGCCTTCAGCGGGCAGTCGACATCGAGGATTATAGTGAACAGAGGCCAAATGACTGTCCCATGCTCACCACGAGATATCTGGAGCGCGATCTGGTCGGTTGTGCGCACAAGCTGCAAGCCACTGATCCAGTCAGTGCTGTCACGCATATCAACAACGCAGAGGATGCTCTCGCAAAGACTTCCTTCCTTCTCAAGCTGCTGTCTGGTCGCATTGAGAAGGCCACTAAGAACCCCACTAACGAGAGAGCACAATTCTGGGCAGCACACGGCCGCGACTTTCTCCCCCACGATCTCGAGCTTTCATTGTGCTGCCTTGGATACACACTGACACATGCCATGAGCGCCATTTCTGCGGAGCTGTGTCTGCCTTCTTTTGAAGGTCATGCGCGTGCTGGCGGACATTGGTACACGCCTCCTTTTCTGATCCGTCTCGCGGAGGACCTGGGATTTTGTAAGAGTGATACCCGGCATTTCGAGGACATTCATGGCTTTGTCACCGCGTGTATGGCGGTCGCACTTCCCGGCATCAACAAGCGAGGCGACCACTCAGGTTGCACATCGGAAGGCTGTGAGGTCGATAACATCAGGCCTGAAGAGTATGAACAGAAACATGTTCAGAATGGCTGTACATGCTCGCAGTTGATGCCTCGCGAAGCATGGGATGCCATGCTGAAAGTCATCGAACAGGACGGGATACCTCTCGTAAGAGTAAAGCCTCAGTCTCAAAGCATCGGAGGCCGCATCGACTTCGAAGTCGTGCAAGCAGGCCCCGGTACCCGCTATCTTGCGTATAGCCACGTCTGGGCCGACGGCCGAGGAAACGTTTCAGGCAACGAGCTTTATGAATGTCAATGGCGCTGGCTCCAAGAATGCGCACAACAGTACGAGGAGAGAGATTTGGACATCTGCTCCGCGCCCGGTGAGAACCTACTGTTGTTCTGGATCGACACTTTTTGCGTGCCGCGAGGTTCCGACGATCGGATGTGGCAGCTCCGTACCAAGGCTATCCTCTCCATGTCAGAGATCTATCGCCGGGCAGAGGTGGTGATGGTACTGGACTCTGCTCTCGAGAATGCCGACATCACATCGGTGCTCGAGTTCGGCATGCAGTTGAAGTTCTGCGGCTGGTCTCGGCGTGTGTGGACGTTACACGAGGGAGCAGTTGCGCAAAACTTGATGATCAAGTCCGGCAGAGGCCTCGTCAGTCTGGCATTGCTCAATTACCAGATGGCGAAGGCGAAATATCCCTGCAGGGAGGGAGATGAATGGCGGATCTGCGCTGGCATGGAACAGCAGTATATCCACGCCGTGCTTCAAAATTGCCTGATGATCAACAGAGTTTCGTCCTCTGAGAAGGTGACCTTTTTTAATACTCGGAGAGAGCTGCAGAACCGAGCCACTTCGTATCCCAGCGATCGATATCTGGTCATGGGAATTATCAATCAAGCAAGTAAAGAGACGCTGTTAGCTCTCCAGAGGACCGACGACAATAGGCGGAACCCGGAGGAGGTCGAGCTGACCAAGCTGAAACTGATCCTGCTTTCTGCGCCAACGATCCCTCAGAGTGTGATCTTCTCAAAGGATGCGAGATTTCCGGAATTTGGCATGCAGTGGGCTCCCGCGACCATAGGCGGCGATATCCCCGTGGACGATAGTGTTGTTCCAGTTCGGAGGATTCCCGGCAAAGGCGCGATCGTAAAGTACAAAGGATGGCGCATCACCAGCTCACCTCACAAACTGGACACCACAGCATCTTTCATCTCGGTCAAGTTGGACCAGGCCTACCAGTATCAAGACCGATACAAACTTGCCATCTGGCCGGTCGACAAGAAACGGAAGAACTTTGCGACTCTTGTATCCTCTATCAGCCCAGATGCAAGGCTGGCAGTTATTCTGAGCGTTGTCCCCAGCCGCAATGACACGGCCGTGAATTTCAAGATTGCGCTTCTCGTCGAAGAGATCGGAACCTTAGTAGGCGACTGTGTCCAGGACGTCGAGGTGGACAGCGTGGCCCATGTCAAGTACCTTACGCCCCTCAGAGTTTATGCGATGCGGGATAACAGCGGCGTCATGCAAGAGATCGAAGCGGAGTGGCTCAAGCAAGGCATGGAGATCTTATGGTGTGTTGGATAATGTCAAGGCCTCAGTTAGTATGAGTAACATTTGAGAATCCTACCGCGTGCATCGTGGGTATTTTGTCACCCACCTTGGTGGTTAGAAGCCACGTCGCGGTGCACAGTGAGTCGCATGTGAAGGCCTCTCTACTTGGCGGCGATCGTCTCGAGCCAAGCCTGATATCAAGACACCTCGAGAACCCGGTCTCTTATCATACGCGACCCTCCCCGGACATACACACTCGCACAGTACTGTTAATCTGTACGTATCCTGAAATGGAGTTCGCGAGGACGAGGCTCTTCCCGTCCCCAGCGTCATGACGACGCAAATCCTCCACGGCAAGCCCATCCCAGAGGTTGACATTCTCTTCCTCGGCAGTCCCGGCGTCGGCAAAGCCACCTTCCTGTCGTAAGTCCCCGTCAATGCGCGCGCGGGTGGCAACACCCCCTTCCCTACGAGTTAGTCGTAATTTATCTGAGGCTCCGTGCCCACAGACGCCTCCACCACATCCGCAATGGCAAGCTCGACCTTTCCGCCGTGCCCCAGGGCCGCGTCTTCGCCCCCTCGGCGCCACTGGCGTTCGACGTCACCCTCTTCGGCCGGCCCTACAGCTTCCGCATCCACAACTCGACATCCACGCTGTTCGTCGACCCGTTCCCGCCGTGTCCGGCGTTCGCCATCATCGCGTTCGCCATCCCGCACCGCGAATCGCTGCACAACGCGCAGTATTATTGGCGCAAGCAGCTCTCCTTGCATTACCACGACCTGGAGCATACCATGCCGGTCATGCTGCTGGGGTTGAAGCGCGATGAGCGCACCGAGGAGAGGCTCGAGGGGGATGGTGAGGGCGAGGGTGGACGGTTCAAGTGTGTGATGCCGCAGGAGGGGTTGCAGGCCGCGCAGGAGATGCGGTGCGATCAGTATGCCGAGTGTAGTGCCTTGACGGGGGAGTTGATGTTCGAGGTGCTCGAGGATATCACGAGGACGGCGGCCAGGACGACGACCGAGGCGGGGGGGTTAAGTCAGAATTCGAGTTGTGAGGTGATGTGATCTGGCGGAGCGTGGCGTAGCAGTTTATTCTCCTTGCAACGTGTGATGGTGCCATATGGAGTATGTTCGCACGGAAATACCAAACATCGAACACAGTGATGGTTATCTCGAATTAGTCTGTATTTTGTATTTGTGTTCGTGTTGTAGAAAAGGTGCTCAACGACCCTTTAAGGGACCACGACCACACGATCAAGCCATGTACACAGATACATAATGAAGAACCATCGCCATGCTATGCAGAACCTTTACCAGAAGCACAGAGCTCAAAGCGCAACGCACCACGCACCACGCATCAAAGACTTTATCTGAACGACATAGACCATGCCCGCAGCCTCTCTTCTCATCACGTTCGCACCTCACCGACCGACACAAAACACGCCGGCACATTCTCTTCTCATCGCACCCACATCTCACCCATCCACAAGTCGAACGTCATGCCTAAAAGATAGCATCCAAGCAACAACAGCACGCCAACGCCGCGCACAACCCAGCGCAAATCCCGCCCCCACTGCTGCGCTCCCTCTCGTACACGACCGTCTGCGGCGGCGGCTGGCCGTTCCATCCTTGTGGTGGGCCGTAGCCCGGCCCTCCTCCGTAGTACCCTTGCGGCGGTGGCGGGCCGCCGTAGTAACCATTATTCGCGCCGCGGTTCATCTCATACTGTTGTTGGTGTTGGTAGTTTGGGTCGTAGGACATTTGGGGCGGAGGTGATTGGAAGCCTTGGTTGTGCGCGGGAGGGGGGTATTGTGGGGGATCGAATTTGTCGGCCATTGCGATGGCGCTTTTCGAGATGGTTATGTGGGAGTGAGATGGATTGAGATTGAGGTCCCAAGGATGGGGAGGTTTGTTGGTGGTTCGGTGGCTTGGTGGCTCGGTGTTTCGGTTGAGCAAGTTGTTTGACTTCCTTCCTAGCGGTGGTTCAAGGCTGACTGGGATGGTCACGGAAGTAGGATGGATGTAGGAAGTAAGAGGTCAGTCGACAGCGAGTGATTCTCCGTTCGTCACGTCTCAGACTCAAGAATTGAAGTCCGACTGACTGCGCACGGCGCGCAGGTGAAAGTTCGGAATATGCGGAGGTCCGAGCGGGGTTGGACTGTCACTCCGTGAGCTGTCGATCAGGACAGGGACTAGCTCAAGGAGATGTAGCGAGCTGGTGAGCAAGATGAGATGTAGGTCAAACAAAGGTAAAGGTGAAGATCAAGAGTTTATCTCCCGACGGTGGTGGAGAGATAGGTACAGAGCACACACTCCAGAGTTTGCATCTCAGCCGTCCATTTGAATTGCGTGTGGAAGCGACGGCAAGCCAAAGCGAGCGCGAACGCGTAATAGCAGTCTTGGAAACCTTGGCCGAGCCACACTGGACGTGTGTGTCGCTTGCTCACTCACTTCGCGCTCACTGTTTACTTGCTCACTTCATTGTGCGAGCAGTCTCGTACGGACACGATGCGAGATGCGAATGCGACGTGCGCGAATAACCAAATTGCACATTGACAGATATAGACAATTTCTTACGAGGAAATAGCAGAAGGCAGAGCAGAGCTGAAAGGGACGAAACACAAATGCGCCCATGCCTAAGACTGGATCCAGAGAGGAGTTGCGAGGGGTTCTCGAATCGAGGCGCAGCACAGGTCAAGAAGCCTGGAGTGGCGCTCACTCGCAAAGTGTGGCGTCGGGAAGGGAATCAGCACGACGCACGTGGTGGCGATAAAGCTCAGGGAGCACAGGAGCACAGAAGAGACTGTTCAGAGGTAGTCCACCAGTTCGTGTATTCCATGACGACATGCTCGTTACCTTCAGAAGCATTGATGCCTGGTCGAATCTTGTCGCGCACCGCCTTCACGCGCCTCCGAGATTCACACCCTTCGAGAAGCTCGTAGGACTGGCGATATTCAAGGTTTGGCGAGCGGCGAATTGATGGTTGATCGATCGACGGACAAGCCAGCGCTCGATTCAATAGAACTTTACCTGGACGACTCGGACCCTCGACGAAGAATAAACTGAGGATGCTGTACACGTCGACTTTGCTCTCAGGCAGTAATGTTGGCGCCTGCAGTCCTCGATTGTTGTCTCGGTAATGTTGACGTCGGTCGCAGCATCAGGGCGCTCTTTTCACACAACATGCTGCGATGCCGTTCATCGTCCTGAACCAGAGAGAACGAGGCTTTGGAACCTCGTGGACGTATCCCGGGGCTGGATCCCCGTGCGTAAGGACACTTGGAAGGGGCATGTCTGCGAAGAGATCCCTCCGACACACCTCCTCTTGTTTGGGACTTACTGACTCAAGGTACGTATAGTGAGGACTCAAGAGATCCCTTTGAGACATGCTTCCTTTTCCTCTTCCCTGTGGTTCTCCATGACCCAAGGTGTACACACGAGAGTTGAAACTCGAGGCTCCCATCTCTAGCATCGCACACTCATCGTGCAACGTGAGAGTTTGCTCTGCTTTGCTTTGCCCGAACGCCTGTGAAAGGCCTCCAAACTCGAGGTTGTTCGACATGACCGGAGCGATACTCCTCGCACTTACCTGCGTATACACAGTTGTTTGATCATCCAATGTGAATATTGCCAACACTACGGGAAGTACTATGCATGGCTGAGTCGCCCATAGATTTGAGCAAGAGACTGAAGTTACCCTTTGTCTCGTTCCTCCGAACATGCTTACCATACTTCGCATAGCCTCAATGGTCGCGATATAGTCGGCCGCAAATGCGCCGATAACTCCTGATTCTTACCTGAGCGCGTGGCCCAGGACCTGTCTGGTGTGTCTGCCTTGATGATGGCATAAGCACAGCAGAGCACAGCTCATGGATCGGTGCACTATGAATTCACCAACTGGTCAGTGAGTGGTCACCAGGCCATGCAGGCACAAAGCTGTGCTGCACACAACCCATTCGTGGCCATGGCTGCGGCATTTTTGCCATGTGCAAAACAATAGTTGGACCCGGGCCCTGTCTGCGTCTTCAATGCCACGATGAACGTGGGAATGCCCAGCTGGGTGGTGTGGTGTGGTGTGATTCGCTTTTGGCAGCCAGCCGTATTCCCAAGCACCGAGGCCCCGAATTATCCAAAGTCAAAGCCGTCGAGCCGTCGTGCAGTCGTGTTCCGCCTCGCCGGAAATGATACACGGGGCGCCATCCAGCCAGCCTGGAAAGGTTGCGATCCTTCTCAAGCAGAACGCTATCACCACTCGCCGGGGGCTGATGGTTCGCTGAATACGATGACTGGCTACCTTGAGCATGAGAACAAGATTTTGAAGCACAGTGTGAATCTCCCGTGACTCTATTTCAGCTAGCTCGGCTCGCTTCGTAAGGGCATTCTGGATACGAGGTATGATTGGGGCGATGTACATCCGAGCAGTCCCAGCAGATGAAGGTTCCATAGGTACGAGGTACACGTAGTCCGGAATAATGCAGTACGTAACTTCCAGCAGATGGATTGGGCGCGCGAAGCTACCTCTGGACGCTCAATTCCCGTGACTCCCAAAAGGCATTGCTGAATAATCACTGGTAGGCGCCAACCATGCGTACATGGGTACCTACCAGTCACGCCGCGTAGCGGTCCTAGAATGTAGCAGAACGCTGTATCTGGCCATCGCCGTCGTAGCTCAAGACAGCCACAGTCATTTGCGACTGTTCAGACTTGACTGGTTCCCATTGTCAGATGTGAGCATGCGCCGCTGTCGAAGGCAAAAGCCCAGGGGAGATGACTTGGGCGACAAACCCTTTGCGCTGGCAGGGCTGGTCAGCACCAGCGCAGTACGTACATCACGAATGCTCGTACATCGTGACCTGGGAATCTACAGACCTCTCGTCCGCTTAGAAACAGGGATGAAAATCTTGGGTGCACATCGTCGTTGCACAACGGAAGGCTGGCTTCTGGAATCCACCCGGTCCATGTGTCTCTTGCGACACGGCTGGGCAAAACGTTATCAGTGACACAGTCACTCTGACCCCTCGTCAGATAATGGGTGGATGGAGGGGTTGTGTTCGAATGAAACCATGGACAGACAAGAGGAGATGTTGGGTGCTTCGCCGCGCTGTGAGCCAATGACCAAAGCACTTCAATCCTTTGAGAGCCTGGTCGCGCAGGAAAGGACAGGGCCCATGTCTGCCACTTGTGCTACAGACTACGCAACACCCCGTAGTGTGTGGACCGATGAGCAGGACAGCCGGAGGGGTCGATGGACAGGCGAAACGCCTTGTCCCGTCTGGCATCTGCGCTTGACCTCAGAGTTGTTTGGTCGATCGCTGGCAAGATGCTGCAGGTTCCAACCCCAGTAGTGATAGCACTCGCACAAGCTCCTGCATAAGTTCCTTGGTCCTGTACCTCGTACAGGGTGCCCGTGTCGGGCTCTGAAGTTATCTTGAGGAACACCCGGGCGCGTGCAAGAATGCCCCGCAGAAGCAGAAGGGACCCAGCGATAGACGGGTTGTTAACCAGATATGCACTGATAGATGCATGCGAGTGCTTCTGGTCAGGTTCGGGACGGACATGGATGTTCTTCTCCAGGTCATGGAAAAGCGGGATCCAGCGTCCTCAAGGAGCGGGAGCCAAGAGCACCAGTCCAAATAGATCTGCCTTTCATAGGCGCGGTGCGGGTGCCAAAGAGCCTGTCTGGAATGCAGACGCGGTTGACGGCCGCCCACCTTGCAGTAGCGGGTGGCAAAAGGTTGAGAGTTTTTGTGACGGACGAACCACACGAAGGCAGTGAGCAAGAATATGCATGATGGAAGGAGGCCAAGCGGGGCAGCATTGCAGCATAAGGCAACCAATGCATCCTGGCAGAGCCGACAGGCTGACGTCCATGCATCCGCATGCGTTGTCAAAGACAGAGGGCTGGAACCGGAAGCGTGCATTAGTGGACGTCGACGGTGGCAGAGTCGGGGCGAGCGGTGCCTTCCAGCTGGGCTGCCAGGCAGGAGTCATGTCGTCAGGAATAGAACCGCCACGATATGGTGTGGAGGGACTTTCCAGCTGAATGGTTGGCAGGCACACTCGGCGGCAGAAACTCCCTACAGATCGGGATGGCTGCGCCGTCTGGATACGAGGAGGATATGGCATTCCATACCATTCGTCTAGAGTTTGCCCTATTGACACTTCTGATCACAGCCGTCGGGTACATCAGACAACGAAGTAATCAGCCACAGCAATAGCGGGGGGCGATACGCCAGTTAGAAAAGCGTTGCGTTGTGTTGCGATCAGTTACAGTCAGTTGCAAACAGGACCCATTGCTAGGTCCTTGGTTTGATTTGGTACTGTCTCGTCGACTTTCTTCAAGCTATTTACAATGAATCCAGGCATTCTCCGCGTGGTGGTCATCAGCAGCAGATTCGTACCGATCTGTGTCCAGGTCACCGTAAAGAGTAGTTAGAACCCGTAGCCTGGACTAGGACCACCAGATGATATTGCGTCCAGTGGCATGGTGGCCGGTGCGAAATGTCTTGGTCGGACACATCCAAAATGCTAAACAGAAATCAAAGTTGTTGACAAAAATCCCTCCCCATACCATTGTCATCTCTCGCCAGCACTTGGTCTGAGAGACAAGGTAAAACCTGCAAATGCGCCATTTCCTCGCGATTTTCTCTTGCACTGCTAACTTTCAACGCTCATCGCACTGGCCCACGCCCATGTATAATCAATCTTCGGTCTAGTGACGCCAGTAAATGCTTCTGACCTCTGAATCGGGAACACCTGGTGACTTTTCCGAAACTCGTCGAATCCGATCCGGGAAAATGTTTTTTAAAAATAGTATCGTAAAAGTGGCCGCCTAGGTATCCAATGGGTATAGAATGACTCCAATCGTAAACACCGTGGACTCGTTACAGCGTCGACCAGCTTGCTGCTCCAAACGTATATGATGACATGCTGTAGATTAAAACGCAGCGACCGTGGGTACAAAATTGGGTTGCGTGTAGTAAGGCTTTTCGTGCTCGTTCAGGGGAATAACGTCGCCATAGAAGTTGAAAACGGGCGGCTGTAGACAATGGCCAGCGTCCGGCAGAGTCTCGGATTCGTACCCGGAATCTGTTGAAAGCGAAGAACAAGAAGAACCCTGCTTGGAAGTGGGTTCGAATAGAGACCACTCCGAAGGCTGGGTTTGGAAAGGTGGATGGGGAGATGGGGAGGCCGGAGGAGAAGGTGGCAATGCCATGTTGGCACAGTCCATGGAATCCACATAGGCATATGGTGACGCAGGAGGCGATGGCGGAAGGGTGGTGTAGGGGTTGGCTGTGAACCTGGGACAGTTGATGATCATGTCGCGAAGTTCTTGGAGAGTAATCCTCTTGTGCGGGTCACACTCGAAGATGCGGCGAAGAATCATGTTCAGCTCGGGGGTGATTGGCAAGATAGAGCTGAGAAACTTGGAATCCTTCAAGAAGGCGCGAAACGTAGAATCATCCGCGGAGGCCTTCTTCCAGGGATTGCGGCCACAAGTGAGGTTGACCAGGATCACGCCGAGACTCCAGACGTCGTTCGGTGCAGCGGCATACCTTGCGTATGACCGCGTTGGATTTTGTTGACATTCTGGAATGCGTGGTTAGTAACTGTAGTTCAACGTAAAAAGGTGGACAGAACCATGCGTACCTGGAGACATGTAAAATGTCGAGCCACATCCAAAGTCGGACGTAACGGAATCTGTGGTGGCGAGTCCAAAATCGGCCAATTTGACGGTGTGGCCATTGTTGGTAACCAAAATGTTCTCGGGTTTCAAGTCCCTGTGGTAAATTCCAATGGAGTGGCAATACTGGACAGCGTCCAAGATCTGCAGGAAGGCATGTTTGGCCAGTTGGTCATCGCCCACGAAACGGCCATGTTCAGTAATGTTGGAGAACAAGTCGCCTTCGGGGCAGAACTCAATCACGACATAGGTGCAATCAGGGCTCTCCAAGATGCGCAACAGGGAGACAACGTTAGGATGCTGGCTTGCTTGGTTGTGGAGAGCAATCTCGCGTCGTTGAAAGCGCCGTTGCCGGGGATCCAATCCAGCTTTGGGGAGAGCCTTCACCGCATAAGGGATGTTCGTAAGTCTGTCGACGGCCTGGTAGACCACTCCGTATGCACCAATTCCTAAGATCGAGACCAGTTCGAGTCGGCCTGCCAATACGCACCCCAATCGGTCCTCTGGCGCAAGGGAAGTCGCAAGTTGAGGGGACGGAGGAGGCGTCAATAGCATTATTGGGAGAGCCCAAAAGTACGGAGTACTTGGTCTAGGAAAAGAGGAGTAGTCGAACAAGACCAAAAGAACAGTTCAAAACATGGGTCCAGAGGAGGTCCAGAGACTATGTTTTGAACAAAATGAACAGAAATGGCCGGTCCTGGGGAATGATATTCGTCCAACGGGAATGAGAGGGTTGTTCGGGATGGAAACTCGCGTGGTGGATTAAGGAGAGACCGGAATTCGCAGACCAGAAGGACACGGGTCGAAGTATGAGGTGCTGGTGTATGGAGTGAAGGTGTAGGTGAGAAGATATGAGAGGCTGGTGGTCAGGTCGGCGAAGTATTCGTAGTGTTTCTGGTTTTGATATGGCTGATGTAGCGAGGTATAGAGGGCAATATAACGTCCTGGAGGTATGACGGTCGCTGAACTCAATACGGGCATGGCGAACATGGCAAGCGTCGACGCACGGACGTCAATGCCCCATTGAAACCCGTGGCGGTGGGGCAAAGACGCTGTCAGAGGATGCTGCGAATAGAAAAGAGGCGACCCACACGAATGCGTCAAGGTTCGCATGCCCTGGGCCGTAGTCTTGACGCTCGAGACGCTAGATGACGAGTCGGCTAGAAGCGGTTTCGGTTTAGGCTGGCCAGAGGCAGCAAGACGAGGCGGGCAAAGTTTGGAAATACACGGCAGGGTGGGTTCTGCCCCCCCGGCTCCTCCTGGCCGGCCCTGGTTCTTGAGAAAAGGGTCGAACATGTACGGATCACCCAGTGGCTGGGCGCATTTCTGGTCACCACTGATCAGCGATCCTTGCGAGACCGGACGCCAGCGCTAGCATGTCACCCAATGGCCGCTGTCCAGCGAAATGATATCCCAGTCGTCCCAATCAACGCTGCGCGTTTTGAATGCTTGCAGATTTGGCGACGCTTCAAGATCTACCACAGCGACAGACCACCAAGAGGGGGAGATGATCGAGCCGAAGCCCACTTTCGCTTCAATTGGCTGGCGTGCTCTGGCTTCACCTGTTCCCAATTCACCGCCCTCTCCGCCCGGGCAACGGCCGGTGGACATGTTTGTCACTGGAAGCTTTGGCTGTCTTCGAGCAATTCCCAGCGTGATTTGCCACAGGACACCCGTGGGCGCTCTGTACCGTCTGCTGTGTTCTCCGCCTGGCCTAGGTCGGTCAGCCTGTCCAAATTGCGTTCGGGAAACAGGAGACTTGGAGGATTCGGTCACTGAGTGGAGCAGCGTGAGCTTGATTGGGCACGTCGGGCGCCAGCACAGACGGCATCCGACATGAGACGAGCAACCCTACCAGATCGACTGTCGGCAGGTCGGGCAGGAGCCTGGTCGGTGAGACGCTTAGATCGTTGTTTCTTTTGCGCCTCGCGCCTGCAAGAGGTGGACGTGCTAGCGCTAGCTCGCATGACCGCTGCTGCCATTCGCCGCTGTGTCAAGCAGGATGGATCCTCGGTGCCAGATGGCGGGTTCGAGGGCCAGACTTGCAAACGGAGCGACTGAGCACTGCGGCCTGCCGGTCTGCGATGTACGCAGGCAGCAAAGCGGCGCATCCTTGACTCCTGAGGCACTAACCTCCCTCTGACGGGTCAAACTTGCTCGGGCTGCGATCCTCGCTCCCAATCACAATTCATGTTCAATCAACTGTGCCCTACCATAGCCACTCCCAGCGCGAGGGGTGTGCTGGAAGAAAGGCAGAAGCAGGCCAAAGCTGCTGCCCCTCCACCTCGATTCATGCACGCCCCAAAAGTCATTCTTAGCACTGTCGATTTTCAAAGCGTCTGGGGCGGCGCGCAGTCGAGTCTTGAGCGTGGACAAGGCTCCCATGGTGTCGATTACTTTCACCATGCGAGGGTCGCGCAGTGGTCAGCGCTACCAGCATGCTCAGGAGCAGACGGCTTTCTACACAGATGGCCTCCTCTTCTATCTCGTACTTGTGGCCTGAAAACCTAAAGTAATGGGCTTTGACAAGAAGTCAGCCACCAACTTTGGAAGTTGTCGATTCTCCTGAAGGAACGTGGCAGGCTACATGTTTGGGCTGAACATGACTTCCGCCCGCTTCCCATACGAGTCGACAATACACAGTAGTACACAGTAGTGTGACCCTTCTCGCGCTGCAGCCAATTTGCCTCTGGGACGTTAGGGTCACGCTGCAGTGCCCGTCCCGGCGGAATTGTCGGCTGCCGGCCTTGTGCTGTGGCTTGTCAATTATTGCGACTTGACACTGGTGAGTCGCCACGAACAGGCTAGAGGTAAACGGGCCGAACTGTTTCAGCATATCTGAATACTAGCCATGATCCGCAGCACAACTTCAATAGTGGAGGGTAGTGAGTGCCCGCTTCCAGCCTGTCCATGTGACCCATGTGCGTTGGGGAGACAGAGGGCACATCAGGAGTACGAGACGAGGCCAATGGGAAAGTTTGAAGGGTCAAGCTTCTCCACTACCAGCCTTACCGAAATTGATTCAGCGCGTAGCCTGTGGGACGCTTGGAGTCAGTTGGAAAAATGGACATGCTGTAGTCGCGTGTCTCACGATCGCCATCGATAACCGTCCCAAGGCGTGTTTGCATGGTTCGGGCGGTTCGACTCTTCTGCCAGTCGCCCAACCACGCACAGGAGAGGCCTTGCTTGCCAGAAATTGCCGGGTTCGCTGGGAACGAAGCCCAACGCTGACTGGTTGTAACACGAGCTTCGCATGGAGCGCCGTCGAAGCCTGTCACAGCTTCTGAAGGTCTTGGGTGACACGGGATTACGTATGAACAGCCCAACACCATCAGTGCACAGGACATCGGCAAGCGGCCTGTGTGAGGCAACGAAAACCCTTTTCGTGTTCGGTGACAAACGAGTTCTGGCGCTGACATGGTTTGACAGCGATCAAGCCGCGTTGCCTGACGAGTCACCATTCAAAGTGGCAAGATAGGAGGTGCGCCTAGGACGAGAAGGGCTACCTCTGGGCTTCGAGTGACAGGCCAACACGAGCAAGGCACCGATCACGAGGCTGTTAGCCTGGACTCTGTGAGGCTAAGGACCAATCTGGCTGTGCCGCCGCTCAGATCTGCGATGGAGAAATTTTCTTGCGACACGATGCGAGACACACATTCCGTGTCCGTGACTGACGGAAGTCGCCGCCAATGCGGGTGGCAAACATGCGCTGATCGTTGTCACGCTTGACCGTAGCCTGCCATCCACCACTATCTCTCTGCTTCGCCCTAGGCTTTCCGTGCCAGTCCGCCGGGGACCGGCCGATCAGAGACAAGAATTGAACAGTGAGGCATCCATGAGGCAGACCCTCGAGGGATTGTTGTTTCAGTCTTGCATCACTCGGCATATCGAAATCCACAATGGCCTCATGAATTTCCCATCCCCTGGCTGGTCTGTAATTCTACGCGAGTGCACAGAGTCCTGCACAACACATCGTGCCCAAAGCATTCCAGGGCCCAACATGATCATCCATAACTTTTGACAACTCGCAGAAACGATCAGCGGTCGCAGTCGACGTTCTCCCAAATGACTGCCCTCCATGAGAGTTGCCGGCAGTTAACTCGATCATCGACGACCTGAGCAGATTTACGATTACCACCGCGACCCTCCTACACAGTACGGTACCTGCCTGCCCTCCCTCGCCTGCAGCTTCTGTTGGCTTTTTCGCCACAATTCTTGTCTCGTGAAATCGAGACCGACCACCACGCTGTCTTGCATACGACAAATGCTTCCAGGGTTACGGAGGATATGCACGCCAAACACTCAACGGTTTTGGGGTGCAGGCAGTTGCAGTGATACATGCTCGATCAAGTGATACGGGAAGCATCGGTTTGAGTTCCAGCGGAACGGCTCCCGAGAGTCGAAGAAGGTTTGACCACAGTTTCCTGTCATGTTTCTCGCTCAATCATGGCGCAACGGCCAAGTCAATCGTCGTGACGTTGGAAATATCTCCTCCGCGGAAGAGCATTATTGCCTGACTGTGCCCCTAATGTGGCTTGTGGTGGTGTGAGGCTGCTGCTGGTCTAGACCGCAGGACCTACCGAAGAACTCAAAATGACGGACACAACCGGGTCTTGAATCTTGCCAAAGATCATGCTCGACCGTTGCCTGTCAGTACACTGTCTACTGCTCGACGCTAGAGTCAATTGCGTAGTTTCTTCCATGTGGCGTAATTACCAAATGCCTGCCAGATGCGCTTTGATATTGCGTTGTAGGATTTCGATTATTCGCAGGCTTGACGGCTCCGCGACGGGATGCAGTCGTTCTCTGGGATGGCGTGCAGAACAGTGGCAAAACCTATGCTGTACAGGCGCAGTACCTCGGATTACTCCTGTCCATGCGCTGTGGATGCGTACACGGTGAACGGAGCACGAGATTGATTCAGAGTACTCCGTACGTGTCATGTTTTGAGTTGTGCACCCCTTGAACGACACGAGCGACCCGGTCAACGCAGCTCGAAGCCAGCACGCTCTCGCATCGCAATCTGTTTCCTCGTCAAGATTATTCCGAGCCATGTTCCATTTACATCAGGTGATGGCCCCAGCTTCACAGTCCGCTGCCACGAGACTGTCAGTGTCGTCCGTGTAGTTGTCGTGCGCAGCATTATAGAGGTACGTGGGGAATCTGTGGCATGCTACGGTATTCCACCAGGGCGTTTGTATTGAAGACATTCTGCATGATTGACAGTTGGACCACGGAGCCCCCATTGATGCAGCAGCGATTGGAGATGCTTTGGTTCATAAAGGTCGCTCCGGCTTCGAGGTCCAACAGGTTCTGAACCGCCAGCCGGCCTGTCGCTTTGTACGGACCAGGCGTCTTCAGCCTACTTGCCATGGCATCGTACCCAGTAGGGTATTTCTTGCTGTGGCCGCTGTTCCGTCAATGGCGTGCTATACTGTCAGACCATTGGGACCATGCCGCACAAAGCGACGCCGCTGAAGGTGAGTTCGAGAGCATACTGGACTTGCGATTCTGCAGTTCATCCGCACCCAGTCGAACCCTCGAGTACCCTCAGAAGCCCTACCCTTCAGTAGGGACAGGCCAAACTTGAGCAGAGGACGAACGGAAGAGAGCGTCTATTGCATGACACATCTGAGCTGATGCTAACGGTACAAACTGTGTCGTCACGGCCCACACCGGCTGATACTGACTGTCAGTTGTGTGGTAGAGGATGTGTTAGGCTGAATACTCGGTGAGTTGCCCAACGCAAGATCGTCCCGGGAAGCGGTCTGAGACATCTGGAAGAGCAGTGTAGAATAGGTCTTATGTTGGAGGGATGGCGAGCAGTGATGCTGCGTTCTCAGGGGCAAACCTACTGAAAGATAGAGTTGGAAAAGTAAACGCATATTGGATCTTTCGTCTATTAACTTACGCAATAAGCCAATTATACATGATCGAAGCTCGAGCAGAATGTTTCCACGGTCTTGTCTCTCTTGTCGTCTTCTGACATCCTCACGGTCATACAGATGGCGTGCTGTACCTAACCCGCTCTTCCCGTAGTATAACCACCGTGAAACCGCGGGGAGGTGGGGGGATATTTGAGAAGCGCGAGTCCAAGCTCGTTCGTTGAGAATATAGGTAACCAGGTGGTCGTGCGGACGGATGACTGCAATATCCAGCCAGAGCAATTCAGTTCCGCGTGTGAGATATGCAATAATGCTCAAAGGTATACATGACTGAATTTTTCTACTGATGAAGCAGAACGTGGTACAAATTCACATCATCAACTCCGACATGGAAGAGACTTAGCATATAACTGCCCTCAAGCGCCTTCCGGATTTGTCAAGTTGTAGCCATCGGTGACGCTGTCAACCCCACTGCCTCTTGCACGCGGATAGAGACACGTTCTCAGTCTTGGAGCATCTCTGTTCGCAGACAGTGCTTCTACACGGTCTTGCGCTGATACCAGATATTGAAAACTGGCAACCAAAGATACGTACCAAACATCACCAAAAGCGGCGCACCACATTCCTACCATACCAGAAGAGGCAGGTCCCCGAGGCCGGAGCGGACTTACCCGAACACCGAACATCCTTAGCATCACTGATCGGTGAAACTGCTATTGAAGGGAAGGAGCATAACACAGAACCAGAACAGGTTTAAAAGAATTAGAAGAGCAGCTACGAGTGCGACTACAGCTACAGCTACAGCTGCGCTCCATGAAACCGAGTGGCCGCCTTTTTTCCCTTTGCGCAGCCGTCGTCGTTGCCTCGGCGACTTTTCAGTACCTTCGCTTCGGTTACGTCTTGCTCAATCGACCGTCAGCCAGAACGATAGTATCCCGATCTCATCAGGAGGATTAATGGCAGCGCATTAGCCAAAAAATAATTCGACAGCTTTACAGCTTTACATCTTTTCACCCCGAATTTTCAAGACCATTGCATCTGGATTTCAGAAGGAGTACTCGACATCCCTGCCAGCATCGTTCTCGGGCTCGCGACCATGACACGACACAAGGTCCTACCCACGCGGTCGTCCAGACCATCGACATCTGAGACCATCGAATCTGGCTCAGAACCCGAGCACGTCTCCTTCAATAGTAATCAGCGACCTCAGCAAGACGAGTCCCGCAGTCATCAGCCGTTTGGCGCGTCCTCAAGACCGCGAGAACAACTCCCTCCTCAGCATGCTTCCAGCCAATCCTCAATTCCAGCATCTCTAGTAGACCACCGACCCAAGAAGACACACCTCATCAATGCTACGCTTTTCATCCCTGGCCGCGGCAAACCCCTCCACAATCACTCAGTAATTTTTCAAGACGGAATCATAACGGCCGTCCAGCCGACCTCCGCGCTGCCTCCCCCTTTCAAGAATATTCCATCAACAGACGTCCCTGTGTTAATGCCTGGCCTCTGGGACTGTCACGTCCACTTTCTCGGGTCCAAGACATTTAATTTTGCCGAGATAGCAACCCAACACCCCGCCCTCGCTGGGGCGAGGATTGCGAAGAACCTGCACGACGTGCTGATGAGCGGGTTCACCTCCGTGCGCGAACTGGCTGGCTACGGTCTGGATGTGTCTAAGGCTATTAAAGAAGGCTCACTCGTCGGACCCAACATCTACTCCTCCGGGGCTGCTATCTCCCAGACAGCAGGTCACGGCGACGTCTTCGACCTGCCCTCGGGGTTCGTAGACTCAGTGTTCGGGGTGCGGGATACGCAGGCCAATGCCCTCGCGCCGGGTACCGGGCCGATGATCATCGCCGATGGAGTCGACGAGTGTCGCCGCGCGGTTCGCCTCCTCATCCGCCGTGGTGCCACGTGCATCAAAGTCTTTGCCAGTGGGGGCGTGCTTAGCATCGCGGACGATCCGCTGAGGCAGCAGTTCTCCTTGGCCGAACTGCAGACCATTGTTGCGGAGGCGGAGCGCAACGGGCGCGTCGTGGCCGCGCATGTCCATGGGAAAGCGGGCATCATGGCGGCGATCATGGCCGGCGTGCATACGATCGAACACGGCACATACATGGACGAGGAGTGCATCGAAGATATGAAGAAGCGTGGCATCGTGTACGTTCCTACCCGCACCATCGTCAAGGTTGGCGTCGACCACCCGGAGTTGATGTCTCCAGAGTCGTATCGCAAAATGCTCATCACGGCACGCCATCATAAAGAGGCGTACCGGCTGGCTGTGCGTTCGGGGGTCAAGATCGCGCTAGGCACGGATCTGGGTATCAGCGCTCCGACGGATCATCCGCTGGCGCATGGGCGGAGTGGGGGAGAACTGTCCTATGCGGTAAGTGATGGAGGAATGACGCCTCTGCAGGCCGTTGAGGCCGCGACGGCCATGGGGCCCGAAACACTGGGAGATCTAGGCATGAAGCCGGAGAGTGGCGTTATCAAGATGGGATATGATGCCGACATGATTGCGCTCAAGGAGGATCCGTTGCAGAACATGGACCTCTTCGAGAAGCCGGAGAACATCACGCACGTATGGAAAGGAGGGCGGCTATTCAAGAGTCCCAGAATGAAGAGCGAAAGCCCGTTCTGATAGACTGCTGATTTGGAGCTTCAGGCTATCGAACGGCAACATCCATAGAGCCTTGTCTTTGCACCACTCGTTCCTGCCCGGCTGCTAGGGCTTCTAGCCTTGCTGCTTGGACACGGTGTTTCTTGACCACGGTGATCCACTCGGGCTCAGGCATTGGCCTGGACTCGCGCGCGGCTTCACCTTGGTTCGACATTTCCTCAAGTGAAACAGCTCCATTCGATCCAGCAGCTACGCTTTCCTCGGCCGGGGCTTCCGCAGTATCTCCCTTCTGTACCGTGGGCGGCGACACAGCTTCGTAGCTCTCGGCCTCGTCTTCCTCGTAAAGTTCCGCAATCAGTAGACTGAAATCCGCACCCAGTCGTCCCAGACTATTGGCCGCGTACAGGACCTGCATGAGCAAGCTTTCTCGTGCCGTGGCGTCCGTCACATTAGGCAAGTACTCCTTGAGCGTAGCCATGAAGATCCCCACCAGGTAGAGCGGGAAGGTCTGCAGCGCGGGCGGCAATGCGAGATCCAAGTCCAGCGACGGAAGTGATGAGGATGGCGCGGAAGCGGTCGGGGCCGGTGCTACCCCTGTCCCTCTTCCCGTTCCCTCGACAGGGGAAAAGATGTTGCGGTACATTGAAATCGTGGCGAAGGACTGCTCGCGGAAGATCTCGATATAGCGTTTCAGGTACCGTTCGGTCTGCTGGCCCGCGACTTGGGGAATATACCCTCCGCTTCCGCTAGCCTTGCGCGACGGGTGTTGGGGGCGCAAGGGCCCCGCAAGATTGCGGTTGGCGTTGGCGTTGGCATTGCCATTTCGATTCTGCGCGACATTCTCCCTGCGCGCTTGAGTCTCTTGATCCGCGAGATCGCGGAGTGGCGCGAGCGCCTCGGTCATGCTGAGGAAGGTGCATAGTCTGGCGACGAGGAAGAGGGCGCCGAAGTGGCCTTCGTCCTGCTGCGCGGGTGGCGCCACAGATGGTGATCCCATTTGCGAAAACAACGTAGTGGGTGCGCTGGCGGTAGCGGTAGCTGGAGCTGAGGTCGTGGCCGTACCCGTGGCCAACTCCGGTGCAACGCGGCGCAACCAGCCGATCATCCTGATTGCCGGTGCGAGGCGAAGGTTCGGCCCTTTGAGAGAGGCGATCAGGTTGGTCGTCATGTCCTTCATGGCGAGTTCGGCGTCGGCGAGCACGGCCCGCACGAGCTGCGAGTCCGGATACAGGATCTGCAGACGCTTGATGTGCGCGAAGAGGTCCAGCGCTTGCGTGTAGTTCGCGGACGAAGACGAAGTAGAGCTGGTGGAAGTGGAAGCGGACGCAGCGGCGATAGATGCTCGTAAAAGCGAGGGCAGTTCGAGAATATCTTGCGCCTTGTCTGCTTGGCGGGCGAGCAGGGCCGCATTTCGTCGCGCCGTGAGGAGAGCGGCGGCGCTTTTGCTCTGCTCTCCCGCGGTTTCGTTCCCCGAGCGGTTGTGGCTGTACGTGGAAGCGAATGTCACGGCGCTGGCGTCCAATTCGGGGATGCTCTGTCTGATAGATTCGACTGCCGCCGAAATTCGGGGCAGTGATGTCCCGAGCGTGCCGAGGTGGTCTGATGAAGTGGTGGTCGTGCGGTAGGAGCGGGATGAGAGGGCCTGGAGGGAGAGCAGGTTTGAGTGTTGAGCTTGGGCGAGTGATTGGGGTTCGGTGGTCGTTAGATCGCTCAGACGCAGCGAGACTAGACGAGAGAGATACTGGGAGATTTCGGGGCTGTAAAGGGAGGATGAGGAGGATGGCGATGATGAGGACTGTTGAGAAGAGGACTCTAGGTATGGTTGAAGAAGCTCGTACAGGGGGTCCGCCATGCTGACGGCGGTCCAGATACTATGCTCAAATGGAGGCTCCGTCGACGGTCAGATACTTGGATCGAGCCTCGCCCGCCGTCGTGGAATGCAAGCAAGGTTGTTGTATCGGGCACTGTTAATAGTGAATTGTCTTGCTGTGTACTGTGTATGGGATGGAAGAACGACGTGTTTTTATTGGCTGGTGTGAGAACACGGTCACTGTCTTGGCACAAGGCTGAGCATACAAGGCTGACGATCCTTTTGATACCTAGGTAACGTTGTACAAAGTACACGTACCCATGGTCAGATGAATACCTAGGTAGGTAGGTCGAACAATACCCTGTACTCTGATACGCAGTGTAGTTGATCAACACACAGCATCGCGACCCGAGCTACTTAAGCGTGTAGGCGCTCCTCTCACGTCGTTCCTCTTCCAAGATCTGCTCCATCTCGCCAGTGACTCGCTCCTGAGTCCCAATTTCCAGATCAGCCTCCTGAACCTCCGCATCACTTTGATCGCCCAGCGCGTCGGCCAGCTTCCTGTTAGGGTCGTCCAACTCGCCTCTCAGAGCGCGAGCGAGTGAGCCAGAGAACGACTTCTTGACCGTTTCCGGCGAACTTGAGAGAGACTGAATGGCGACGGTCTGAGAAGTTCCTCCGGGGCTTTCGACCTCGAGCTCATCATCCGAGCCGAACGGCGAGCCCTGGCCCGACCTTGTTCCGCCTCCATCTCTGCCCAGATATGACTTCACGCCGCCTCTCCTCCCAGTATCTACAGACAGGTTGCTGAACGAGTTGCGGAGATTGCTGGAGGACCGAACCCTGGTGCGACTTATTTCTCTGGTGGCGCTCGGCCCCCGACTCCTCCGTCTCTGGGTCGGTGACGCATTGGGAGTACGTTTGTCGTCGCCGCCTTCTTCTGTCATTTCTGGCTCGTCCTTGAACATGTCTGCCGTATTCTTCCTGGTTGGCCGCGGAATGAAACTAGCTCCAGTGGGATCATGCGCACTCTTGGACTGTGTCCACCGCCTCACAGGGATCGTTGGAATAGATTCAGGGGGTGCAGAAAGACTGTTTTTCCTAGCAGCAGCACGCTCCCTCCTGAGATCCGACCATCGCCGTAGTTGGTTCTGAAGTACGTATCGTCCACTGGGGCCATGTTTCATGACCAGGAACTCACAGTGGTTGATGTTCCGCAGGTCCTCGAAGAATTCGACACTGTAATGATACCACGCCATCAAGAACACTCGACTGCATAGGCCGTGGGTGACAAGGATGGCGACGCTGGCCATGCTATCTTCGGAAAATCTCCGCCACAGCGAGCCGTTGAAGGACGATACTCGGTCATAGACGTCAGCTCCACTCTCGCCGTTGGGTATGCGGTAGAAGAAGTGGCCGTACTCTGCGCGCTCCCGCCAAAGTCTCTCTGTTTCTTCCGTACCTGGCTGGAAGTTGCCGAAGTCCTGCTCCCTCAGTCGCGGCTCCTCGTACACTTTGATGTGTGATCGCTGGAAAGGTGACGGGACGGGATCATTAGCGCACAGGCCGTTCAATATGCCTTCAGTGGTCTCTCTGGTCCTTCTGTATGGTGATATGAAGAAATGCAATGTATCGTCGGTTCGTAAAAGAGCACGCAGTTTCTCGCCGGCTTCTAGAGCTTGTCGATGTCCTTCTTCGGTCAGCCCAACCTTGTGGTCCGGGGTCTTCTGGTGGATTGTTTTATCTCTGTTGCCCTCTGACTGGGCATGACGGATAATGATGATCAGGCGTGGCTTGCCCATTCTCGCCTCGTGCTGCACAATCACAGGCAGGTCTGCTTGACATCCACTAGGCGGATGACCGTGATTGTTGGCAGGTTAATTTCAGATCTACAGAGTGAGCCCAAAAGCTACTTTGACATTACCATACTCTTGAGTGTTGACGGGGTAGTTTTGATAAGTCGACTTAAGTGGAGCGGATGAGGAAATGTCTTACAGAGGCTAGCCTTGCACTGCAGATTTCCTGGCAACTAGACCCCCAAAGGAGCCTAGCTCAGCCTTATCGGAATCGCGTCCGTGCTTCTTCTTGTCGCGATCTTGCTCTGCTTGACCACCAGGTATCGTCGTTCACTTACCATATACCTTTCCCATCTCACACCATACCGCGTCCAAAGAGAAGGCACGATGAATCCGCAGATGCAAAACTACCGGCAATTTGCAGCCCAGGCGCAGGGGAGATCTACTGCGGCGGCACGTCGACCAGGTGAGTCGATCCAACATTAATGATCCTCGGCGCGTGGAGACTAGAACAAGTCCTCCCACCACTTGTCTCCGCCATCACCGCGAAACCGTCTACTTACGCAATCACTCATTAGGCCAAATCCCGCCCGGCCAGCACGCCGCGCAACATGCCGCGCAACAAGCCCAAGCCCAAATGATGCAACAGCAAGCCCAGCAGCGCAACGCCGCCATCGAACACCAACTTGCCCAACGACGCGCGCGAAAGCCCACCGACAGAAATCTTCCCGATGGACTGGAAGAGGTCGTCATTGGCGACGGCGTGGATCAATACAAGAAACTCCGCGAAGCAGAGAAACGCCTGGATCACCTGATGGCGCGCAAGAGATTGGAGATCCACGACAACTTCAGTAAGAACGTTAAGAGGCAGAAAACCATGCGCATCTGGATCTCCAACGCCGTCTCCGCCCAGCGCTGGCAGGCGAACTCTGATCAGGACGCCTTTGCATTCGAGGCAGGCGGCGATCCCACCTACCGCGTGAAAATCCACGGCCGCCTTCTCGAGTACGACGACGACGACATCCTGCACAGCGACTCTGAAGACGAAGAGCAAGAAGATCAACAAATGGCCGATAACGAAGACCAACAACCAAACAAGCGCCGCAAACTCAAATCTCCCTCAAAAAAGTTCACCCATTTCTTCAAAGGTATGACTGTTGAATTTGACAATTCAAAGAACACCAGCAACATAGCCGGGGATCCAAACCAAACCGTGACCTGGAAAAAGGGTGCCAACCCTAACCAATCCGGCGATTTTGACAGCATTGAATTTGAGCGCAAGGGCGACGAGAACGTCAACATTACAATCTGTCTGACGAGGGATGAGCAACCTGAACGCTTCCGCTTGTCCAAAGCATTAGCCGAGACGTTGGACATGGAAGAAGCCGACCGCGCGGAGGTCGTCATGGGCATCTGGGACTATGTTCGCGCCATGGGATTACAAGAAGATGAAGAGCGCCGTTCCATTCAATGCGACGATTCCTTGAAAAGAATCTTCGACACTGAAACATTCTTCTTCCCACAAGCTGCCGAGCGGCTGATCCCTCATTTACACCCTCTACCGCCGGTTCGTCTTCCTTATACGATCCGCGTTGACCAAGCGTTCCACCAATCCGGCACCCCGGAGCCCACCGTCTACGACGTGCGTGTCACGACCGAGGACCCCCTACGGCCTTTATTCTTCCGCATGACACAGAACCCCGACCACGCCGCAACGCTGCAACAACTGCGCAAGTTGGATGATGATCTCGCGGTCTTGATGCAGAGCCTCAACCACCACAAGGCCCGTCATCAATTCTTCACATCGATGGCGAAAGATCCGCAGAAATTCGTGGAGCGATGGCTCAGCTCGCAAAAGCGCGATCTCAGCGTCTTGCTCGGAGAAGTTGAAAGAGGCGATGTTGCCGGAATGGAGTTCGCTGGCCAAGAGGTCTGGAGTGGTGAGACTGTCAGGGAAGCCGTGCGGTATCGGCTTGCCCGGGCAGAAGCTCAGGCGCATTCGCAATCACAGTCACAGCCACAATCACAAGGGGGACGATAGGTTCATAGAGAAGATCCAACAATCGAGAGGATCGGAACTAGACGTCTCTCTCCTCCCTCGCCAAGCCGCAATATTAGAAGACCACCGACTGCAAACAGACCGGGAGGCCCAGCCCTGACTCAGCAGGAAAATTCGAATCCTGGCCTTTGGCGTGGGAGAGCCTTCTGAGAGAGCAATTCAGAACGCGCTTTGGCCATGCCTTGGCAGAGGGCAGAACAACCTTCTCCCCACAAGCTAAGAACCGCGCAGGGTTATCTCCGCAGAGCAGCAGCGAGGCCGCTGTCAAACAATTGCCCTACTCATGGCAATTTTATGCCGCCGCAGAGGAACCCGGGGCCCATTAAATGATTGTCGGGAAGTGCGTTACATCACCGACACTGTCCCTGGGCGGATCTCTTACTTCAACAGGGACATTAAGCGTCCACAGCGCTGGACCCACGACTGGCGCAAGCTCCCCAGTGCCAGGGTCAAGTGCAGATCTAGCTAATGACCAGCTAGGGAGGACGTCTCCCTGAAGAACCAAACGGAGAACAAGCGAGAACTGAGCTACCTCTCTGTAGATGTGCACGAAGAGGAAATCTTGAAGAGATGATATAGCTGCGATTGTTAGTGGCGCTGAACCCCCCTGTTTCACTATGACTGTTTGCCCTCCATCTGGATGATGTCTTTCTCTCCGGGCTCAAGAGCCCTGTCCTGTCTGATGATTCTCTATTCCTTCACTTTCCCCCTTGAGCTCATCCAAAGTTATGGCGGTACTTTTTCCCGCTTTTTATAATGCTTGCTACGAATGGAGAGCGCATTTCGGATCTCTCCATGGAACGCAGACGCTTCTGTGCGATAACCAATCTAGCTTGTGTACACGTGTCTGTGGCTGTCATGTGCGCTACCCAATCTGTCTCCTTTACACGTACGTAATCTGAGGTTGTCATGTAACAAGTTGCGAAAGACATGTAATTTCCCGCCTCTCGAGAATGTCAGGTCGGACTTGGCATCAAGGTTGAGTCCGGCCGTTTTCCGGACGTGGTCTGCATAGCCCGTAGTGGCGGGCACATTATGAACGGACCCGAACCACGCCAAGTCATGGGATATCGGTGCGGAATCCCTCATCAAGCGTTTCCACACGCTCTGTTCTCCCGCCATTGTTCCGGAGCCCACCGCGTGCTTCTGGACCTTGCTTCGTTCCTAGTCCCACCATCATGGGTTGTGGATAGTTGGGCATCGACGCTGCTGCTGATGGTGGTGGCACAGTTGTCCTCCCTTTGGCGTCAACGCCAACGCCATCACCCTCCGCTGCAGCGTACATGGACGGTACGCCGGAAGGGACTGTACTCATGCGTTCAACCAACCCCTTATAAAACAAGGCCTCCTGGATACTTTCCAGCACATCTTCCCGCGCGGTATGGCGAAGTTCCTTCCGCGGAGCCGCCATCAACACCTGGTCGCTGGCCCAGCGCCTCACCATCTCCTTCATCGCCGAAACATCGAACAGGCGGTAATGGAGATGCCCGAGGATGATATTCCAGGGCGGGACCATCAGAAAGGCTCGGTCCGCGTGGATACTGTTCCCCGCGAGCAATGCGCGGCGCGGTTCGGGGATGTAGTGCTTGATGTAGCTGAGCAGCTGTGTGGCTGCGACGTTCGCCGTGATTGATGAGGAGAGGCATTCCTGCGTGAGTCCGGAGTCGCCGTGCGTCTTGATGCACCAGTCTGACATCTGCGCCAGCTCCTCCGGCGTGTGGTATATGATGGCGTTGAAACCGACGGGGTCCAGAGGCGCCAGGTCCGAGGTGGTTAGAATACACGAGATGGATAGGATCGTGTCCTTGGACGGGTTGAGGCCTGTCATCTGGATTGAAATTTATGCGTTAGTTCTGCCATCGTCAGAGGGAAAGCCAACTCGGGACGGATGAGGCACGTGCGAACATGGGAATGTAGCTTAGGGCTCTGTTGATATCTTGTAACTGTCGCGGAAAAGGCGCTCCTCTCATACATATGGTGGTGGGTACAGTAGGAATCGCGCTCTCTCGCGGGCGTGGACGTCGCGTTTGTGCTTCGCTGCTTCGACCTACCTCGCAGTCAACCCAGACCAACGGGTCGGTAGATCTGGTGAGTGCCATGATAATCGTCCTTTGTTGAGGTGTGCGTGCTCTTCTTGGCTTGATTTTGAGTACACAATAGGCCGTAATACTCGACTGTCCGCGCTCAGCCTGGACTGATGAGCGGTTGATAGACAGACGAGGGAGCCAGCCGCATGGGCCGTGCTACGACTTTCGCGAGTAGTGCAGCCGCGTCGAACTCGTCGACTCGCCCTTGGTGCACCTTTTGAGCAGAGAATGGTGCTGCTTGTTGACTACACAATACGTCGCTCGTAACGAGGAACGAAACGAACCAACCACGGATTTAAGGGGGCGAGAGATGGGATTGCAGCAAGCGCGGTACGAGTAGACAGCGATGACGACCAGGAAGACCTACACAGTACTGTGTACGGCTACTCTTACTGCCGTCGACGGCCCAGCGGTGCAGATCCCATCAGGGACTGACGGGGCCTCCTTTGCGGTGGATTGGTGGAGGATTGAGAAACCGAAAAAAAGACCCAATGACGATATTGTGGTCACTTGGCTCCCTAGGTCTGCTTTCGGATGAGGGATGACGTTGTTTTCCTGCCAATCAGATGAATGTGTGAAAGAAGTAGCCGTTGTGGGAGACGCCTAGTCGGAGACAGATATCAGACGAGCGTGACGAGTTGCTTGCAAAGTAGAGAGTCCCAAATCCCGCTGCTCACGGACTGGAGTCACGGCGATGCGACCTGCGTAGAATCGGAGGCGGAAGCTAAAGAGATTCTTTCAGATTGTCATTTGGGCTACACACTTGGCTCAGCTTGCCGTTGGCAGCTCGAGAATATCAAACATGTCTGTATGCAATTGTCCTCCGGTTCAACATGTGAAACGACCCTTCGGCTGTCGTGGTTGTGGTGCAAGGACCATCGCAAGTAACCGTGGTAGCCAGAGACCGCACCACGCTCTGTCCCTCTGATACCCTTAGGATTCTGCATCTCTGAGAGCCTTAGAGAATACCAGGCACTGCCTTCCATGCTAAATGCACCGACGCTTCCCTGACCAACCCAGGCCGCTGTTTGGCGCTTATGATACGAACAATCCTTCTCCAAGTGCAAATGCCGATTCGAGCTTATTGTTTGTGCTCGAGTAAACAAAATTAGCCAACCAGCCAGCCTCGTACGGCCCTTCTTGTAGCCACTCTGCCGTGGTGACTCTGCTGTAGAGTCGGTGGCGCGAACATTGAACAAGCACGGATTTCCAATATGCGGGCACGGACGCCTCAGTGCAGTATCTCCTGCGTCGCTGTTCTTGCAAAACCATTCGAGGACGCATGGACAACCGTCGGAATTGCGAGAGAAGACGAGGCCTGTGTTATGTCGTGGGATTGGGCAATGCTATCCGCTTCGAGGGACGCAGATTGTGGGATCTCTTACAACTCCTCATCGTCGTCAGCTTTAGGTTCCTTAACCAAGGCCCCTCCAAACTGTAGACCAGAAGGATTTGGACTGGTGGCGTTGTTGGGCTGATCTGTTCCAGACGATCCCAAAACCTCGCCAATCGTGCCCGAAGATGCTGACAGGCCGCTGCCCAATCGGTTTTTGATGTCGAGATCGAACTCTGCAACACTTGCGCGTTGCCGCTTCATTGGGCTACCAACCATGAAGCTTTCGTCTTCCTTTGTGACTTCGAGACTTGTGCTCAAGCCGCCTGAGCCAGTGGCCGTGCCCCTTGGAGATGTCCCAAGCTCATCAGTGGCAACTTTGGGCGTCGAGGCGGCTGAAGGACTACCGGACTTGGAGTTTTTCCGCGGCTCCGTCACGCCATTGCTATTGAGGGGCTCGGCCGAGTGCTGTCGCTTGAGCTGATGATACCTTAGCCCATGCCGGAATTTCAACGGCGAGGGATCTCTTACCTTCATTTTGCGGATGCCTTCTGCCACTTTACCAGTCCGTTCAGCGTCTTCGGGGGAAAGCAAGCTGGGATCATTCTGTGCATCCGCATCATTGATGTCCTCCATCTTTCCGATGATGTTAGCTCCACCATCATCGTCGCTTTCACTCTCCATGTCATCATCACTTGCACCTTTGGTTTTCGATTTGCGTCGCCCTTCGGAGTCACGGAAGGTTGTGAAGCCAGCAGTACCCTCTTTCTTGAGGGGTCCCAGCTTGGGCAAATCCGCAGCTAGACTGCGTCTCTTCGCGCTGGCTGCTGCTTTGTCGGCTTTCGCCCCGGGGAGGATGCCCATCTTCTGCAGTTGCCGTTCTCCTCGATAGAGGAATGTAAAGACAGCATATGGTTTGTCGGTAGGGTCGATGCCGGTGACTGTCTGGGTTGAGATGGTCTTGGGATCCAGCGTCTTTGGCTTAGCAAAACTGGTGGTATGGTCGACATCTGCTTTGCCGTTGGCGTTGCCTTCTCCAGCATCCTCCCCTTCTGAATCATCATGAGCATCGAACTGAGGTGAGTACTCTCCACGCTTGATTTCTCCAGACGCCAACACCCGAAACAGTGCAACTTTGATTTGGCCAGCTGTTTCTGGGATCGGATCGTCGTCATCGTCGGATGAGCCAGTATCGCTTGATGAACCTTCGTCGTCTGATACATCCTTCAATTCGCCATCTTCACCGTAGCGCATGGTGTTCTTGCGCCTCTCCTTCTTCGAGATGCCGTTGGTTTCGTCATCACTCCCAGCAACCTCCTTTCGTTTCCTCCGTCTCTTTTCCAGCTTTTGTCTTCGTCTCTCAATGGTCGCGGCAGCATCTTTTCCGTCCAAATCTAGACCATTCAACCATCGTTCCAGACCGACTTCCCGGAACAAAAATTCCCGCTCGGCCAAACCGCCGCCTTCTTTTTCTGGAACGCTGACCCATCGCGAGTTGACCCAGGTCTCCTCGCCCTTCCTCAGTAGTGTCGCGACTTCCTCCTTAGCTCGACCATCGAAGTATATGTAGGCTGCGATAGTTTCGTTGGGTGATGTTGTTAACGGGACATAGGGACCAACGGAGCCTGCGTACTTTCCGCGCTCGCTTGTGTGGCCAGGAAGACCAGCGACAAGTCTGGGTTTTGGGTTAGGGTTTTCTTTGGTGGCTTTCGGAGTCGAATACGGCACTTCTTGATTAGGTGTAAGGAGGGTGATGGAGATTGCGAAGGTCGACTGTTCCGGTTTGGCGGTGGGAGAGTCGGTAGGGATTTTTGCAGGGGGGACAGGTATATAGGCACTGATCCTCGAGAGGCGGGATGCCCGCTGCACCGAGTATTCTGGCAGCGGCCCAGTCGGCGTGTGAATGCTCACAGCCAGGCCTTTGAAGCAGGGCATGTTGGGCGACAGAGGGTCTGGAAACGGCTCGAGGACACTGTCAAATTCTCCGCACTCTCACGCAGAGATCGCGGAGAAGAAATGTCCCACACTGATAGAGCTGCAGCGGGCCGTTCTTCACCGTTATTGAGCCCAACTCCTTCTGGCCCCAGGACCACGCATCCAGCGGAGAACTCGGAAAGTCTGTCGGGAAGCCCTTGGATTTTGCGCAGAAGATCGGGGCGAACGACTTTGCCTTACTCCGCAATTCGGGAAGGAACGGTGAGCCGTTGGTAGATTGACGCGCGCGTCAAAGAGGAATAGCGTTAAAGGAATGACAGTGTTATTGTAGAGAGAGGATAGCGATGTTTACCCTGTGATATGGGCAAGTCCAGCGACGATGTCGTTGCAGGGGGATTCGGCTGATGCTTATTCACTCTGAGGCTGGTCTAGAGTTTAGTCTCGTTGCTGGACTTCTCGAGGACGAACGAGACGAGGCAGCACACCAGTCCTAGACTGGGCTAGCTCAGCCTCGTCAGAGCTGAGTCATCCCACTTGAGGCACCACCAGGCACGGCAACAAGGCAAGCTAGGGGAGAAGCACCTCGGAAGTAAATTTGGGTGATAGGGCGGATTCCAGATTCATAAATGTATGAGACAAGAGCCTGTTTCTGCGCTGCCCTGCACCACGCCATCACCCTAAGGTACAATACTATTCAACAGACATGCACTTCTTTTGCCGCCAAGTGAACATGATCTCCTTGATGCTTTACGCTTCATCTTAGCCTCGCGGGAGGATCGCATCGCACCCGCTCCAGTGGAACCGTCCACGTCGATGTTGATTTTAATGAGCACACTATGGCTATGACTCTCAAATGCATCGCGCGGCATTATGGTGAACCGGCATATGTGGCTGAAAGACCTACAATATATCTCGTACGGTCCACGCTCAAAAATACTCCCCATTTCACCAGGAAACATTGTTAGAGCGGAGGACACCACGGCGGAGGGACTTTGGTAGATCTTGTGTGTGAGACAACGATTGAAGAGTTACCTGTATCTTTTCGGTCTGCAGTATGATCTGTGCGACGTACGCGGGCACCATGTCTCGATGAGTAAAACGAGGTTTGTCGAGCAACCCTCCAATGTTGACTCTCTAGGCTTGTGTCGTTCTTGATGTCGTCCACTCCAGACATGACTTTACCAGTAGATGGCGACTGTTCGCAGCTACGACTGTTTGGAGCCTTCGGCTGATGGCGCACTAGATTAGACCGACTCATGCTATATGGTATCAAGCTATCTGGCTGCTCACATTGGAGGTTGAGGACAAAGCGAACTTGGCAGCACGGTGCTAAAGTACGCAGGGTCGGGTCGTCTCGCTTTGCTACCAGTGGCTGTGTGCACGGCAGCTTGACGACTTCGGAGAAATTGAGCCTCTGGTTCCGGGCTCCAATGACGTATTGGGGCTCTCAACGTGCAGTCGCGGGGCACACCAACAGCACAGTGCTCGCCAGTGCATGCTGAAGTCAGTGAGGGGATCGTCGCCAACAGAATAAAAATATTTTCGCAAGCCAACCTGTTTGCTTTCTTGTTACTCATAACGAGTATTGTGTCTCAGGTTGTTCATCTTCAATCTCTCCTAGACACCCATTGGAACACTCACCTATCCAACACTACCTCCAACAAGTCTCATACCTTTGTCACCATGGTGAACGTGAAAGAGGTTGAGTTCAAATCTTTTGGCGACCAGAAGTGAGCTTTGCACCTCGCTGTTACTGATGTGCGTGCATTGACTATTTGTCTACAGGCCTGGCACGTCGGGACTTCGCAAGAAGGTCACCGTCTTCCAGCAACCCCACTACAGCGAGTCCTTCATCACTTCCATCCTCCTCTCGATCCCTGAAGGCGCAGAGGGAGCTTTCCTTGTCATTGGTGGTGACGGCAGATACTGGAATCCCGAAGTGGTCCAGCTCATTGCAAAGATCGGTGCTGCATACGGCGTCAAGAAGCTCCTGGTCGGTCAGAATGGCATCCTCAGTACCCCTGCAGCCAGCCATGTCATTCGGATCCGCAACGCCACCGGTGGTATTCTTCTTACTGCCAGCCACAACCCGGGTGGTAAGTTAGCACTTGATAGGGACAATGAAAACAATATCTGACAGTCAATCAGGTCCCAACGCCGATTTCGGCATGAAATACAACCTCTCCAACGGCGCCCCTGCGCCAGAGTCTGTGACAAACAAAATCTTTGAGAAGTCCAAGACCCTTTTCTCCTATAAGATCGCAGACATCCCCGATGTGAACCTGCAAAAGATTGGCACTCAGAAATATGGGGATCTGGAAGTCGAGGTGGTCGATTCGGTCGCAGATTATCTGAACATGCTGAAAGATATTTTCGACTTCGACCTCATCCGGTCGTTCTTCAAATCGCAGCCCGACTTCAAAGTTCTCTTCGATGGTCTGTCTGGTGTCACTGGTCCCTATGGTGTGGCTATCTTCCAAGGAGAGCTCGGCCTGGGACCGGAAAGCACGCAGAATTGCGAGCCAAGCCCTGATTTCAACGGCGGACATCCGGATCCTAACCTTACCTATGCTCACTCCCTGGTGGAACGAGTTGACAAGGAAGGTATTCACTTCGGTGCCGCTTCCGATGGTGATGGCGACAGAAACATGATTTACGGCAAGAATGCTTTTGTTTCACCCGGCGACTCCTTGGCCATCATTGCTCACTATGCCAAGAAGTACATCCCTTATTTCCAGAAGCAGGGTGTCTATGGGCTGGCAAGATCTTTCCCCACGTCGGCAGCACTTGATCTAGTGGCCAAGAAGCAAAATCTAAACATCTATGTTGTGCCCACTGGATGGAAATTCTTCTGTTCCCTCTTCGACACCAACAAGATGTCGATTTGCGGCGAGGAATCCTTTGGCACGGGATCGAACCATATTCGAGAGAAAGATGGTCTGTGGGCCATTACTGCTTGGCTCAACATCATTGCTGGTGTGGGCAAAGAGACCGGCAAGTTCCCGTCCATTGCTGAAATCCAGAAACAGTTCTGGGACGAATATGGCCGTGTCTACTTCACTCGCTACGACTACGAGAACGTCAGCGGTGATGGTGCCAATGATATGGTCAAGTATCTGAAAGAGAAGATCTCGAAGTCCGACACTGTTGGCTCAGCCATCCAAGGCCACAAGATTGTGGAGGCCGACGATTTCTCATACACTGATCTGGACGGCTCGGTATCGAAGAACCAGGGCATCTACTTCATATTTGACGATGGGACGAGAATTGTCGTTCGACTGTCGGGTACAGGCAGCAGTGGTGCAACCATCCGACTGTACGTTGAGAAGCTCGAGGAGGACAAGAGCAAGCTCGGCGAGGATACGCAGGCATATCTCAAAGAGCCCGTCGGCCTTGCCATCGAACTGCTGCAGCTTCAGAAATTCATTGGCAGGACGGATCCCGATGTCAAGACCTAATTTGTCGTCAATTCGGCTCACCAATCAAGCATCAGTATGCACAACGTGCGAAGAGAGAGGCTACGGTTAAAAGTATGTGATATCTCAGGAGTACCTTGTAATTATCAGCCCTCCGCAAACACTGGTGTCGGCGTCGATGTATCCAAAATCTACAGCAGACCCTCCCAAAGTCAGCGGCATCTGGTCAATCACAGCGTGTAAACAAGACAGCATACTTCAGTTTCAGGTGTAGAACTTTAACTCCTTTGAGATACCGTTGACCAAGTATGGGCTTCTTGAAAGTGCTGATTCAGTTTCGTGCAGTTCTGTTACACGTGAACTATGCGCGTCTGGGTGCAATCCGAACCCAAGAAGATGGGTGTCCGCGCCAAGGATGTTGACAGCCGTGGCCAAGAATGCTGGTCGCCCGTAGCTTTGAACTCTCCCTGATTCTCCCGCCGTGTCGGAGGCCCAATTGGGACCAGAGACCTTCTTATCAATCTTCAGCCTTTTGTCCAACATCGAGAGCGGGAAAGCGTTCCACAGCCTCGCTTGGCAAGCGCGAGAGTGGATTGGTCGGGATCTGTCCAGATCTCAATTGGATACGAGGCTGAAATACTGGAGTCGTTCCTGTGTTTCATTTTCCCATCGATTGTTTATCGTACCTGCCAGCCTTTCGACGGTATCGAGAGATAAGATCAAAGTCCCCTCTCCTGCCGCCTCGGCTTTCCGCGCCCAGCCTTTTGTCCATCCCTTATTCAAGGCAAGATTCTGAAATTGCATGCAATCCACGTCATCGCCCGTACCGCTGTAAGCCACCTCCAAGCTCTCTGAGCCGCCGAGCTGATGGCCTTCTCAATCAGCGCGCAGGATCTGTTCGCTCCCTTGCGCGTCTCAATCTCCACTAGAGGAAGCAGCCCCTCAAACTGACGCATAGCAGATGGCGGATCTTCAATGCATACAGTTCCCGCCGCTTAGTCTCCGATCATTTGCGCTCCTGCAGATCCCGGCCGCCACAGCCGGCGGCATCGTAGCTTTGCTGTCTCGGACAAGGCGACCTTTACTTACCCAGCCAGCCAAACTTCTCACATGCTGTTTTGAACTCGATTGCGAAATGTGTAACCACAAAGTGGAGTGCTGTAGACACAGGGTGGATCAGGTCCACCTCATCCCAGCCGATGCTCACATCAAGAGCACCATGGCGCGTACATGACTGGAGGTCGAAGAGCGTAGGATACCTGAATGCCTGCAACTGGTATAACAATCGCAACCCCCGTGTCGTTCAGACCATCTTCACCTACCCGAGCAGTAGCATTCTGTGGTATTCATCATCCACGTAACCACCACTGAATACGTCGTGTTCTTGGCACTCTTCACTTGCAGGAGGTGAACAGCACCATGCAAGAACGTACACCCTCCGTCGAAGCTGGCGAGGCCAGAGTTCCTCGGAGTGACTCTCTACTTACTCTGACCAACAACCCTTCCTCGTTCTCATCCACAACCACATCCACTTTCGATCTTCGAACGCCAAGAAACTCGAGCAAGGAATGCGCAAAGCGGAAACCAATGGGCCAAATGGAGAAACTAAGGGGGACGGCAGAGGTCTCCCAGAAATTCCTCTACCATGAACTCGACTCCTCCTACATGAGCGTTGTGCTCGTCACTCTCTTCTTCATTTCAGGGCTTGTCGATAGCGTCGCCTTCAACAGCTGGAACTGCTTCGTCAACATGCAAACAGGTAAACTCTCACTCTCGACTCACTTATCTCTTACCAGCACATCACGTCCACTCTGACACTTTGCACAGGGAACACCGTCTTCGCGGCTCTCGGTATCGGTGGACAGCCACAAGCCAGCCACAAGCAACAGTACTACAAGTCCTTGACCTCGATCGGCGCCTTCTGCCTCGGATCGCTCTTCTTCAGCGCTCTCCATCGGTATCCCACGGGACTGCCTAGCCCGCCATTATCCCTCCGACGGCTCAATCTCATCATCTCCTTCCTGGTCCAGACGTGCTTCATGGTCATCGCCACAAGTCTGATCACGACGCACGAGGTCTCCAACCTGCCCTTCACGCCCGGCACCTTCTCCTCCGGAAGCGACAAGATGGACTCGTCGGACGTGAACTTCCTCGACCTGTGCCCCATAGCGCTGATCTCCTTCCAAGCCGCCGGACAAGTCACGTTGTCTCGTCTCCTCGGGGTCATCGAGTTACCCACCATCGTCCTCAGCGCGCTCTACCACGACTTCAGTGCCGACTTGTATAGAATACGAGATTCCTGGCAGAAGAGCTCCAGCGTGTGGGAGTTCGTGGCCGTGCACGAGAAACGTCAGGAGAAGCGCGTCGCCTGCATCATTGCCCTTTTCACCGGCGGCATTGTCGGCGGCGAATTGTACAAGTCCTCTGCCGGGATGGGAGGGGCGCTATGGCTCGCTTCGGGACTGAAGTTCGCCATTGCCGTCGGGTGGTTCTTCTGGAGGAAGGACAAGGACAACAGCGACAGTGACAATGGCGAGGAATTGCCGCGTTGAGCTTTGAGCGATGAGCGATGGGCCTCTCGGTCCGGCTCTCAACTACGTAGTTAGACACGACTTGACGACTTTTTTCCCGAAAAGGGCGCTTCGGAGGGTATGTATGACACGCAAAGAATACTCAGAATAGAGGACACAGTACTCCATAGAACTTGGGACGACATCTGCTGCATTGTATATGTATGTTGGTTCGACTGGGAAGCCGGATCGAGTCGCTGCTTGGAAATGGCCTTGCTGGCTGGCCTGGGCTGGGTGGCTGGCTTGGACGCTGCAGTACACAGCGGAGACCGGAGAACGGGAACACAGTACGTACCTACCAGTGCTTGCTTCCCTGCAGGATACGCACAAGTACTATATGTACGGTACCTTCACGCTTTTCCTTCCACGCCCCTGTTCAGGTGTTGTTCCGCACGTACCGTGTAGTCGCAAACAGAAGAGGCATGAGGACGTTCAGGGTCCGACGTCGGTGGTCAAGTTTTGGTTCCAGGGCCGCGCCTCGCTTAAGCCAAGGTAGGCACTGGACTCGGGCACCGGGGTGTGCCTATTGGTAGCAAGCTATGTATGTACACAGTAACTAGCTTCGGTGGTGCCCGGAAAGACCAGAGGTCCCCAGCGCTTGGACCTCGAGTGGGTCATTCGGCACGTGTCAAGCTTGGCGGCGCCCCTGGTTGCTCTGTGCCTACGGAGTACATAGGTATCTATCCGTACGGAGTACTCGATGGTTAGGTAGATATGAGAACATTGTGGGAGCAGCGAGACTAGGCCATCTACTGCATGTACTTCGCATCAGATCGTTGAACGATACACATTGGCCTAAGAATCACGATACACGATACACGATACAAGAATGATGCCCGCAATATGAATTGTCGCAATACCTTCACCTGGTAAGTATTTGCTTTCCAATAATTACTCACTCCCTTGTTGCTTACGCACGTTGCTCTACCTCATAAGGTCGACTCATCTCCAGGTTCCGTGTCCAACGACGACATGGACGCTTGGTCATCATACCCGGCGTTAATTAAAATACAAGATCTCGCGCTCAGTTGTCCGTAATGGTTGGTACTGACGGCGGGTCATGCTGTCGAACGGGTCGTACTCCGAATAGTCATAGCTGTGGTCCACGTCAGGATCTTTGCTCGGTGTAGTAGTCATCGTACACTTCCGCGTCTTCGGGATGGTGGTCGTTTTCATGTCCAAAGTCGTTGTAACCAGTTCGACTGCCTGTGGTATATGTAGGGTGCGCGACCACAACATGCTGAACCGGCGGGAGGACTTGGTTGGTCTCGGTGGTATCACTGCCAGGACCTTGGCCTTGACCATGACTTCGTGCCTCATTTTGAGAGTGGGGTTGGTCTGGGTTCTCATTGACGATTGCATTCGCATAGCCCTGATCAATCTGATCCTCTGTGATATATGCTCCGATCTCACCCCCAGGGCGGACGACGCTAGTGGCCAAGCTAGTGGCTACCTGCCGTGGCCCGGCCAATGTCCTTGAGGTGATCAGTGACACTGGGCAAGAGGTTGGTTCGCTGTGCAAGATGAAGGTAGGAGCTTGCTAACCAGCGGCGGCAGAGTGCGTTTCTGGTGAATAGCTTGCTCCATGGCCAGTGTAAGTCGACGCCGGGGTGTTGGAATTATGTACAACGGGCTCAGAAGTCGGAATATGTTGTTTTCTTCTGTGGTTTATCGGAGGGTGCAGACGTAGCACCGGGGCGCTGTTGCAATGTCGGCTTGTTCTTTCCGACGCCAACCGGGGATATATTAGATGGGACCGGGATATGACCAACTGCCTAAGGGCTCTGTGCATGTGGTGCGTGGTCGCCTGCTCGAGTTGAATGTGGAGGATGCTCGATTGTGGCATTCAGGCGTGTCTGCCGGTAGTATATGGCACTGGCGGCATCGAATTGACCTCTTCTGGATGACGGATTGGCTCAGAAATACCAGGGTACAAAGAGAACGTGTGTACCGGCAGCTTTGTTTTGGTCGTCGCTGGTGCTTTGGAGGAACGCGGTATGTGCTGGAACTTGGCGACTCGTCGTGTCCCCGAAGGTGGTCGCTGCGCTGGTGACCTCTAGGAGGAGCGAAGAGGTGGATCGATGGCATTTTCGCCTCGAGGTGAGATCACGAGCGTATAGTAAAGAAATCACCACCACGTGGATCTCCTTTTTATATGAGCCTCGGATGTCAGAGTCGCGCATTCTCAATAAATGGGCTCTCGACTCTATACCTGAGCTTTGACGTGCTTGTCTGCTGGGACGACCATCAGATGCATGGGCTGTGCACTAGAGCAAACCCACGCTTGCAGAGATAGATACGCCTTCTCGGCTTTCAGAAGCCGAGGACGTAGTTGGACTTCTGACAATTATCATCGCCCGGTAACAAAGACCCCATAGAGAGCCTGCGAATATCCAGGTGACCGTGCTCAATAGCTTGCTGTGGACGTTAAATTGGAGGCATCGTTAAAGAGCCTGGTCTACCAACGTCGGTGCCCGTATGGTTGAGTGACTGGTCGGGCAGACGATAGAGGCAGACCTTGCAGTTTACGGTGCACCACGACTTCTTCAAACGTGGCGGAGGACAGGCACCCGGTTCCTTCATTTAGAGGCGCGATGGAAATCCTTACCGGCTGAAATTTCAGCGACCTCATCGAGGGCGCCTATGTGTCCACGATGCTTGGACTTGGCAATGGCTTGTTGTACTACGCGCAGTTGCACTCGCATCACGCGTCTGTTCTCCTGGAAGCGGACTACAGACATTGACACAACACCATCCAGCATACGTTGTTCTGGCTTGGAGTGGTATGACGTTCGTCTGGAGCGTGAGCGAGTTCCGAACGGGTCCTTCTCCTCTAGCGCTCATCACAACAGATGAGAGACCTGTCATCACCACATTATGATAGCTCATTCGACCCAGGGTGAAGTTATTCTCACCCCTGCGCACTGCTGAAAACCCTTTACCTTTGCGTCCAACACGTAGACTGCGACCGCTTCTCAGCAGGCATTCCACGCGCAACCGGGCTCGTAAACTCAAGCAAGCGACGGATCTGAGCGACCCAGGCTGACGAGCAGCTTCACCCGCATTTTGGACACGGGAAGCTGTGATACGCGGTCGACTCCCACTGTAGTAAACGAGGTGGCTTGCAGCTTGCATCACAATCAGCGTCGGTGAGCTGATTGAGCAGGCGCGGTGCAATAATCTTGGAGTCAACTAAGCCTATTTGAGGAGTGCCAAGCCTCAAAACGCGAAACAGCAGAATTCAGAGTCTACCACGTACTGTACTTTCCTTTCTACGGCGGGGTTCTGCCATTTTCCAACATTCACTAAACCCGGTGTCTTCCAGCATCTCGCTCATGTCGATCCTGGTCACACATTAGATGCTTGCTTTCAGCTCAATCGTATCTGGGAACTTACGGCCAAATCAGGCTGGGCTTGGGGACTGCTCCGACCAACCATCATAGATACGCCTTCTACATGTCGGCACGGGCCAGTGGGAGGCATTTTAGAATGACATGCGACTTCTCTCATATCTGAACCACTCACGATAAGCTCCGAGCTGATCCATGGACGTCCAGCTGAGTGCCAAGTGCCTTACAAGAGGATCAAGTATGTCCGCCATCGAACGGCTGAGGATGGTCTCGACGACGTGGGAATCGATATATGCTAGATCTAGGAATGTCACCTCATAGACCATTTGCCTACGCGAATATCGACCTCTCGAAGGCCAAAATCCCTGTTTCAACGCTTGGGGCATCCTCGAGAAAGAAGCCCCTTCGACACGAAGCAAAATAAGGGCGGGAACCCCTGGGATCGCCCAAGACGGTTTACGGTCTCGTGTCCCTCCCTCAGCCTTTGTCTCTCGGACCCCACTCGCATGCAGTATACACGAAGGACGATCACCAGGACATTCTCATCATGACTGTCGATCATCTCATTGGCCACAGCACGAAAGACTACACTCCGCTGCTCCAATCGACCCAGTCGGGCCTGCAGCAGCCTTTCCAACTCCGGCTGAGGGCAGTATCGACACGAATTCTCCGACTGCGGCTGAGTCTGCCTATTCTGCCAAGGACATGCCGTCTTGGCACCTTTCGAGCCAAGCGTGGCCAAGCTTGAACGTCTCGCCTTGTGCTGCGATCGCCGTCACTTTAGGGATATGGAGGCTCCGTTACGTGGCCCGACATCTTGGAAGCCGTATTGCAACCAGGACTCATCAGCTTGCCAGAAATGAGCACTTCTTTGCAGGGTCATCAGCTTAGCGCTCTCCCCGCACCGCCAGACCGCTATATCAGCGAGCTTCAACACAGCTTCGTAGGCCATCGGCCAACGTCAGTTTTCATCAGGCTCGTATCAGGTCGTATGTTGTTTAGGCGCCTCATGTCAGCAAGTCTTTCGTCCTTGTTTGCAGCCAGACACAGTACACGTATTGAGGTTCGTATAAAACTAAGAATAGTTTGTTCGGCTCAGGATGGAGGGCAGACGAGCCTCGTGCTGAACTCCCCTTTCGAGGATGTCTTTGTTGAGCAAAGGGAGGACATGCTATAAAAAGACTGGGGCTGGCTCAAGGCTCCTCAGTGAAAGCATCAGGTTCGTTCAACTTTTATCCTCGCCTTGTCTTTTCCAAAGCATTATAGTTGCTGCCTGTCCTTGTTTCACTTCTTTGCACTACCGCCAAAATGTCCTTGCCAGTCCTTCCTCCAGTCGTCGAGGCTGGCGGGACTCGCAATTTCAAAGGCAACTATGTCTTTTACTGGAATGAGGTTGCCCTCGACCTTGTTCGTCTCACCCATACTGTGTCTGGCCCCCAGGGTGGGCCCCCTCTCACTGCAAGATTTCTCGGTATCCTACACCTTGCCATGCATGATGCCTACTTTGCTATCTATCCGTACGCAAGTCATCCAGACCACAACTCGAACTTCACAGACATTGCACCCTATCTTTCCAACACTCTTCGTGGAGAAGCACCGCAGAATTTGAACCATCGTCAGACAGAGGCTGCAAATGCTGTCGCCGGCGCCGCTGTCACCGTTCTGGAGAAGCTCTTCAAGGACCCAGCCAACAAGGATCCTCAGGTCTCGGACGAGGTCACCCGCGCTCTTGGCAATTTCATCGACTCCGCCATCGGTGCCTACCAGCAGGAGCACAATCTCGATCGACATTCCCCTGGGTACCTTTATGGTGTCCGCGTCGCCAATGCGGTTCTTCAGGAACTAGAAATCAAAGCTGGGGAACCTGGCGTTGCCGCTGGCGCTTATATGCCAAAAGCCAATCAGCCCTACTTCTTTGACGATGACCCATCTCATCCAATTCCCCGACGTTATCATGGACCTCGCTACGGCACGACTGCTGCAGTCCTTGCTGCTACTCAGGATTGGAAGACCGCTGACCCACCTGTTGTACCCGAGAAAGCGCTTCGCAATCCCCCCTCCGAAAGTGATCCTGAATACCTAGCCTATCTCGAATCAGTTCAAGATGTCTTCCGGATGGGCGGCATTGAAGAGCTTGCCAGCACCAAACGCCGCCCATCTCAGACAGTCGGGGGTCTGTTTTGGGCTTATGACGGCGTAAAGCTGATCGGCACTCCTCCTCGTCTCTACAACCAGATCATCCGCCAAATTGCCTTCGACCACAAAAAGGGCTCAGACATCAACTCGGATGAAAACAACGCGCAGTTTCTCCGCCTCCTCGCCCTGGCCAACACCGCGATGGCGGATGCCGGCATCTTCTGCTGGCGTGACAAGTACAAGTACGAGCTCTGGCGCCCTCTCTCGGGCGTCCGTGCAGACCCCACCGGTCCAGTGCCCGATGGGTTCGCTCGCCCTACATGGCGAGTCCTCGGCGCTCCTGCCACCAACAGCAACGAGGGCGGCTTCAAACCCCCTTTTCCCGCTTACCCTTCCGGCCACGCTACCTTTGGAGCAGCAGCGTTTCAAATGGTCCGTCTCTTTTACCACCAGCGTGGTGACGACGTCCTCACGTCATTGGTCCCATCCCCCGGCATGAAAAGAGGTGCCAGTACCGGTGGCGGGGATTTACAACAGATCATCAACGCTGGGGGCCAAGAAAAGCCCAACCTGGAAACCAAAACAGCAAACGACAATATCCACTTCGAATTCATCTCCGACGAACTCAACGGCATATCCCGCAATATCTTGTACCAACCCTACAAGCCCGCGCAACCCATCACAGATCAAGCAGGCGAGGTGCGGACCCGCCTAGTCTTCAAGTTCAAGAGCATGAAAGAAGCTATCTTTTCCAACGCCATCTCGCGCATTTGGCTAGGCGTGCATTGGCAGTTTGATGCCTTCAACGGTAAGGACGTTTTGATCCCCTACAAGAGAGGCGGCCCAGGCGAAGACGGATCTCAGCCTCGTCCGCTCAACTATGTGCAACAATATCAGGTGGAAAAGGACGGGAGCACGAGTTATCTACCCGTTGACGAGCAAGATTGGTTCCAAACTCTGGGCCCACGGGACGGCGTCGCTGACTCGGAATGGCCGTACGGGGGCGTGCCGCTGGGGATCAACATCGCGCAAGACATTTTCGATACAGGCATGAAGTACAATGGGAGTCTCGTGGATTTAAGCAGTGAGAAACCCGCCAAGCGACCTTGAGAGCAAGATTGAGCTTTGTAACGACAATTGCACAAATGGCATTGGCGACTACGAGGCCAAATGTTGTATGTTGATACTGAGGACTTGGACTGAAGTCTAGCATGCTCGAAGATTAGTAGCTAACACGATGTGAACTTTTGGGACTAGTTACCGAGTCCCACTGTGAGAAGTCGAGAGGAGGATATTATGGCCGTGATTAGCCTGCCTCCCCACTCGCTAACTTCCTCAGCCTAGGCCACCCAGGCAGCTGGCTCGCCTGTGGGATGGAGCCTAAGTAAATGAGATTGGCTGTGCTTACTGTATCTCGCGTGCCTGGGAGTACATGGTTAATGATACCGAGGATGATGTCCATGCCGATACAAATGCGCTCGAAAGATGGTATCGAGCTACCCGTGTACAGTTGTTTAGCTTACAAAGGTGAATATTCCGGCCTTACGTAGGAGTCGGGACAATCACACGCCGTCCGAGTAGGAATTGTAGCTTGAGGCATGACGTGACCAGGCCGGGCTCGCCAGGCCAGACAAGACCAGACCAGACGAGGTAGGACGGGCCCTTCAATGCCGCACAATCAGCATCGACGATCTAAACCATTCATGGACAGCCGCGCGGTGGTTCCGATCCGGACTAGTGCCACGCTGAAATGACTCTGTCGTTCCGCGTAAACACCATCATGGCGCGCGGGCGTCCAGTAGTGGAAATCGGATGCCTGAGGCGAACCCCAAGATACTTGGTCGAGATCCATGATACACCATCGAATGCAGGCGCTGTGGGTACATACGAACCTCATTGTCCGAGCTTACAAACCGGCTTTACTTGGTCACGCTCAACGCATGCCCAGGGTGGCAGGCTGCAATGAACCTCGACGAAAATGTCGCACAGACAGAGATGTCGGTCGGCAATAGGGTATATATTCAGGGCCCGGCCCAACCTAGACTGTACAGCGTAAGGGAACAGGACACATCAAGATTGAATATCCGATTTCGACGGTTTTTGATTTGAAGCTGCCGACTCTGCTAGATCTAACTACCTACCTATCTACCTACCTATCTCCCTTGAACCATTCCCTGGTCTGCGTCTTCGCACACCACCAAGACTAAACCATCAATCACCATGGTCACCGTCGCAGTCGCAGGAGGGACCGGCAATCTGGGCCGCACGATCGTGGATGCGCTAAAGGAGAGCCCAAACCACAAGGTCGTTGTCCTGACGCGCAAAGTAAGCGACCGCTGTCACATACCAGTCTTTCTGTCCATGGTTCCTGACCTGTAATGCCCGTCATGTAGGGATCCAAGGGCCCAGAGATGGACGTCCCCGTCTTTGCTGTCGACTACAGCGATGTCGAGTCGGTGGCTCATCTCCTCGAGACAAACGACGTGCATACCGTGATCTCGGCCCTCAGCATCAGAGGCCCGACCGAGGGCGCCTCCGAGATCAGTCTCGTCAAGGCTGCAGCAAAGGCGAAGGCGACGAGACGCTTCATCGCGAGTGAATACGGCACCTTGGCGCCTACTGACAAGTAAGTCCGAAGGCTGCCTGCGGGATCCATTCTGTCGAGCGTCGAAATATCCGTGTCCACAACTCAGCAGTACGCAGAACTAACAAACTTCGACCAACAACACAGGAGCATGCAGTTGCCGCAGCACGAGGCCCGCCTCGCCGTGATTGCCGAGCTGCAAAAGACAGACCTGGAGTGGACGCGAATCCACAACGGCTATTTCCTGGACTATTTCGGCGTGCCGCACGTCGAGAGCCACATGACGCCCGTCGCGTTCACCGTGGACATGGCCAACAAGGCGGCCGCCATCCCAGGCACGGGCGACGACGTCGTCGCCTTCACATACACCAGGGATTTGGCTAAGTTTGTCGTCGCGGCACTCGACCTGCCAGCATCATCATGGGACGAGGCAATGTTCTGCTACGGGGACAAGGTGACGTGGAACGAGTTCCTGCGTGTGGCTGAAGAAATGAGAGGTCCGTTGGCTTACAGTACTTATTTTCCTTTGGCGGGACTTGCAGTTGCACGCGCCTGCACCTTGCTCCACTGATCCCTCCAAGACGTCCACACTTGCGCCGGGCTGAGCTGACAGGACAAAACCCGCAGGTTCAAAGTTCACGGTCGCATACGATAGTGTTGAGAAGTTGCAGAAGGGCGAGATGACCGAGCTGCCCTCCCATCCTGCGGTCTACCCTTTCTTCCCCAAGCCGATGTTTCAGCAGTATTTCAGCAAGTTCGCGTTGTATGTCACGATGGGGTTGTTTGACTTGCCGGAGGATGGGTCTCTGAATAGGGAATTCCCGGACATCAAGCCCACCACGGTCAGAGAGATGCTCAGTGTCTGGGTTGGCAAGTAGTTGTGGTGCGTCGCTCGGTATGTACCGTTCTTGACAGGGGAGTGCTGGACCGGATGGTGGTGAAGGGGCTGGTTTGGTAGGGGACTCTTAGGGTACCTTGGGGCTGTATTGTGCGGTGCAGGGGCTAGCAGGGCTAGCAGGGCAAGCAGAATGGATCAATCAACTCCAAAATATATGCTGCTTGCCTCATCGTTTTTGGGACCCTACACCAGCAATACAGGCGCGCCCAGTATACGGAAACAAGCCGCTAGATCCCACGTGTCATGGTTCACACTCTCTCTCTTCTCCCACACCTTCTCCATGACCTGTCGAGCCTCGCCTAATGCACCGACCATGCTGAGCTCGTCCATGCCCGTGAAAAGGTCCCGGAATTGCTCCTCATGGCTGCCCGCTTCGGACAGACAACCTGCAACACAGAGCGGCCAGGCGAGGGTTCTCAGGTGGGTCGAGCAGTCGGCTGTTCGTAACAGCTCGAGCACGCGAGCCACGCCAGCGCGGATCTCTGCATTGGACGGCTGCCATCCTGAAACAACGACCGCGAGGTATATCTGTGCAGCGTGGGCCCAGATCTTTGTCGAATTGGTTGATGGCGTGGGGGACGTAGCGGGGCGGCTCTCGAAGAAGGACCGATAGTCGAGAGGGTTATCATTCCGGAGGCTTGGAGTTGGCTGCTGCTGTTGCTGCTGCTGATCGAGGCGATAAACCCCATCATGCAGCGTCCGAGCAATGTGGCTCGCGCGATCGACTAGTTCCGTCATGGACAATCTCGCCGTCCTTTTCATCTCCTTCTTCCACACGTCCAGCAGGGTTACCTGGCTGACTGCGAGGAGGACCCAGTTCTGACAGCCAACCAGACCGGACAGTTGGACGGTGACGGCGCCAAAGACAGGCACCCCACGGTCGCGATCGGCAAGAAGGTGTGCATGTCGCTCACTTAACCACGGTGCCCGCTCAAGCGCAGTGCTAGCGATGATATCGATAAAGACCAAGAGCCCCGTGAAGAACCGGAACCCGGCCTGCTCGGGGCTCCAAACGTAGCCGCCTCCCCCGCCGTCGTGCTCGAGACCAAACTGGAGACTCAACGTCATTGTATCCAGCACGGCCAGCAGTTTAGATCCCGGCAGTTCTGTGGCAGTACTGAAACTGGCACTCTGCCAGATCTGGTCAAAGAGCGCGAGAGCGGGCGTCAGATGCAGGTTCCAGTTGGCGGACCTACCCAGCGTGACCTCGAAAAGCAAAACCTGGACAATACTCTCCATGACTTGGGACTTTTCGACGAGCGTCGCCCGAGCACCACGATCGCTCAAAGCCCGTATGTCGCGCTGGATCATCTTGAAACACATATCCGTCTGGCTGCCCACTTTGGCCCACAGCTGGGCTTTACACGCGTCATGCTGGCCCGGGTACGGGTCGATCAGCGTGAACGTGAAGAAGTAGGCGCTGAGGCTCATGGCCGAATGGAAGGCCGCTCTGCTCCGCCGCAGGAGGGCCAGCACCCAGCTCCGGCCCGTCTCGTGCAAGCTCGGACGGTAGAACGGGAATTGATGAGGGAAGACATAGTCCAGGTACTTCATCAGGAAGTCGAGTTCGAAGTCGCGCCCGCGCGCCAGAATCGGGAGATGGTCGTCGTCGTCAAGGGTGACTTCCTCGTAGGCGTCGAGAAAGCCGAGCACCGACGTGGTCCAGTTCAAGCCGACGATCTGGCGCGGAGGCGGCCGAGCAGTGTTTGCTTCTCGTGTCGACACTTGCGGCCGCCGCATTGCGTGGCGTTGATCCGAGTCTTCAAGTCTCGGTGCGCCGTTGGCCCGTCCTGATTCGAGGATGAAGTTCCCGCCTTCTCCTGAACAGGTACTCGTACTCGTACCCTGGCCTGTCGTTGTTTGCTTCTCTCGCCGCACATCCGCGCCGCGCTTCACCTGGGCTTTGATCCTCTGAGCCATGTCCCTCTGTTTCGTGCCCCCATCCATCCAATCTGGCTTGACGGCGCCACTGTGGCAAGGGATCTCCAGTAGCGTGCAGTTTCGGCATCTGGGTCTGCCCTCGTCGCACTTCTTCCGGCGGAGGCGACACGTCCAGCAACCGCCCCCGGCACCGCCTCCGTTCTTCCTCTCATCAGCCATATTAGGGGATATGGACCCGAGTGCGGTTGCTTATCGTTTGAAGTTCATCACATTACAGATGCTAGTGACCATGGTGTGTGGAGGAGGTGGGGTGGAGGTCAAGTGTGACGACTGGAGGGGGAAAGTGCCGAGAGCAGCAGTGCTACTGTAGTACTGTACATGAGTAGCTACTTGAGCGAGACACAAACTCAACTATCAAATCGCGTACATCTATGAACGCCGCGTGGTCCATGGGTCCATTTGGTCCATTTGATCATACTGGGATCAATTTGGTCGCTTATAGGGATGATCGAGAGGGTGCTGCATGGTTTGTTCACAAGGGCAAGATGAACGCTCGGTCGGACCGGTGGAGTGATGATCAACCAATTCCTCCTTTGGAACAGTCGTGTCATGACAAGCGTGGTTGATCAGGGACCGTTACGAAGCCATCGCTCGATAGACGCATTGGCTATCATGCAGCACGTTAAGTACTGTATAGATACTCCCCTCGAAGTACAGAGTACGCGTCAAACAAATTTCCAGGCTTCCAGGCTTCCAGGCGTCCGTTCCCACCCAACACCGGGGTCAACCCCACACCATCCATCCTACCATTACTCTCTGCTGTTTGCGTTTGTGTGTTCGATCGCTGTACCGGCTTATGCTCCGTCACTCACTATTCACCTCCGGTAATCCACCCACCATCATCCCCGACTGACTCCTCTCCGAGACGCCGAGTAGTTATCCGTAAGTACCTCGTCCGGTGGCCGCTAGTTAGGACCGCTACGTGACAATCACAGCCGCCGGCCTCTCATACCGTGAAATCACCCACCATGCATCTAGTGCACAGACGATTAGCTGTCAGCCAGGGAAATCTCTCAAGACGAGCGGATGGGTGGGGAGGGTGGAAGTCTCTCAAGGCGGGCGGACGGGTAGAGTAGATGAGAGCCAGAGAACCTCTCGAGATCGAGGATGGGAATCTTTTAAGACGGGCTGGGTATCTCTCAAGACAGGCGGAGGATATTTCCCAAGACAAGCGGATGCATGGAATAGGTGCGAGCCGGAGTGGCACTGGAGTCGGGAACCCGAAAACCCAAAACACACTGCAAGGGACAAAGCAGAGCATTCAGCACTCACGAATGACACCAGGAATCCACCCCAAGATGCTCAACAGGATATTGATCAGGAAGTTCGAATCGCAGCCCGTTTTGAGAAAGACGGCCAAGGGAGGGAGGAAGAGGGCGAGGAAGTAGAGAAGGACGTCGCTCTAATTATACACAGTAGTTAGTAGGTGAGTCAGTGAGTGAGCGAGTGAGTTACTTGGGTGTCAGTGACTGTGCTCTATGCGTGCGTGGCGGTATGTGGTGTGACGGAATGTGATGTGTATCCGTGATGTGCGCACCGCAGCGGGACTGTATGAAGTGCAGCGCAGTGGATGCATTCGCGATGATGTACTGTGCTCTGTGTATTATGTTTTGGCTGGTGGAGTGTAGTGTACCTGCTACTAGCATAGTGTGGTATATTGTAGACTTACCGTCGAAGAAGCCGCGCGGGCCATCCGGGAAGATTATTATGCGTGTCTGTGTGTGCTCCTTGCACAGATTCCCTCAAAGGGACGGAGTACAAGGTAATTAACGTACGGTGACCCGACAGGACAGACGGACTTTTTGATCGAGATGAAGATTCTGTACGAGCAATGAATTATGCGGTTGCGAGGGCGCGAGTCGTGATTTCCGTTGTCTGATGTTTGATGGATGTCGAAGTCGAAAACAAAGTCGAAGCCCGTGTCGCTATCGATGTGCGGATATCCTGGTGCGAATAGGGGATTCTCTCGTCAAAGTGATCTCCGTGTTATTACCCAGGCAACAAACAATCAACCAGGGCACCTACGGATGGCAGGGCGGTATACTATATATACACAGCATCCTTCGTACTCACACACTACCTACACAATTCAGCAGTCCCGGCTCATGCCGGCGTCTGGACACGACGTCATGCAGTGAGTACGTACAGTACGCGGCACTAGGCGGCGCCTAGCCAAAAACAAGATCTTTTAGCGCCTAAACGTTAATTGATGGATGAGCTTGTTTCTTTCGGGGCTGCAGCATCCCGCTACGTACCTCGTACCTCGTATTGGGCACCCAGTCGTCACAGCCACGGTCAAGCCACAGGTCTTGTGAAGATCATGAGGCTTACGGCCACATCGAAAGACGTCAGTCATTGCTCTGTAGTGGGGTTTACGTACTCTTAACGTAGGATTATTCGCTACGATGCTCGCAGGATGGGTAGATGCCAGGCACGGTCTAAGGTAGCTTGCTCGCCCTCGAGATTTGAACAGATATAAAGTGACCCCATCTCCGCCCCTTCGCTCAATGGTTGGTTTCAGGCTCTGATCCTGCCAATGATCCTGCTGCTATTTTCGACAGGAAGACATAAAAGAATCGAGGGGCGAATGCGGCCCCGTCCTCTATCGAATGGCTTTCGGAGGCTGTCTAGGCACGTCCTCTTTCGCTGCCTTTGGTGTGGTAGGCCATTCCCCCTTCTCCAGAAAATCCGCGATCTGAGGGGAATGTGACTCAGGAATATCGATCAGAGGTTGAGCATCCTTTGCAATAGCCTCTTGTTTCGTCTGTGAATGCACGCCACATCAGGCCTCGCCGTGAAAAACAAAGGGAATTGTCTATCTTGGTCTGGCAGAACTTTTGCATCCCAGATCCTCGTGTCGCGCTCATGAACCATGCGCAGGCTCCCTCAGCTGATGATCCAACGATTTGAACATACTGTCCTCAAGCGGGGAATGAGGCTGGATCAGATCGCTCGCTATGCGTGGCGGCTTCTTGCTCAACTCGTCGAAGTCTTTTCGCCTCGAATAACCATCGTCATCGTCGCTCCGAGACTCCGGCTCAAAGTCCACGGTCTGGGTCTGAGGACTTGATACGCTCGTATCGTCCCCCACCATATCTGTACCCGTCGCCACTGTGGAAGGTGAGACCTTGCGAAGACCTGCAGTCGGTGCCGAGGGCGACTGCGATGGAGTCCTTTCCTGTCGTTCCTCCTCAGTCTCGTCTGGTGGACTCAGCGCCCGCTTCTGGTTCCTGCTGGACTCTTGGCTCTCATTGGACTCGCTCACAACGGGTAAAGTCATGGCCGTTCGAGAGTCCTCCGCCGTCTTCAATGTTCGATCAAGTTTCTCCTCTTCGCTCTGACCCCGACCCTTCTCGGAGGACGTCGCCTTGTCCATTTGTTTTTGTGCTTTGATCATCGTCTTTTCCACGGCAGGGGACTGGCCTATAGGGGAAGTGGCGTCTGATGGCCTACCAAGGTTCTCGGCGGATGGGGACTGTACCGCTAACTGTTCCCCAGTTCGACGACTCTCCTGTGTCGCTCGTCTTTGGGCTTCTTCTTGTGTCATAGTAATTCCGGTGATGAAGTTGATGAATCTTTCTCCGTATGCTTGCGGGGGGATGGCTGATATCTGTGTACGCGGCGCTGACATGCCCTTCCAGTAATGCTCAATTCTTTTGACCATACCGTACTATACGGAAAGTCAACCAGGGAATAGTAATAAAGAACGCAGTGCAACTTACGTGGGTCAAACAGTCAATGATGCCAAGGTAGTATATCGATTCACCACCCCGACCATCCTCATGCGTAGCACGGATCCCACCATCAAAGCTGTAGAAGATTCGGTCACGCCTCCCATCATCAGAAGCCATCTCCGTAGGCATCTTAGCATTCACTAGGCCCATAGGGACCGGCTTCTCCTTTTTGAGCGTCAACCTCAGCTCTCGGGCCTTTCTCGCCGTCTCGAGTCGGGAGGGCGTCCGAATCAGAGGTGCCGAGTAATCGTCCTCGTGACTTTCGCCGCCAGGCTGAAACACCCGCAGAGTGGTTTCACGTAGGTTCTCCTCATTACCCTTTTCCAGGTCGTGCATACCGACCAACAGAGAGTAGTCCATAATGTGAAGCCTTTGCAGAAGCGCGACATCTCTCTTCATCTGATCGAGGAAGATCTGGCGCACTCGGGCATCGAACTCCAGATGGTATCCCCTCCGTAACCAATTCAGATCCTTCAAGGTCGCTCTCGGATTGTTGGCCAAGTCCTCTTCCTTGAAATCCCTGCCAATGGTGGAACCCTTCAGGTCGAACATCTGGTGGATGTCTCGATGCGGTGGGAAGAGGTTGTTCATGACAACAAAGTGGATTTTCCGACCATATGGTATCTTCACCCGGTGTAGACCATAGAATTGACTGATCAACGTGTTTGGGTTGTCCACCACATGACGATAATAGTCCCTTAATATCTTCCTGAGCAGCTTATGCTCGGCATGATGGATGGTTTTGATGATATACTTGTAGTCGCGTGAAAAGTAAAAGAAGGAGCCCGACTTTCCGGGGCTGCCCAGCTCCGACAGGATGTACTTGCTGGTAAGACTGACAAGGTAGTCGGCGGGGTCCAGTCCAAAGATGGCCCGCAGATGCCGAAACACCCAAGGACTGTAGTCCTTAAACTTGAAGTCGTATTTGGCGCTCGGAGTCAATTCATTTCCGGTAATATCGAAACTGAACTTATGTCTTGCGTCGAAGTCGGCATCTGTCAGGTCTCGGTCCATTTTCGCATTCGTTCTCGACACAGTAAATCGAATCCCAGTCAACATGTTGTAGGCAGTGACCCAGTTGACATGACCTTCCTCGACTTTCTTTCCCACAATGACGCGGTCGTCATCCTCGTCCTCTTTCCTCTTCCGTCTGCTCGCTCTTTTCTGCTTTATCAGCTCGGTCCAACGGGCGGCGTCTTCGTCAGGAGGGACTTCATCCACGTGGGCTTCGGATTGCATCGACCGAGTTGTCCTACGAACAAGGCCGAGTGATGCCCTCCTATGCCTCACGGCCGATCCCTCGAAGTTTTCCCGGGTCGGAGAAAACCGGCCAGTGGTTGTAGAAAGTGCTTCTTCTGACGGTCCTCCACTAAACGAAAAATCGCGGGAGTTACGCACTGCCGCACCGAGACCGCCTGTTTTCGGAACTTGTAAGGTATGACGATGGACGAGTTTAGGGGCTTCGGGGTGCGGCGAGAGGTCGGGATGTCGGTCTTGTATGGAAGCACCTGGAGACATGGCAGGCGGAGAAGAGAATCGTGAAAAGGACGGGCCAGGCCCTGCTCGCGGGCCCGGGCTTGCAGCTCCATCGAGGCGTGCCGAGTCTGGGACAGTGGAAGCAGTAACCATGTGGTAGGGATCGTAGTCGGGCTTTGCAGGGGGAATACTCGTCCTCAATTTGGCCAGATCTGGAGTCGCTGTTCCAGGAGACGAGTGTCCGAGGACGCCATTGCTCGATTCTACACTCTGGTCCGTAGCATTTTCGACAGTGGACAACTTCGATAACACTCCCTCCGACGATCCCGGACTCCTCGACAGATTGTCTGTATATTTCCCCGCAGCGCCGCTGCTCCCTACGGAATGGGCGCTGGCTTTCGAATGTGATCGATCCCTCGGCGGCGCCTTGACGTTGCCATTAGTCAGGGAGCCATGGCTGGTGTTGCTCCTGATGTTCTTGAGCTGATCCAGCCTGTGGTCGGGCAGCCGCGTCTCAACGTCTGTTCCGTTGGTATAGGTAAAGACACCGCTGATTGTTTTGTCGTGCGACTTTCGGGGAGGGCCATCAATTGAGGGCGAGTGCGAGGCGGAGTTGACGCTGTTCGAGACAACAGCTAGAGCAGGTTCCGAGGCCACAGATGGCATCTCCGGCAAAAGTCAAGAGGAGAGTGTAAGGGCGCGCATTGGTTTTGAGGTCACCGGCAGGTAGAGGGAGTGGTATGTCCGGAGGACATGACTCGGGGGATGACAGAGGTTCGGTGCGGTTGACGGGTGGACGGGAATCTAGCTTGAAGGGGTGAATGAAGACTAGCTATGCTCCGAGATCAGTGTATACTCTGAATCTGCTGCGTCGTATCTGCACTGTGTTTGCTATGAGCTGGAGCGAACTGGACTCGACTGAACTGAAGCGCGAACTGTGTTGTTGCACTGCGGCCGTTCTGCGTCGTCTGCGCTTGCTCGGCTTGGCGGCATCTGACGACATGCCCAATTTCGCAGTCCTCCGTCCGAGACTGTCTGACGCCTGGCGCTGGTTATTACTGGCAGCAATGCGCCGAGAGGTGCCCGCCCGCCCTGACAACCCAGACCTACGAGTCCTTTTAGGCACCGAGGCACCCGGATTCTGGCCCATAGACAGCCCGTTGTCCCCGTTCCTGATCCCTGTACGCCGCCACAGTTCTATTTCTATGCATGGGACCAGCCATTCCGAAATGCCTTCCCCCTTTTTAATGCCAGTCCCATAATCTGTGTATTGACAGCATCCATACACGTTATGCGCGTGCTCTATCGTGAAGCTTAGATAACTACCAGCTACGCGCCACGTACGCAGTTTACTTTGCTTCGCCTAAACCTGGCAGCTTGGCCCGCAATGTCTGCTCACCTCCCTTTGAAGCGAGGCCGATCGTGACGTACATAGCCTCGCTAAGCTGCCAGCCTCGTCGTTTGAGACCTGCACAAGTTGGAGCAAACAAGTGACTCTCTGGGCACGGTTCGACTCAAGCCGACTAGGAATTCAGGATCGTCGATTTCCACAACAGCCATTTGTCCCTTGAAAGGATCTATTAACTATTACGAGAGCACTCTCCGAGCTCCAAACAAGCAGGATTCGCTATCATGAGCTCAGATCCCATAGCTGTAACACCAGGACGCCTCGCTGTCGTATCCGCACTTTTGCTCACATGTACTCCGTATCCGAGTGTACAAATTCTCCCGGCTGAGACCATGGGCCACTCGCCCCACGCGGCACCAATCCTTCCCAGAGGGCGATGTCCATGGCTCAAGTTCTCATGAGCATCTTAGCGACATGAACCAGTGCCTCAGTGCCGCTTTCCGCCCCACCGTCGCTTTCTGTCCCGCCAGAACGCCCATTCGAAGTTGTTAACTCGGCATTCGGATAATACCAGGCGGTGAGAGCAATGATAATGTATACAATCTGAATTAGAGTCAGCAACTGGCTTTTTCAGATGGCTCAGGGTAAGCACATACCACAAGCAGGCCGCCCTCGAGGTAATTGGAGGATCCATCCCTGAGGAAATTACCAACCACCAGGATAGACAGGACCAGGAGCACCACCATGAAGATCTCGAAATTGAGATCCATCGGTTTACCAAGGCCCCAGCCGACAATGACGACTAGTGGTGCGTTAAACAGAGCAGTCTGAATTGAGGGTCCGAGACAGTGGTAGAGGGCGAAGTTCTACAACCCCTGTTAGCCATGGTGGTAAGCGACTCTCTAGGACACAACTCACAATCTGATTGTCATACGCCTCGTCGATGGCAGTCATGTGTTCAGCAGCCTTCTCCACCAATGGCACAAGTATAAGTCCCAGAAAGTTGTCCGGCACTCCGTTCTCAACCACATACTCGATCTCCTCCACGAGGAACACCGCGATCAAGGAAATCAACGTCAGCGCCACTACGATGGCCACGACGCATTCGGACAGGGTTAGCTTCGCTTTCTTCAAGTCGCGGTGTCTGTCAATGTCGGCTTCCTCGTCGGCCTCGAGCACTTCTTGGAAGATGTTGTCATGCGAGAGGGCATTGTACGCAAGGTAGAGCAGGAAGGCGACAATGAGGATGATGGAGACGCCGTGACTGATGTTAAGGGTGTCGCTCCGCAGCTGTACGTCAGTGTACCCTTCTTCGCCCGCTGGGACCGTACTGCCTCTCAACGAGGAAAAGAAGGCACTGGGGATCATCAGGGCGAATCCAGCGACCAAAATCAATCCCGACCCAGCTTCACTGATCACGGCATGGAATTTTTGTTCCTTATGCACCAGCCCACCGAGCAGGAAGCAGCATCCCAGACAGAGCAAGAGATTCGTGAGAATGGACCCAAGAATGGCGGCCTGGATCACGACGATTTTGTTTCCGTGCCCAATCTCGCCAGTGCCGTCATCTTTGGCAATCAAGACCATGAATAGCACAATCTCGACCACGGAGCCCAGAGTGGTCTCAATCAGTATGCCGGCTACCTTTGGCATCTTCCGCGCCAACTCCTGGCCTGCAAACCCAAGCAAGTTGGCACAAGGGACCATGGCGATATAATTGATGGCGAAGGTCCATAAGTGGTGGTTGCCCTTGACGAAATGGAGAGCAATTGCCGCAGGCACAAATGGCCACAGGATGTTGACCCAGCTCGAGGCGGTACAGGATGACTTCCATATGATCTTCAACATCTCAATGGGGTGAACCCAACTCCGACCGCTCTCCCCGTCTGGATGGACACCCTTTGTGATTTCATGACCATTGTGGTTATATTGAGGCAGAAGTCCGTCGTTGGACGGGGCAGATGAGGAACCGGTCGTAGCGGGAGCAGCGGTGCCCTCGGGCTTTTCGGCGACATTGGTGTTAGCGGTATCATTCTCCGCAGCGGCCGCTCTGGCCCTTCGGTTGAATAGGCCCATGATGTAAGTGTAGGTAATTTTTGGGGGTGGGATCAAGTGGGAGTCGGTTCGTCTCTGGGAAAGTACTCAATGGGAGGGGCCAGTAATGGTGTTGGAGAGTCGATGTAACCTGAGGGGGTAGAAGAGTTGACGTGGTTCCACGGTGAGTCCGTATCACAGGTGCATTGCGGGTAAGGAGAAAGTGAGACTCATTAAAGAGGAGCAAACGGAAAGGAAGATTCGTAGTCGACAGCAAAGTGAGTGAGGTCGAAAGCGAAGATGTGACGGGGCGCTAAGCAACGACAAGAACTGGTTTAAGGAGACGCATGAGGCACCTTGCCAAGTTGGAAGGAGTTGACAACTCCCGCTTGGCCCCGTTCAAGCAATTCAAGCATGGCCTTGGAAGGGGATGCTTGGCCCTCAGCTTCTGTTGGCTTGTGAAAGGCTTGTCCTTGGGTTTGTGTTGCCCTCAGGGATTGGGATGGCCAGCTAGGAAACGAGGTTGTGGAGAAATGAGAAACGGCTGAAATGCGTTTCAGAATCCCGACGCCAGATAATTGGGCAGATTCAGGCTCGGCGCGACACGTCAAGGCTAGAAATGGAAGTACTGCGAGCTGCCAGCTGAAGAGGGCCGTTTCAATTTCCACTCAACCTTTCAAACCTCCTCCTCCTGCATGCCATTTTCATATCCTATTCTTTCATTTAGCTGAATGTCGACTAGATTCAGTACACCAGGCAACAAGAGGACACATTCAGAGACGGGATTTGCGTACATTCAGAGGAAGCTGAGGAGCACGTTGGTGTCAACAAAGCTCCAACACCAGCAGCGACTGACGTAGTGATGCATGCCTGGCGGCTTGGCCTCATCACTGTCCAGCTTTTCAAGAATGGAAGGACCTGGGTCTCGACCCCTGCACATGGCGAGCCAATTGGCCAACAACGAAGGGGAAACACCCAGAACGGGGGACACCGACATGAAGGGGAGATAGGCTCAGAGAGGATTTCAATTCCCGTGTCGACCTTGGTACCCTAATGCATACTTCTCCATGCCTCATACCTAGTCTACTTAGGTAGCAAGCACAAGATATCAATCGCCATAATCATTTCTTTTTAAAATCCCGTTTCCAACCGTCGCGTTCCAAATTCCATCAGAGCTATCGTTACAATCCAACGGGTATCTCAAAACTCGGTACCACCTCTCCAGTGCCATGCCCTCATTTCTTCTCATTTCTTCTGGTCACCCATGATCGTCCATTTCCAGCTCGGAACTCCGCCTGGCTGAGGACTCTGCACCCCCATAAACACCTCGCCAGCGCTGTTCTCGTTGCCAACATTAGGCGCCGAATTCGCGCTCAAATTCGGCATCGGCTGGGAGCCCTCGAATTTCTGGTCTGGTGTCGGTCCGCTCACCATGCTCGCAATATTTTGTGGATAGAAATTGGGGCCAGTGCCGGATATTCCGAACGATGAGTCCCCGGTGTTGTCAGGTGCTGATGTTTGGGTGAAGAGATTGTTGTTTGGCGAGTTGTTCGACCACAAACTCGCCGCTGGATCGAGGGAAAGATTCGATGGCTGCATGTACTGATCCCAGGCTTCCTGTAGAGACGTCAGCCCATACCAAAGATGAGCCCGGTAATAGTGCCATGATCATAACTTACCCAGTCCAGATTCATACCTTGGTCCAAGTTCGCCATGCCTATGGGTCCGCTGAACAATCCACCTCCGAACGGACTTGCTGGGTTCGCCGCTCCAAAGAGGCCAGGATTGAATTGCTCGCTGTTGAGATTCGCGTACAGACCAACCTTGTCCCACGGGCCACCTGGAGAGGCCGCATTCGACGCAGTCCCTCCTTGGCCGGTGCTCGTTATCCCTCCAGCTTGAAGCATACCCAAAGTCATAGCCGCGTTCTGCTCATCATTGTTCGAACCCTGAGGTTGCTGGTTCGCTGCGGGAAGTGGCGCATTCTGAGGATGGCTAGGTGAATATGGTAGTTTGATATGATACAGGAGCACGTTCAAGAGCTCGCTAGCCTTGTATGCTTCTATGCTCAGGTCGCGGTTGTCCATCCATACGTCGCGGCTCTCCTCAAGTGCTCGGACAAGATCTTCCCGAGTGTAACTGAGCCCAGGAACATAGGCGCCATCGGTCGACATATTGCTCCCCTGGCTGATACTGCCGCCACTGACAGAAGTACTCGGCGTGCTTACGTCGTTATCATTGCCTGAACGTTCCCGGCTGTTGTAGAGGTCCATGCACACAATGGTAGCAGCCAGTAGATAATCGTGCGCAGTCAAGGAATTAACGTGGTTGCGCAGACTTCTCAGCCGGCCCCGCTCACGACTCTGCTGATGTTGAATGGCCTGGAAGCTCAACAGTGACATAGCCGAGTCCAAACACTGTCTCCTGGAGTGCATGTATCGGTTTCCGTTTCTGGCAAGCCTCATGTACCGACGGTGGAGGACGCATTGGGACTTGTGATAGACAGTTGCCAAGCTGAATCGAGCCATGATCAGCGAAATCGGCGCAAGAGTCTGTTCTGCCATCGGCCTGAGCTTCAGATGGTCAGGAATACTCTCGTAAATATCTCTCAACCCACGATCGATCTTCTGGATCTCGTCATATCCCTTCCGCTGGACACCGTTGATCTCCTCCAAGACCCGCCCGAAGCCAAAGGCAAGTCGCCCCTTCGCTATCATGTAAGAGATTGGGGTTGCCTCAGAAGACGGACGGGGTGCTGGGAGAGACGTCGAATCCTCACCGAATTCATCGTCGTAGATGTTCCGAGGCAGCTCTGTATCTGAATCTCCAATGCGAATCATTGATGGCAGGGCGACCTGAAATGAGAAAAGAAGATCTGCGCTTCGCACAAACGTCCACACCCGACGTCTCATTTCCCCTTGGAACGGACTGAGGTTGGGGAAGAGCTTCGCATCTCGATGATAGCCCATCCGCATGGCCAGGCGGGCAATCATGCCAACTAACACCCAGACACTGGCTTCCGCGTCCCGATTGGAGGTGTACTCCGCGTGCAAATGGAAGATAAGAGTCTCAATGATGTAGTTGTGGGGTTTGGTGTAGTCGGCGGTGATCAGGCAATGTGCCATCTGCGTGCGGAAGTTGCTCGCAAGGTCCTGGCACTTGCCTCGAAACTCAGGTGGTTCGTCCCCTTCTCGACCGTACGACAACATCGCCAGGCGCATCATGGCAAACAACATGGCGATCCACACAATCGAGCTTTTCGATGGATCTATCCAATGCTGGTTGTAATGCCGTTGGAACGTGGGACCGTGCAGTATATGGGTTGCGGGGTCGAAGGTGTTGAAATAACGCCCGATCAAGATATCCGCCATATACCGGGAGGGGATCTGTGCGAGAATCTCGGCTCGACTCGGTGGGACTGTAGAGCCAAATAGCAATGCCGGACCGGAGCCCACATCCGTGCCCATGGTCTTCCTTGCTTGCTCGACTTTCTCCATCTGCGCCTCATACTCTTTCTTGTGCGCGACGAAATAGTTCTTGACCTCTCCGATCTCGTTGAGCAAAGCCGCCCAATGAGCTTCACCAACATAGAACGTCTTCTGCCTTTCAGCGTCCACCTTTAAGATCCCGAAGCTCTTTGTCACGCCATCCGTCTCGCTCTCGGGTTCTTGGCCATCAGCATCATCATCCATCATCCCACTGTCATCCAGCTCAATATCGAGATTTGGGCCTAAAGAGCCACTGCCGATAGAGCTAGCTCCTGCTGAGAGAGCCTGCTGAGCAGCGGCTGGACCAACGGCTTGGGATCCATTGGTCATGAGCGACAGCACCAAGCCTTCCAGCCGGTCTATTCGATTTTGCATGTCATCTGGAGTCCCGTTGGCGGAATTCTGACTATGGTTGCCCTTTTTCCTCGCCGCAGGAGCGGCATATGTGCAAGAGGCAGTGTCACCTCTTTTCGTGCAGTTATCACATGGTGATTGCCGGTTACATTTCAACTTGCGGTGTCGACAGGGCGCGCACGACAGGGGGATGCGATTGCGTTTGCGCACGACTCGGAATTGGTCAGGAGAGGCGCCAGAATGCGACGTGCCGGCGGAGGGAGGTGTGGGCGTCATTGTGCGACTATTCTCGTGGTATCCGCCCTTGCTGTCGCTCGACGAAAATATTGCGCTTGTTAACCCCGCGATTCCCTTGAGGCGCGCAAGTAATGTTAGGGAGTTCTTGCCAGCAGAATTGGTCGCCGCAATACCTATCCAAGGTTCCTGAGCGCCAGACTAAACTCACGCAGAGCTTACGAATGCGCGGTCTTGTCAACGTAAAGGGAGCGCGATTAAGAACGATGGGAAGTAGGAGCCTGGGGAAAGTGGATGTTCGGATATAATAGGAATTATCTGCGAATGGGCAAGCGCACGTGCAAGCCACGCGAAAGAGTTCCTGAGCGCTTGAGGGCTCCAGCTGCGGAATCGCAACTGTCGACGGCTGGCACGGCGTCAACAGTAGTCAGACTGGGGAAGCAAATATCAATCGCAAAGAGCAATTGACCGCTCCAAACAAGTGGTGGAAGAAAGGAAGTAGGTTAGGCAGAGACCCTTCAGCCGTGGTCACTCGTAAGCGACTCGACTGACGGAGAGCCAAGTCGCAAGTCCAACTCCAATCAAGGAGACAATCTTGAAGGCGGACAAATGGTGCGCCGCTACAACGGCAACTTCCAATGCGCTGTTTATCAGCGCGAGATGTGGGCAGCCCGCCCCGAGGCTGCACGCAGCGCGATCACGGTTCCCGACGACGATCTGATACGCCGGCCGGGCCGTCGATGACTCACTGGCTGGTGTAGCATATGCGGGGGCCGCAGCGAAATGGAGAGATGGCGATTCCAGCAGCGAGACGGGCACTCAGAGGGAACTTTCTAGGGCGCCTTAAGCCCGCACGGCCTGCTCTCACTCGTTAGCAGCCCGCGTTCCTGGACGGCGTAATGCAGCGTCCTCGGATCAACGCAAATCGTCGACCATGATGTCAGGCTGCATCGCTGACCACAGGTGGGTGACAGGAGGGAGCTTTACTGCTGTGGTAGTGGGTTTGGGGGTCTCGAGGGCCTGTAGGGTCTTAATGGCCTGCACGGAGTACAAACCCATTCATTCTATGTGGCCTATTCAGTGCTCGTGTTCATCACCACTAATTGCCTTATGCTAACACTAAACAGTACGAGCATGATGGACATGCCAACCGTGGCCCCTCGTCTGACACTCGCGTACTGGCGTAGTCCATGATCACTACGGAGCACCACCTCGTCCAAGACTTCGGTCAGCGAGCGCAGTGGCTGAGGCTATCACTGCACGGTATGCCTAAAAGTCCCAAAAGCTTTTCTGCGCTTTGGTTTTGCTACCATTCTCGCCAGGCGTCTGTTCCTCCCCTCCACCCATGCTCCAGTGGCTCTCCATCCCTTTTCTCAGACCGGTCTGCGTAGGGGCTCTCTTGGACTGGTCGGGCGACTCATCATAAGTGTTCCAGTGGGTGTCCATCTGTGACGGCTTCTTGCGATGGTTACTGATGGCCTTGTTCTCATTGTTCGTCTTGCCGTTCGCCGGAGAGTCATCTGTCATCGACCAGTGGCTATCAAAGTCGTGTCTTCGATGGGCCTTGTTCGTGATGGTCGACAACGGCGCCTTTTCCTGTCGTCTGCCATCCTCATCCTCGTCGAACACATTATTTGAGTACAATCCCATGCGACTGCTTGAGCTCGTGGGGCGGCCGGCTGTCCGGTTCGGGGCAGGCGTTGCTGTGTCTTTCAACTGGAAATGGGTTTCCGCGTCTTTCCGGGGCTTTGGCACGACATGACGTGCAACTGGGGTTCCATCATCCTGCAACTCGAAGTGACTCTCGTTGTCGGGACGTGGCTTAGCCTCAACTCTCTTCCCCGGAGTTTCGAGGTCATTGTTCGCGGTGTCGAGGCTGAAATGGACGACATCCTGATCTCGCACCTTCTGCCCAACCTTCTGCGGTGTTGAGAAGTCGGAGAAATCCCATTGGGTATTGTTCTTGTTGGTCTTCGCTCGCATCGGAATTGGTGCTCTCGGCTTGGGTTCAGGTTGCTGATGTTGGAAAGCGTCATCATCTGCCGGGTCTCCCAGGTCGAAGTGGTTGTATTTGGCCGGGTTGGACTTGTATCCGACGGCAGCTGGCTCACCGCGATCATCGGTAAAGAGGCGGGGAGCGGAGAACTTCTGGCTGCTGCCAGCTTTGGGTGCAATGACTGGTTCGGTGGGAACCTTTTTGGGCGAGCCGGGCGCGTGATCTTCATGGCCTGCGGCGAATAGCTCACTCATTTCGCGCGGGGGAGGTCTCGCTGAGGCCCGTGGCGCAACGGCATTTGGGCTCAGGACGCATTCATTCTCGTCTATCGGCTTTGGAGAGAAGAGATCGAGGCTCGCGTGAGGGTCTTTAATATGTCTCTTGCTGGGCGACACATTGCGGGACGAGGAAATGCTTTGGTTTTCAGACCGACCTCGCGGACTGGTTGGCAATTCGGGCACTGCTGGCATGGCATTCGAGCCGGTGTTGATGAGCCTAATTTGTTCCTTGCCGTCAAACACAGGCCAGTTCCGGCCTCTTGAACCAATCACTTCGGTCTGTTTCAGCAGAGATGCCTGATCCCAAGAAACGCGAATCTGGGAGATTTTCCGTTCCCTGTCGAAGTGGACGATGTGAGTCTAGATGCGCACTCAGTCAGTCTCGGGCATGAGATTGGGCATCAACCGTCCCTACCGTGGGGATCACTGCAATTTTGTCCACAATGAAGTTCTCTAGACCTGGTAGGTAGGTACCTCCGCCTGCGATAAATTCCAGCACTGTTTCTACTTCGAGCGCAAGCGCGTTGGATCCCTCCACGGCCGACAGTATTCTCGCATTTCTAGTCCGGACAACCTTTTTGTTTTGCGACTCGAGGTGGCGGATAATGTCGCTGGGCGAGGAGAAGGTGTTGAGCGTGGTAACGTAGTAGAGTGAGGCAGTCTCGGACAGGCTGAGACGATTAGGCAGCTCCAGAAACCGCTGGTAGACTTCTTTCAGTGTCATCTTAAAAGTGGCACGAGCTGTATGAGCTTCGAGTATAGCAAAGTGGAAGAAGTGAAGAAGCGTGTGCAGTCTTGAGGGGACACGCCAGTAGCCTCTGTCCAGGCGGCAGAAAATAAGAGGACTCAGGCAGATAAGTGAACAAACGACACTCGGTTACTGGAAAGGGATGAGCTGGCGGCCTGCGCTTCAAGAATGGGGACGTAGCAGAATCAGTTCACGAATAAGCAAGCAGTGAACGGGAGGGTTTAACTGAAGCAGTGGTGTTTACGGTGTCCCTGAACGGTGCATGTTCCTCCTCAGCGGCGCAGGATGCACGAGGTGCTTCAATGGGAAGACGCGTTGCCCCGCCGTCGCCCATCGCGTCCAAAACAGCCCAACCTCAGGCCCGACGGCATCCCCGCATTAGTGCCGTTTCATCCTCCCTTCTGACGGGGCCATGTTTGGGGTCAACCAAGATCGGTCCTCGTAATTCTACGAGGTAGTCGGTACGAGTGCCCAGTACAGTGCATCTGGAGCTTTCATGGCCATGTTATCCCAATTCCTGACATCTCCTCTTTGTGAAGCATTCGAGAATAGGTAGATCCCTGTATCATGACCAAGGCCACTATCCTTCGGCGGGAAGCACACGGCCAGAACCCAACAGCTTCCACAATGAGTTCTAGGCGTGGTGGGATACTTTTCATTTCGTCGACCACAATTTGTGAAAAGACGTGATTTTTGCCAAACGGACGATGGACGTCCTGGATAGCAAGCCACTTCAGACCGGGCTAACCCCTTGTCAATATTTCTTGCTCCGCATGGACAGCCTCCACTTACCCAAACCACTGCGACGACATCTTTCCGATCGCGTAGATGTGGTTGACATCGCTCCGCAAACCGATCAGCTTGACCCGAATAGCGGAGCCCTTCTCGATCACGTCGCCGGAGTCATTGGAATACTGCGGAGGAGTGGCATCTGGGTTGTATCGCATATCAGGTGGAATATGCTTTTCACCGTGTCAATACAAGCTGGATACTTAGAGCATATCATGTCACGACCTACCAGTTTGGAGACAAACACCGACAGAGGTCCAGCTTCGCAGAAGGCTCCTTGTGGCTTGACGGAATTGACCGCGCAGTCGATCTAAACACGAGTGTCGTCAATACAACGCTTTCGCCAACCATGTGTCACGAGTCCTACCGTCTCTCCTTTGAATGGCTTCCACAAGATTGCACGGTAAAGGATGGTGTAGATCGCCTCGCCTAGGCCTGGCACAACCTTTCCAGGAGAGATGTTGTAGATATCCATGATGCAGACAATGTAGTATTCTCCATTGCAGCTCCCCTCTAACTCGGCATACAGTTGATTCTTGAGGATTCCCGTGATATTGGACGCGAAGAACGAAGGGTGGATTTTCATCTCGCGCTCGAGGTATCGCAAGAAGAACATGGCGGCGGCGTGCTCTCGGTAACCTGTTAACCCCGACGAAAGATCGCAGATGTTAGAGATGAGAGCAGTTCAGCTGCCTTCGAGTTGCGCGACCTCAATTCATCCTCTTATTTCACGGAGCGCACCAGTCGCTGTGAGTCTCTCTTGCTGCGTGCAGACACAGTTCACATAAGCGTCTGTCGGTGGAAGGACGCAGCGCAATCGACGTTCTTGATATTGAGACACAAGATCAACTGGTTTCTATGCTGGTGATGTTGATGCTTGGATGCGCGACGCATCTGTTCGCTGCGCCAGACAAAAGAATTTGTGGCCGTGTCACTAGTACTGCTAGCGCGGACTGACTCAGGCGGCTCCGGGCGTAAGCAGCATGGCCCACACAACGCGAGTCACTGAGACTGAATCCGTACAGTGGTGACAGAGCTCTGCTCATAAGCTCAAGGCTGCGTAGTCACTTTATGATGCAGATGCTCTGAGGCTTGACGACATCGACACCGAAAAAAAGTCCAGGCAGGGTAACAGAAGGACTTTGACGCTCTAGTAAGGTACCTTGCTTGCACGGAACACACGTGGTCGTGACGACCCCTTCCGGATCTTTCATTTTGATCTCACTTACTCATCGATCAATATCACGCACTGGGCTTCATGTTGCCATCATAGTAGCTTCCGTCAGGCAACTAAACCGCATACAGGTACACGTGTACAAGACTCGGGCTGCAACATTCAGGTACCTAGGTAGCTTTCTTGTTAGTCCGGGTGTTCGTGACAATTCTGTTCACGTGTCATCCAAGAAGCTCAATCGATGCGCAAGCTCTCACTTCAGCGATGTCTGGCCGTGACACTACCGTGAGCTTGATAGAAGATAACCGGCACGTAGGATATACTCATCACAGTTATCGTACAAGTATGTCCACAGATCCACAAGCATTGTGTGATTTTTAGAGGCTTTCATGGGCAGCTTCCATAATCACAGAACTGGGTAGATCACGAACATCGATTTAGACGAGAGTCTAGTAGAAGACTACAGCAGCAGTGGACCACTTGGTCAGTTGGATCCCTATGGCTGTACTTCGATTTGGATTTCTTGAACCTGGCTGGTGAAGATGCTATTTGTCATGGTGGAGTTGCGGGACATGTGAAAATGTCAAGCGGAGGTCGAAGCATCGCCTGTATGTTGGCCAGGCGGTGGACGAGTGCCTCCCAGAATTCATTCCAGAACTAAGACCAAATGCAAACCCAGTGGACGTCAATGCGACTTACGATCAACAGGAACTTGCTGCATCCGAGGATGCATACGACATCTTCCATTACGAAATTTTGAGAATAGGATTGGTGAGTTCGGAGCCTCGGTACTGCCTTCGGTGTAAGGCAACTACGCTCCCTATCGCATGAAGAAGGCTCGGACCAATGCAAGTGCCTTTGTCATCAGATCGCAAGGCCCGTTGTCGCCGCAATAAGGTTACAGCGACGACCCGAGTGCTCCTTCCCTCTAGCCCTCGATGTTTATCCAGTGTTTCTTCTTATCACAACCCTTCAATTCTTAGGTACTCCTCACTTGCCAGGGCGTCGGATACTTGGCAACGCAGTAACTGCGTCATTTGTCATTAGTCATGTCCTCCTCTCTGCGCCAGGAGAGTTTCAACGGGGTTATCGCGAATTGGAGCTGGGGGCTAAGAGGTGCAAGTCAAATACTTATACAGTCGTTCACAGTCCCACGACCCTTGGACCTTGTGCAGGCAAAAGCACTTGCCCACGAGGACGATGTCAGTATAGTGTCGCGCCTATCAATATGGTCCGCTTTTACATGTGCCGACACGGCGATGCGGCACCCAGTGGGAGCTCGAAGTCAGGGAACCCATCAACACTCGAAGCCAATGCTACATTTATCAATATCACGCATCCGGCTCAGCGCCAGGATGCGGAAACCCGGAAGAAAGTAGCCCAGTACATCGGAGTCAATTTCCGGAATCGATCGAGACCTCTGGCAAGAAGGGAAGCCAGCGGCCCTGGCACGAAGCCAGGTAACTCCAAGCCACCGTCCCGGAGACAGCTGCGGGCAAAAGGAGCTCCAATCCAAGATTGGGTCGATCGAGACAAGCACGGGTTGAGGTCAGACCCATTTGCATCGTATCCTATCCGACGACAGGACTGGCTCCCAGAGGCGGTGGACTTCTGTAAGTCTTTCTCGATCGGGGTCTAGCCACCATGTTGAATGAGACACACAAAACTGAAACCTTTTGTCTTCTCCAGTCTTGAATGCATACGGGCCGACGCATCTCCTCAGGCGCACAGCAGATGGCGCCATTAGGAGGTATCAAAGGCGCCCGGAACGCACGACAGAAACTTCCCCTGTACACCAGTATTTTCAGTATAGCCTGGAACATCCTGTCATGTTTGAGGCTCTGATAGCCCTATCGCTATCCAATCTGCGGATTCATCACTGGGAGCAGGGTCAGGTCGACAAGGAGACGGCGTACCACTATGGCAACGTCTTGAGCAGTCTTCAGCAGACATTGAGGGAAGGTGATGGCTACCGCGAGACTGCCGTTCTCTGGGCGATTCTTGCACTCCTGGAGCTAGAGGTACGTGGGTAGCCTGATGGCCTTACCAGCCTCGACAGTGGATCAGCCTGAGCCTGACTGACAACAACCGGTCTCGGACAGTATCTGGTAGGCAATATGACTGCGTTCGAGGCGCATATCAACGGCTTGCATCGGTTGGTGGATCTGCAGGGAGGATTGGCGTATTTTGACCAGTGCAAGTTGCTCGGGCCAGCTATCAGAGGGCAAGTCGCTACTCCAGTGTCAAGTATTGCTAATATTCAGCTCATCTATCAAGGGTTTTGGCGCTATGGTACTTCCTCAGCGAGTCAGTCACAAATGACGGTCTCACCACAGTGCCCCACGATGAATCATCTAGCAATCAACAAGTAGTTACTCGCAATATTTTCGAGGGGCTTGTTGCGGAGTATAGTACCGTTGGATCTGTGGGGTTTGGAGAGGGAATCGTGCGTTTAGTCCAGCAAAGAAGATTGTCCGCACCAGTCATCTTCCATGCAAAGGACATTTACGACAATTGGCAGGACGTGGACCTATGCAAGAACTCGCCTTACAGTGTCGAGAACGCATTGAACGTGGAATTCCGGGAGCGGGGATGGAATCTCCTGAGAAATTGGCTCTTACCCAACCACGGTGGACTCACACTGGCAGACTACATTCTGTTGATCGGCCTTCAGCAAACACTCCTCGACACGACTCACGCGGAGCGATACTCACCGTTCTACCGCTCAGCCGTCATGGGGTGGGTCTCATGTTGCTCCAGATTGCTGGATAGGGTCAATCGGCAGTCCGATGCAGTTACAGCGGACTTGCTGATCTGGGTATGCATCAAGCTGGCTGGTTCGCTGACAGCAACGTTTTTACGAGCTCGTTCCGACTCAGAAGACGATCCTCGATTCCGACTAGTGATCAAGATGATGAGCAGATATCCTGAGACGAGGGAATGGAGCTCCTTGAAGATGGTCATCCAGAGGTTCCAATGGCGGGAGGATTGTCTGGCGTTCTGGTACAAGGTCTGGGAGATGGTGGTGAGAGTGATACTGTAGCTCGCAACGGATTTATCGCCTATCTATAGACTGTCCCTGGCAACAATCGCCTAATCCATGTGAGCTTTCGACGAGAGATTGATCGAGCACCGACGCCGAGGACACGAGGGAAGTGTAAGGATCGGTGAGGAAAGAGACCGTCAGACGTGTGGACGCACACCGCCGAAGCCGAGCGGTGGATGAGTCATCATGCGAATCAAAACGGGGCGGTGACGGGAACAAAGCGACACCAACAGGGCGAAACTTCTCGGCGCGCGGGGACTAAATTTTGGTCGACGCATGAAAAAACTCCCCGGAATCTAGATTAAGTTGATACACGCTGTTGTCCCCCAATATTTGATACCTATTTACAGACTGCCGTCTTCTCTGTATCTGTCTGACTCCTTGTTCCAGCTCGCTTCCCGGATCCGGCCTCGATCCCACCACATCACCTACAGCATAGAGACCATGGCTACCAGATCTAACGAAGCCGGCACTAAGAGAAAGCGGTCGAGTATGTCCAACACCGTCGAGTTCAGCAGACCATTCTGCAGAGACAATTCGCGAGTTCCTCCCAAGTTCAAAGACTTCTCGTTCTCTTATGATTCTCGACTTACCTCTTTCTGCAGGGACACAGTCTCTCCCTCCGCCCGAGCTTCCCCGACTCATCGCTGAGCAACATGTCCCTATTGCGTCGACAGACAAGGATACGAAGCGGTTGATCGTGGTACTCTCTAATGCGTCCCTCGAGACATACCGAGCCGCCCACAGCGGGAAGTCTGGGGCCAAGGAAGAAAAGTATTCGCTGCTAAATAGCGATGAACATATCGGTGTCATGCGAAAGATGGGGCGAGACATCAGTGATGCTCGGCCGGATATCACGCATCAGGTGGCTATACATCCCACATGCGAGCACTCTTTCGTGGCGAGCTGACTTCAACGTCCAGTGCCTGCTTACACTCCTGGACTCTCCCATCAACAAGGCCGGCAAGCTCCAGATCTACATCCACACTGCAAAAGGCGTCTTGATTGAAGTCAGCCCAACCGTCCGCATTCCTAGAACATTCAAGCGATTTGCTGGTCTGATGGTCCAACTCCTCCACAAACTGTCCATCCGATCAGTCAACTCGCAAGAGAAGCTTCTCAAAGTCATCAAGAACCCTATCACGGACCACCTGCCGCCGAATTGCCGGAAGGTCACCCTGAGTTTCGACGCAGAAGTTGTCCGCGTCCGAGATTATGTCGACACCCTCGGAGCGACGGAGAGCATCTGCGTCTTCGTCGGTGCCATGGCCAAAGGCAAAGACGATTTTGCAGACGCCTTCAAGGACGAAGCCATCAGTATTAGCAACTACAGTCTCTCAGCAAGTATCGCCTGTAGCAAGTTCTGTCACGCTTGCGAAGACTCGTGGGGCATAATCTAAGCACGTCTCCCGGGCCGCACAGGTAATGCCAGCTACCCCGAGTCTCTAACTTCACTAGGTTTTGTCCTCCTTTCCAGCAAACGGGCAGTTCTTGCAGATTGGGCTCGATCATAACATCTTGCCTCGGTCTGCAATGGATTGCCCCTACGGTCAGTGTTAGCATTGGGGAGTGTTGGATCTGGCGTTTGTTTTCACAACAAGACATAACATGGTTCAACAAACCTCAAGGCGAAATTTCATTTGAAAGATTCGTCGTGATACCCCGTAGGTGCACGTCAACCTGCCCTACATGTTGTCAATCCCTCCCACAGGAGGTCAAAAACATAATACATGATGAGCTTGGGTTTTGAGACAGTGGTGACTGTCCTGGCAACTCATCTCTGTCGCCAGCAAAAATAAAACGGATCATTAATTAGACAAGTCAGAGAAGGAAATGCGTCGGCCACGATTCGGGGGCTTTGACATGTACAATGCATGCCACTAAGCACTATTTCGTGTTCGAGTTCAGGATCGCGTCTGTGCGCTTACAGAGCCCATTCAGCCTTGTTGTAGAGACAACGTGGCACGCAACCTGCTCATGCACAAGTCGGCCGCATTGCATGAGATGCTGTCAGCCTGCTGTTGGTACATAGTACGAGTACAAGGCATGAGATCTACACTTGAGCCTCGTTCATCTCGCAGTGCACCAAGCCGCCGATGTCCGTGGATCCGTACTGTGTAGAAGCAATTCCGCCATGACACCATGCCAGGCGAATCGTAAGTGAATGCCAGGTGAGTGTACCTGAAGCAGGAAAACCTCATGCATTGGCGCCCGACTGATGCGCGACGGGCCGTCATCGGGCCAACGAGGGCTCGTCGCCACTGCCGCCGCTCCGCTCTTTCTTCCGCGCGCAAATCCCCGACGCCAATCAACGACGAACAAAACTCAGAATTGCGAACCACGTCGGTCTCGTGGGCACCGCTGCGCCCCGACAATTCCTGCGAGCGCCCCTCGACTCCATGCGGGTCTTCGACGTGGCATATTCTGCACCGGTCTGTTTCATTGCATCGTCGTTTCCATTCGTGGCCACCGGCAATATGTGGACGATCTCCTCGCCTCACCCAGATGCGGCATGCATCTCCTTCGACCCCCGTGGCGCCTTACCTTTCAGTTTGGTCCCCATACACCCTCTGCATCTGGTGCGGTCAGGCGTCCACCTACGCCTGCTGCTCCCTCGTCGTTGTCAGTGATCGTGGCGCAGGTACCCAGCTCGAGTATCAGATCACGGAGTCACTCCCTCGACCTCCGCTCATTTACCCATTCGTCTTTCATGAACTGTTTCCGGTAGACGACTGACCATCACGCGACTTGTAGCGAATAAAGGTCCGGATCCATACCCGTCATCCTGGATTTAGCGGCCGATATTAGGCGAACCTGGAACCTCTGGTTCGTTGCTGTAAGCCCATTCCGGCTTGTTTCTTATATCACTACCATTACAAACTCACCTGCATATTCCCGTCCCTTAAACAAGAATTTTAGGCCTCATCGCAGCTGGTCCCTCGTCTTCCGCCTCATCGCCTTCATTTCCAGATAAGATCCGAGCACGGTGACACAGGCGTGGCATACCATCACCTCCAGACTCCGAGTCCACAGTCTCGCCAAGGCTCCAGACCGTCGCGTCTCAAGACAAACAGGCTCCGAAGTGGAAAGTACATTGGAGACACTTCAGGTCACATATACCCGTCTGGACCTTCGGAAACACAGGGCATTGCTCTTCGATAGCAGCCGCATATTTATCATTAACAGCACTCCCAACTTGTTCCAAATTGTGCAACACTCAGCCTCGATTCCACCATCCCGCCGCAGTGCGACCCTAGCACATCAACCACCCGATGCCTTCCTCGATCACCCTCACCGTCAGCCACCTCCCAACGTCCACTTCCTTCTTTCTCTCCACACTGCAACCCCTGGGTTACGTCTTCCGGGGTCGGCAGGAACAGACAATTGGTTTCGGTCCGGAATATCCACCTAATACGCCCGCAGATTTCTGGATTACACAGGAGATCCCGGGTGTGCCAGCTGGTGCCGCTCACGTGGCTTTTCCCGCCGCCTCCCGAGCTAATGTGCAAGAATTCTTCGTCGCTGCCCTAAAAGCTGGTGGGAAAATCCATGGCGAGCCGTGTCAGCGGGATAGTACGGGGTACTATTCAGCCGCCGTGATCGACTTTGACGGCAACTCGATTGAAGCCGTCCATAGGCCGGGACTGACCGGTGAAGCAAACAAGGAGAATGTCGATGCCAGGAGTGTCGTGTCACATCGGACCGGAAGTGTCAAAGCACCTTCAACCGTAGGGCCGGCCAAAAGCGTAGTCTCCCAAGCGAGAAGCAAAGCACCCACTACAGTTGCACCACCACAAAGTGTCGTCTCTCAAGCAAAGAGCCAAGCGCCATCTCAAATGTCGGCTGCATCGACGAAAACACCCGAACAGACACAGCCAAAACCTTCAGGCGATGTTCTCAATACGTTGATCAACGAAGCCCGCAGTGCCGCCAACGTTGCACGCGACCTTGTCACCAGCTTCAAAGGCAACGTTTCGTCGACGCCGCCATCAGTACCCAGCAACACGGCAACAGGTGGTGGAATCGGAGCAGGCGAAGCCATCGTCGGAACTCTTCTCGGTGTCGCCGCTGGTGCGGCTTTGCACTATGCTTTCAGCAACCGCTCAAAGGACAATGCCTCGGACGATGATCGTGACGCACATCAATTCCAACCCCGCCGCCCGTCTGTGGCCGGTCGAAGCGTGACTGAGCCTCCTGCTATTCTGCGTCCCGTCTACTCCTCCGCGCCCTCCGACTACCAGGCAGGTTACGTTGGAGGAGGCTTCCAGCGGGCCATTGAACCCGCTCCCTCAGCATTCACATACTCGTCTCGCAACAACGACGATCAGAAACTAATCACCATGCAGGATAACGAGCCTGGTCCTCCTGCACCCACGGCAATCACTTACCACAGCCACGCGTCCCCTAAGTCCGACTACGCAAGTACAATCCGGCCCACGTCAGTGACCCGGCGAATGAGCATGGACTCCGGCTTCGGCCCCGGTCCCCGCGACATCGAAGCCGCGTCGCATGCCGCCTCCTCGAAAGCATCCACCCGCCACTCGAAAAAGAGCAGCGCTCCACCGCCGACGAGCTATCGCGCGCCCAGCGTGTTGACGGAGAAGATGTCTAGAGTCTCCGGCGCAAAAGGGGACGGCAGCGGTAAGGAAGATTCATCAGGGTCCCGAACAAGCAGCCTTATCCGCCTGGGCCGAAGTCTCTCTCAAGCGAGCCGCTCTCTCGCGGCAGGTGGCGACGCGCCGCCTCGATCAAGATCCCAATCCCGTCACAGCACACGATCCCGCCGCTCTCGCCGCGACGATTTTGAGGCAGTCAAGGGGGAAGTCGAAGAGGTGGAGACCGTGCTCCACGTTGCAGGGAAGAGCAGTACCAGTATCGCCAGATACCCAGTGTCAAACGGTGGTGGGGGTTCCAAAGCCGGCTCCAAAGCACCCAGTCGCGCGGGCTCGAAACATCATCCCCGCGCATGCGATCCGGCCGAGTACCCGCTCCCACCGTCACGGGCTGCAACCTGGACGGGCTCCGACGCGGGTAGATCCTTCGTCTCTGCGCGGTCGAATTTCGGACCCAACGGAAGAGTCGGCGACGCCCCGAGGACAGTCATTGGGAGATTGCGGAGTGAACAGGTCGAAAAGGCCGACACGGCGAGTGTAGTCAGCAAGCAGAAGGAGTTGAAGGATTTGGATGTCACGGATCGGGAGGTCGGGCCGGAGGATAGTGTTAGTCAGATTAGTGTCGAGTCTAGACGGAGTCGGCGGAGCAAGGCAAGTACTAGTAGGAGGTGATAGCATCGCATTGAGGTGAAGCCGTCGTGTCCAGGAGATAGACGCATATATACATACAGACATGGCATCCAGCTGGAGTGGGAAACCAGCATTCGGGAGTGTACTAGGCATGCATAATGACTGGGGGACAAAGAATACTGCTTTGAAGTACGGGCAAAGAGGTCATACATGCATATATAGTCGACTGGGCAGGATACTATTCAGAATCCGTGCTAAAGAGAGTACTGCATTGAAATATCAGCACAAATGCCTCAGTCCGGTCAACGCATGAGATGTAGCGGGCGGAGATGTCTTAGATCGCCACTCATCTCGACTCGAGTACATACGGAGGACAGTATGGTCCCTTCTCCTGAAGGCTTCGGGCGTCGCGCCTACTGTATGTATAGGGCCTTACCTACTGTGAACTTTGTGGTGCTGTAGATCTGATGGCTGCGTTGCCGCGCTCTCGCTCACATAACAGCCGTCTACGACATGCGTGACACGATACGAGAGGCCAAGTGCGCGAGACCGCCAGGAGCTTCATGTTCAGGCGAAGAATCAGTCGAAGATGGGGCAAAAGAGCCCCCGGGAGCTTTCTGGGCCATGAGCACGCGTTGCGCGTGTTTGAGGCGGATTCCCATGCTTGAAAGGGGGCACAGGGGACGAACACTCGTCGGCACGGGCGGGTCTCAAATGGGTTGCCACGGATAAGTTATTCGACCCAACGGTACGTACTGTATACCTGAGGGCATGTCGTGTGTGCGGCATGTACAGATGTAGTCGTGACTTGGCAGCGTAGGTACAGTACTAGGGCATGCGTGGGACGCCATACACTAGCCAACTCTCACAACACATATTGTCTGTGCTCCGTAGTCGTACATAGTACCAGGTTAGGTTAACACACTTGGACTCTAATACCGTAGACAAAACAGGTTGAACTTGTTTGAAGCTGATATGCTTCATCTCCACTATCACCCTATACAGTATGTACCTCGTACACAGCATGGTAAGTTCACGGCACCACAAACCCTAATTCGTCCCTCCGGTCGTCCGTCAAGCGGCCCCACTCCAGCAACAGGCGAAAGAAATAACACTCCATGTCCTCCTTGCGGAGCACTTTGCCCGCCCACTCGCGGCCCGCCTCGGCAATCATCTCCCCTTCGGCGTCGTGGCCCTTCCACCAGATCTTCTGCCCCCACATCGTGCCGTCGACGCCGGCAAAGTACGCGAGCGTCGACCACATACCATGAAGCCGCCCGTCCTGCGGCACAAAGTGCAGCCACGCGGTGAGGCGCGAGTCGTACCACTCGCGGAACAGCGCCGTCTTGAACGGCAGGCTGTGCGACTGGAGGAAGGGGAGGAAGCGGCCCGAGAAGCCCGCCCCGTCCAGGTCAAACAGGTACTTGAACCCCCAGTGGGCCTGGAAGTCCGAGGGCGGGAGTAAGGCGAACTCGGCCTTTTGGTCGTCGCAGTCGTGGCCGCCGCAGCGGGCGATGAAGTCCACGATCGCGATATCCGTGGCTAAGCCTAGTTGTTTGACTGCCGGGCCCGGGAGGGTTTGGTACTTGTACTTGGTGTGGTCGGCCGGGTTGGGGAGGAGGATGGTCACCTTGTCGTGCGGGTGCGTGGTCAGGTTATTGGACATGTGCACGAGGCGTTGGCGCGTCATGCCGCGCCATGCGGTGCTTTCGGAGGAGACGCCCTCGGAAGTCGCGCCGCGCCAGAACAACACGTTCTTTTTGGCCGAGAAGGGCGGGTCTGGGAAGCCCGGGTTGGCGTCCTCGGCGCCGGGTGTGCCGCTTGGAGGAACGGGCTTGTAGACCACTTTGTCCATGTAGTTCCAGGCGGAAGGGTACAGAATATCGTTGTAGCCGTGGGGTTTGGACTGCGAGAAGACGGGCATAAGCTGATGTGAGGCCTTGAACGCTGCGGGGGAGAGGTAGAAGCCGTGCAGATGCGCCATGTCGGGTTGGTGGCAGATGTCTGCGGCGTCGGTCCAATTGGCGAGAAACTGGCCCAAAGAATGAGGCGCCACGCAAGCGCCGCAGAGGTGTGAGTGGGATGATATTTGCGGAGAGTTCCTTGCTAGCGAGGAGGGAGGACAGCCCGCTGAGCCGAACATGCGGAAGCTGTTGCGCCACGAGTTTTCACGGAAGACGCTTTCCCTGTATTCATGCTCGGGGATTGGGAGCCAGCCAGCTGCGCGGTCGGCAGACCAGCTTGCACTGCCGCTCATGTCCTGTGAGAGGGACTGTCGGCGGAGATGTTGTATCTGCTCGTACGGAACAGCGACTCTCGACTCGTCGTTGAGATTGAACGCTAGATCCATGTCGGGCAGGTATTGCGCGAAACTGTTGATGAGGACGGCCACGCCCTCGAGCATCCATCGATGCGTGGGCAGTACATTTTCCTGCACCTTTGCTTCTCCGCTGCGGATCGTGATCCCGGAGATTTCGTTCCAGGGATTCGACACCATTTCCCAGGTCCGCCTTCTCAGGTCGGCGGGTGGAATGGCTTGAAACGGTAATAGATCGTCATAGATCTGGTCGAACTCGTCAACAATCAGCGCTGATCTGTTCTTCGCATACTCAAACCAGACGTCGAAGTCAGGCGGAGGATTGCGGTTATATCTCTGCCGGTACCGAGCGACGGTTTCGCCCAGGGAAACAGTGTCGCCAACAGTCTCGAGGTATCTGTCGTGATGGAGCTTGGCGTCGTACAGCAGCATGTCGATAGGGTGGAAGTGAACATAATCTTTCTTCCGCCAGGCTGGGAAAAGCAATATGCACAAGGTAATAAAGAGGAAGATTTGACGGGAGGTTCGCATTGGGTCCTTTTCACCTAGGGCCTGCTGGACTCGCCGATATGTCCATCTACCGAAGAATATGAGTAGAAAAGCAGAAGTCGTGGTCGAGATCGGTGTTGAAGGGTAAGGATTCTTGTGGGACCATATAAACTCGGATGCGGGTATCATAGTCGTCAGGGCGGTAAGGTAAATCGACATATCCAAGGCGCCGTACGTCGTGATCTACTGATATCAGCCTGAGCGCAGAGTCGACGTGCATCTACTTACACAATGTAGAAGCGATATGCACAAAACACAGAAAGTGAAAATATGATCAGCCATAGCCAAAATGGTCCCGAACTCCAATGCTGGGTGCAGAAACAACAGCCAAAGCCTGATTTCGGGTTTGAAAAAATACAGAACGGTCGCCACGATGCACCACACGACTGAAGTGGAAATCATGGCAGAGCTCCAGAGAACGACACATCTCCGTCCAGAGAGTCCCCTACCATCCGGTCTAGGGGCAGTTTCATAAGCAATGATAGTAAGGCAGAAGTCCAGCACGAGCGAACCGATCTGCATCAGTGGAACGGTCCTCGGCAAGCCGAGGGCCACAGGGCAGATATATGTCGAATTGGAGGAAGTCCATAATCCCCGAGTGAGGTAACATCCATACGACACCATGAAGAGGGAGACCATATGTCGAGTCCGCGGTCTTAGGATGTACGTCCTTAGGGCGGACGGTAGCGACTCGTATATTGAGCTGTCCGGCCTCTCTTCTTGTTGCAGGTCCAGCGAGCGTTGCGACCTGAAAGCATCCCAGACTGCAAGGAGGAATGGTAGGAACACCTCAACGCTGCTTATGGTGCATTCCGTGGCGAGGGAGATGCGTCGGTAGAGCTCAATGCGTGCTGAAAGCGTGCAAACGGCCAGGGCAAGGACAGTGACGCGGACCTTCCCATTGTGCTGGGGAGGCGTATTTGGGTGCTCAGCGAGTCTTCCATTCGCCTCGCCCAATTCTTCTAGAGGTACCGCTGTGTACTGGCCTTTGTTTTTCCAAGCCTCTGGAAGCTGAAACAGTCGAGGTAGTGCGCGACTTATGCTCGGTAAGGCGAAGGCGCATGCCGTAAGGGCGAGGACGATGGTATGAATTGGACGGTCGAATGCCGTTGATCCTGGGAGGTAGTGCGCCAGAGATGTTACAGACAGCACCGACAAACTAATATAATCAATGAAGCGCACGGTAGGAGCAAGGTGCGCACTCTTACCTGAAGCATAGAATATCGAGATACGCCATAATAAGGGTGCAGGTTTGACGGGATATGTAGAGGAGCACGCATCAGCAATTTCCTTCTATCCAGCGGCATCGCGTAGTGTGTGCGCTTTGGATCATTCGCATGAGGCCAGGAACAGGCCAGGAAGGGTCCGAGATCCCTTCAGTCCGCGACCGTTGACTGCTGCATCAGTTGTCTGCGCAGAAGCAGGGACCTAATCAGCGAGACAAGGCTGAGGAAATTGTGAGTTAAGCTTAGTTCGGCCAGGATGTCACGTGGCTGTTTCCCCAGGTTTCCCGAAGGAGTAAGTGCGGCGAGCGACAACGGCCAATTTTTGGAGAAAAATGTTCATGGCTCGCCGTCGAAGAACTGCTCGTTCTAGCAGCAGCGTACTTCTTACTGCCAACCCCAGTCTAAGGCGGAGGGTGGCCGGGCAAACGTCCAACATGCCTCGCAAAGCCATTGACTCGCGCATCCCGGCGCTCATCCGCAATGGCATCCAGGAGAGGAAGCGCAGTTTCATTGTGGTGGTGGGCGATCGCGCCAAAGACGTTATTGTCCACCTGCACTATATCATGGCCTCGGTCGACGTCAAGCAGAACAAGTCGGTGCTATGGGCTTACAAGAAAGACCTTCTAGGCTTTACATCCCACCGGAAGAAGCGAGAGACCAAGATCAGGAAGGAGGTCAAGCGAGGCATCCGAGACGCCAATACGGAAGATCCCTTCGAACTGTTCGTGACCCTGCACAACATCCGATACGTCTACTACAAGGAGACGGATAAGATTCTCGGGAACACGTATGGCATGTGCATTCTACAAGACTTCGAGGCTATCACGCCCAATTTGCTGGCGCGCACTGTGGAAACGGTCGAGGGCGGCGGACTGGTGTTGCTTCTGCTCAAAGGCATGAAGAGCCTGAAACAGCTCTATACAATGTCCATGGATGTCCACTCAAGGTATCGCACAGAGGCGCATGACGATGTCGTGGCGAGGTTCAACGAGAGGTTCATCCTGTCGCTCGGTGTCTGTGAGTCGTGCCTGGTTGTGGATGACGAGATGAATGTCCTGCCTATATCAGGAGGGAAGAACATACAACCTTTGCCACCGCCGGCTACTGAGGTGGACCGTGTTCGGCCGGAGCAGAAGGAGTTGAAGGAGATCAAAGACAGCTTAGCTGAAAGCAAGCCTGTCGGGCCCCTTGTTGCACTCTCAAGAACCGTGGACCAGGCAAAGGCTCTTCTCACTTTCGTTGATGCCATCTCAGAGAAAACTCTACGGAGCACAGTCACTCTGACAGCCGCTCGGGGGCGTGGAAAATCTGCTGCTCTTGGTGTTGCTGTGGCTGCCGCAATAGCTCATGGCTATAGCAACATCTTCATCACTTCTCCCAGTCCTGAGAATCTCAAGACACTATTCGAATTCGTCGTGAAAGGATTCGATACCCTCGAGTATATGGACCACGTCGACTACACCATCCTGCAGTCGACCAACCCAGAGTACAACAAAGCCATTGTGCGAATCAATGTCCACAGACAACATCGGCAGACTATCCAGTACATTCAACCTCAAGACGCCCATGTTCTTGGCCAGGCAGAGTTGGTAGTCATCGATGAAGCAGCCGCTATCCCTCTACCGCTGGTTCGAAAGCTAATGGGACCATACCTCGTCTTTATGGCTTCCACGATCAATGGTTATGAGGGCACGGGTCGATCACTCTCCCTCAAGCTCATCCAGCAGCTTCGCGAACAGTCAAGAGGCGCTCCCAGTGTCAACGGAGACGACGTCGAAGTCGCTGACAAAAACACACGCAAAGCGGCCAAAGACGGCCAAAAGGTTTACTCGGGTGGCCGCTCTCTCCGTGAGATCACCCTCGCAGAACCAATTCGATACGCTGCCGGTGATAGCGTCGAAAAGTGGCTGAACAGACTACTCTGCCTAGACGCCACGCTGCCCAAATCGAAAGTGAATACTCAAGGCACGCCTCACCCGTCAACGTGCGAACTTGTACAGGTAAATCGCGACACTTTGTTCTCCTTCCACCCGGTGTCGGAGAAGTTCCTGCAACAGATGATGGCCCTGTACGTCGCATCGCACTACAAGAATTCGCCCAACGACCTGCAACTCATGTCGGATGCGCCTGCGCATCAACTCTTCGTCCTAATCCCGCCCATCCCCGAGGACGCGAATAAGCTCCCCGAGCCGCTGTGCGTCATTCAAGTCGCTCTCGAAGGGCGCATAAGCAAAAAGTCCGTCCTGAACAGTTTATCTCGCGGGCAAAGAGCCGGTGGGGACTTGATCCCCTGGTTGGTGAGCCAACAATTCCAGGATAGCGAATTCGCCGGGCTTTCCGGCAGTCGAGTTGTCAGGATTGCCACAAACCCAGAGTACCTCAACATGGGCTACGGGTCGCGCGCGCTTGAACTCCTGACTCATTTCTACGAAGGAAAATTCACCTCGCTGTCCGAAATTGACGAAACCACCATCGAAGACACAGAGCACAGTATGACCCGGGTCACAGACACGGAGCTCGAGTCTACAACTCTGCTGGCAGATGATATCAAAGTGCGAGACATCCACAGTATGCCGCCTCTGTTCAGCAAACTCTCAGAGCGCAAGCCCGACCAACTGGACTACATTGGCGTGTCATACGGCCTAACCCAGCCTTTACACAAATTCTGGAAACGCCACGCCTTTGCGCCTGTCTACCTTCGACAAACGCCCAACGAATTGACTGGCGAGCACTCATGCGTGATGCTTCGCCCGCTCTCAAGCTCCACCGCGACAGACAATTCCTGGCTGAGTGCCTATGCGCTGGATTTCCACCGCCGGTTCCTGACCCTGCTGAGCTACCAGTTCCGCACGTTCGCGAGCGTGCAAGCGCTGAGTATTTCCGAAAGTGCGACCCGTGCGACGAAATCCACAGACGGGGCCTCTACGACTGCAGATCCCGTGCAACCGCTCTCGAAACGTGATCTTGACAACTTATTCTCGCCGTTCGACCTTGCGAGGCTGGAATCCTACGCAAACAACCTGCTCGATTACCACGTCGTGTTGGACCTCCTGCCCGCACTGGCGCAGCTGTATTTCACAGGCCGCCTGAAAGCACCGCCCTGTAACGTGGCCCTGAGCGGTGTCCAGCAGAGTATCTTGCTGGCCATCGGTCTGCAGAGGAAAGACGTGAGTGATGTGCAGCAGGAACTCAACCTGCCGAGTAACCAGCTGTTGGCCATGTTCGTCAAGGTCATGAGGAAGATAAGCACCGCGCTAAGGGCTGTGGTGGGCGGGGACGTCGAGATGAGTCTACGTGGGAATGCCGACGACGATGGAGCGCAAGTGCCAATGGCAGTGCCGGATCCACACCTGCAAAGCACGAATACCAAAAGGGTGACTATCAAGGCCACAGCACCAGATCCCGCCGAGCAAGACGGCAGCCACGAGGAGGAAGATGAACACGAGGAAACCGACCCGGCAATCAAGGAGAAGCAGCGCGCCTTGATCGACGCGTTGCCGCTTGATAGGTAAGCACTGGCTTTCGCTCCTGCCACTGCGACTATCAACCCTTCCCCATCTACCATCTGGTGAGCTGGCTGCATGGCCGCCTACCTAGCTACCTACCATGCTAGTCAACCTCAATCCCCTCCGCGCAGTGCCTCTTCCCATCCAGCTCTACATCTCGCTCTCCGCTTTCCGCTTTCCGCTCCGACCTCTCACCTCCGTGCTGATCAGATTAGATCAGATCGAGTTAACTAACAAGAATCCCCTTCACCGTATAGGTACGAAATCTCCCGCACCGCAGCCGACGACGACTTGGCATGGGACCAAGCCGAGCGCCAAGTCCGCGAGGCAGGTACAGGGGCAGGGGCCAGCACCGTCGTCAGCGTGAAGAGCTCTCGAGACAAAGTCAAGAAGCGGAGACTCAATGACGACGAACAAGACGGCGACGCGAACTTGAATGGTCGCGCTTCCGATGACGATGGCGGTGCCTCGAGAGGAGAGAAGCGAAGGGATAAGAAAGCGCGGGGGGCAGATGGGGACAGGAAGAGGAAGGCCGGGAGAGACGAGGAGGGGAGGAGAAAGGCGAAGACTATGGCGAAGACCATGGCGAAGGTGTGATTACCCAGGAATAGGAACGAACGCCGTTTGCCTGAGTGGGCGTTTTCATCCTGTGCTTATGGACAACTGAAAGAGCTCAGAACACAGAGCACGCTCGAAGTTCAAGGCAGAGATGGGCGAACCTCGTTCCAACGCTGACTATGTCTATGTATGCCACCCGGTGCTGGAATATGCCGAGCGTCGATTGATGTGCATGCTCCTCTGCTATGACAGCTTGCGCGAACTTAGATTCGTGCGATGGGCAGCCAGCCAGCCAGTTTCCAACTCAAATACCACGACCTCCATAAAGCAGTTCAGGACGAGAAGTCCTCCAGTTCCGCAGCGCCCTCTATCATTGTCCAAGTTCCACGAAGATTTGCAGCAAAAGATGAAAACCCGCGAAGCATTCCCGAAATCTGTGCTCCACAAGATCAATCGTGAGGGTTGCCCCGGTTCATGCAATAGATCAACCCGATAGAAACAGGTCAAGATGTATTTGGCAGGCGGTGTCCGAAACTCCCCTTCGCCAAAGTATGTGTCGGCATGCGTGCGAGAGTCGTGCATTGTCCTCAACTTCCAAATCAGTTGTTGGGATCATAATCAGGGTCGTCATTATCGTCCAAGTCCTCTGCGTAGCTTTTCCTCGTAGCGCTCCGCCGCTTGGGTCGATTCGTCGAAATGCTGTCATCGACGAAGTTGCCTTGCGGAGCTGGTATCGGCTTCATCAACAGACGCACGCGCGGTTTTGCGGATTTCGCCCTAGTGACGACGCCGTGGTGGGTGATGTCTGAATTGGCTTTCGTCTTGCTCCTACCACGACCATCAGCTCTGCCTTTGTCGGTGCCGACGGCTGTGTACTCTGCACTCCCATTGTAGAATCGTTCAAACCCTGCTGGCTGACTTCCATCCCTCAAGTCCCAGACCCCGTGGACAATCGTTGTGCGAGATGGGTCGTCACCATGGGTAAGGCCTTGATATGTGCCAAATCTCCGCTCGTCGTTGGCTCCCATGTGCTGATGAGTGGACCTTCCGATATAGTCGTGCAAAGTATCGCCTATGGAGAAGCGCTGCGCTAGGGTCGACCCAGCTGTATAGCGATACCTGAAGCCGTCTTGATAGAAGACTTTCGTGCTTGTGAGCTTCTCTGGATCAAAACCTGGTCGAGTACGAAGCTTGACAAAAAGACTGGGTTGCTGTACGTTGTTGAATGTGGGAGATTCGACGGTCGGCGCTGTGACGGCAGTCGATGTGGGAGGGCCATCGTTACGGTTATCGACTCCGAGCTGGACAAGTGGTGCGGGTACCTCGATTGGCCAGGCCCTTTCTTCATCCTCCCTCTTTTGCTTCTTTGTAGCTGGTGTTGACGGAACAAGTGCATCGTCTTCTTCGGAATCCAGAAAACGTTTATTGGACTCAATCGGCGCAGATTCGGGAACTTCAGTCATCTCCTCCTCATTCGCGGCCGGCACGATTTCATTGTCGACATAGCTTGCCGCTGTATCGTCCTTGCCAACAGTGCTCTCTACGGCATCGACGAGTGAGTGAAATTGAACGAGATCGGATGTCTCAGGCGTCTTCGTCATGTGAGCGCTGCTGACTGAGCCTTCTCGAGTGCTGGTAGAGGAAGAGACAGAAGGGGTAGGTGATCGCGGGTCGTCTTCTTCAAGCTCCAATGCAAGAGCTGCGAATAAATCCTGGCGTTCTTGCTCCTCGTCGATACGTTTTTGTGTGTTCTCCTTTTGCTTTGCCGTCTTGAAGTTTGGGAAATAGCTCCTCAGTTGTGCGATACTTTCCCGTGACTTCATCACCTCGTAGAGGCAATACATCTGAAGGTCCCGCCCCAAAGGATTCAGATTCGTCCTCTCTGCCACATCAAACCAGTCTCTTGCGGTAAGTTGACCATTGTAAACCTCGAGTACTCTCGCTAGGAGCTCGTCGCCGGCTTCTGCTAGGTCACTCTTGGCGGCTGCGCGTCTTTGAAGTCGCGTCATGGATATGCCAGCAGCTTCAAGTTCACCTGCTGTGATCAGCCAACGAGGTCCGTTCTTGTGGCTGAAGGCGGTCAAGACAGGTATTTGCAGGGGATCGGTCTCCTTCTTCGGGCGCGGCCTCCCGCGCAGCCCTGAGGGAATGTCTTCTCCCTGGACGACGGGTTGTTTGGTAGGCGTACGCGGTGCCGCTGTTTCTGCACCACCTACATCAGGCTTGTAGCCGAGTCGTAAGGCTTCGAACCAGGCTTTAGTGGCCATGTCGAATACTCGGTCTAGTAACTTCTCGCGTTTCACATCCTCTTCGTCTGGAATTTCGGCGATCCACATTGCCCAACTCTGACTACAGCCCATGATTTGCGAACTCAAAGGTAAGTCACTATCGGGGAGTAGTGCTGAACGATCGAATCGTTTTCGATGCTTCGAGATGGAGTCAGGGTCTAGTAAGGCCGGGGGAAATTGGTAAGTGATTCGGTTGTTTGCTGACAGGTTGGTGTCGCCGTCTGGCTTGAATGGTGGTATGCAGAGAGCCCCAGACTGAAGAGCTTTCCTGACGGTGGCCCGAATACCACTCTGACATGTGGCCATGACTTCCACTGTAGGCTGGGCCAGGTCAGACTGCCCCAGGATGTTGGTAATGGTAGTAGCATGACTTTGGTCAAGGTTCAGCTGAGCCGTTTCACCATTGGTCGAGGCGGTAGCATCCGCCGGGACAGGATCCTCTGATGCTGGAAGTAGCTTGAGGCAAGGTTCTTGCTGTACGTCTGCCCACGCAGTCTCTTCGGAGGAGGCGACCTGAGATAGTTGAGGCGATTCAGAGGTTGAACCCGCAGGATTTTCGCCGATCTTGGTTTCTCGAGCCCAGTCAAAAGCCGCGCGTATTTGTGCCATTGCAAATAAAGCGTATTTTGTACAGTAGCTGCGATTTAGAAATGTCCAGAATCCAGAACCAGAACCGAGCTTGTAACAAAAGACAGCAAACACGAAAAGGAGGTCGGCGCAAGGTTTGACGTGTGAATGGAGACAGGGCTTATCGCACGAGGTGGCGCTCTCACTTTTCGGTAAGCGAAGACAAGAAGGAGGGGAGTTGATGCTCTTGAGATCAGTTTGAGGATAGGTTTGAGTGACGGGGAAACCATGAGCAGGCAAAGGAGATCTGCCAGGAGAGATCTTGAAGGCAGAAGTATGAGTGACAGGGAAAAGAGCGCAATGAACTCAAAGGTAAGTGACAACTTGGTATAGTTGAGATTTAAGGAGTCAGAAGAGCCTGAGACAACGGGCGCCACCAGATTGGTCGGTGGGTGGAAAGGGTGTTCTCAGACAAAGGTGAAAGTGTTCCGTATGCGCAATTGGGTTCATAGCAGCTCAGTAAAGCAGGTAACTCTTCACTTTCAGGTTCATAGTTCGTCGTGCTCAGCGACTGGAGTCTCTGCTGGTTCCGGTTCAGCTTCGCTCGAGACCTCCGAGGTGGTCTCCGCAGTTGGCGTGTCTTCAGGTTCAGGCTCAGGCTCGGCGGTATCTTCGTTAGAGTCAACAGTCTCGGTCGACCCTACAACTTCTGGCTCTGAAGCTTCCGCGGCGGCCGCCCCAAACCCAGCTGGCAACGTCGACTTTGGACCTTCCCCGAGCTTGATGGCATCGATGAAACTTTCAAGGTCGAGAATATCGTAAGAATTGGCCTGATAACGCCTCCACCATCTTCTCTTCATATTTGTTGCGATGATTTCCACCTTCTCATCTGGGCCGAGACCAAGGTCATTTCTAATCTGAGTCGCGACTTGATTTTCAGCAGGCACAGCATACATCGGTATCACAATCGCCTTGCGCTTATTGTACTTGTCTGCAATTTCTGCGAATCCTGACAACGCTGAAGTCGTAGCCTGAGATGGCGCAGGTTCCGCAGGAAGCAAGACCAAGATACAGTTACCGCTCTTTGGTAACAAGCAAGCAGCCTCAAGCTCGGCAGGAGAGCTGAGGATAGGAATAGGAGCCACCGCATGCGGAATGACCATTGGCTTCTCTTCCGTGTCGACTATGGGCAGAGGGGACTCGGTCGGAGGCGTATCATCGAGCACAATCGTGCTGGAGCCTGCGAGGTGCTCTTCAAACTCAGATGATTTATGAGCCTCAGAAGCTCTTGAGAAGGCTGCAGAAGCCGATGAGGATGGCTTCGATCTCGGCTTCTTGCTTGAAGACTTGGGTGTCTTCGCCTTTGGAGCGGGGTCTGCATTCGGAGCGGCGACTTGGCTGAAGAAGCTCACCAAGAAGTCCCTATTGATATCTCCCTCGTACGGAATAGGTGTTGCTCCTGTGGATGGGATGAGGTGGATCGTGGGAAACTTAGAGACTCCATGCGCCTCAGCGGTCGCCTTGTCCCTCACTTGCGCGAAGGCGATGGTGCCGAGAAAATCGATCGCCAGACTCTTGACTAATGGACTGGTAGTACCTTTATCCGTGAATATAATCGCCTTCGCTGGGGTAGCTTTGTCCTCGAGCCATGTAGCCAGAGCATCACCTTGTAGTTTCTTGACATGATTTGGAATTTTGTCCTTCACAGCCTCCACAATGCCTTTGGCGGATCTTGGTCCCATGTAGTCCTCAACAACAGGCCGACCTGGCTTCGATCCCGGTTTGACGATTTTGAGAGTGGGAAACCCTTGAACACCCATCTGACCGCAGAAGGCTTTATTGGCTTCATCGTCACAATCGACGGCTGCGACCTTGGCTAGACCCGCAAGACTCTTCGCTGCTTTCTCATACGCGGGTTGGAGATTCTTACAGTGGCCACACCAGGGTGCGTAGAACTCGACAATCTGACATGAGCATTAGCCGTTGGTGGAGGCGCAAAAGGGCAACTTGGAGAGACACACAGAAGTATGATTGGACTGTGCGATCAGGGAGTCATAGTTCTTCGCAGTGACCTGAAGCACAGGCGATGATTTGCTGTAGAGCGCATCGACGTGGAGCACGCAGCCTAGGCTGAGGAAGAGCGAGGTTGGGAGCTTCATTTGGCGGGATGAGAACGGTGGGATGGAGGAAAGTCTGTATCAAGGTACAAGGTGGTGGTACATGAATGGCAGTCCCATAGGGAACATCGAGGCAGCCGTTGCAAAGTGAACAACTGCGAAACGACACTCTGGCGTTTCACAGAGCAGTCGGCATGAAGATGCACCAGCGACCTCGCTTTGTGAATTTGATGTCTGACGTGTTTCATTTTACAACAATCCGCCTTCTTTGCACCTAGATCAGTCATGATTGATGAGTGTCTGACTCAAGTCAGTCTGCGTGCGATTCCACCTCACCACAAGCAGCCTCGTCACTGCCTCTCAGCCTTACTGGGAAGCTGGCTTGTAGAGTACAGGTCCTCGCTTGCTTACACCAAACCCTACAGAAGGGTCGCATCATTGATGATGGCCCCTCAAGTCCAAAGCCCGCAGCAGCCGCTAAGACAATCTCAAAGATGCCACCTGATGACGCTCTTGACAACCCTAGACTTGATGTGGACTCCGGGTTTCGGAAGACGAGAAAGACACAGCCTCAATATGCGCCTCACATTGAGAAAGACTGGGCACCCACAGAGCACTGGAGATTTGAAATGGTGTCAGCCATCGAACGGACTTAACGCGTGATGCTCAGACGCTCCAAGGACACGCCTGCCCTGCTAGAAACCTGGTACCCTGCGGCCTCGGCAATTCGGGGCTCACATTATGTATTACTGTGGACGTGGTGCCTTGTCAACATCCCTTTACGAAGTATTTGCATCGGGTATTGGTGACAGGGCGCTCTCTCCAAGACTGTAAACCAATCAACCGCCGAGGATCGGTCGCTGCTCATAATCACTAGGAACAATCCGTAGCTTCGTCCTGACCGCGATGGACCCTGCTGGGAACCGTGGGACGATGGCAAACTCAGCAAGATCACGATCCGGAGGATGTGTAAGCATGCATCCCCTGGTGGGACGGCACAGTCGATCGATGCAATCATTCACTTGACCAAGCCCCCGTAGCCTTCGTGGTGGCCTCCATCAGCCTGCCCAGGCACCAAATATGCTGGGCCTTCACCTCCCTGGGGTGATGCGCGTAGCTACCTAAACACGGACGACGAATTAGACTCGCATGTGCACGCCGTTGTGGTTGCTATGGAGCAGTTCCGGACAGCGTATTACAGACTGGAGGGACTTTTGCCATTGCTTCAGACAGGATGACTGTAGAGATGTCTAGACCTGTGAAAGCCGGCGTGAGGGATGGGTGATCGGTGGCACAACCCCAGGGTTTTGGGCTGCGATTACCGGATCGGCCGCCACTTGGAGTTTAGTTTACTGTAGTAAGTTCAGCTGCTCCTCCCCAGCCGAGCGGGAAGTTGGCTGCCGGCTACCACCTGCTAATCGAATCAATTAACTAGGTACTCCATACTCCGTACTCCGTATTAGTTTACAATAACTAGGCTAATTCAACACCTCTGGCAAGGAGCGTCGTGGAGTCGGATTTCTTTGACTGCCATCTTTAATCTTGCTTCACGACACCCAACACAACCGACGCGTCGACCACCGACCCTCCACTTTCGCTCTGACCTCTCTCGTCTGTCGGCCTTCGACTTCTGCCTCTTGGATCCTTGTCATGGCACCATGGCTCAAGGGCGCGCCAAAAGACCTCATCAGAAGGTGAAGACTGGGTGCATGACATGCCGGGTAGGTAACCACAGCCGCTTTCCGGGCGACTTGGATGTTCCTCACTTTCACTTCATTGCTACCATGTGTATCGCATGCATCGAGGGAAGCATTCAATTCTCCCGCTAACGAACTTAGAAACGACGGATAAAATGCGATGAGGCCAAGCCAGCGTGTCGCCAATGTACCGATTCTTTGCGCAAGTGCGAAGGCTACCAACCCCCTCAGACATGGCTTTTCAAGCCTCGCAAGCCCGAGCCCGTCTACAACAAAGAGGACAGTTTGGCTGATGGCATGACCACGACAATTGTCCAGTTTGTGTCTCCCATCGGCTCCGTGGGCGATTCCAACGACAAACGCTCTTTCCAGTTTTGGCACGAACAAGCCGCCCCTATTTTCTCATCTTACTTCGGTAAGTTCTTACTCACCTTCCCTCTTTTCGCCACTCATGCCTGCCGACAGGTCATTCTTTCTGGACCGATCTCTTGCCCAAAATCGGCCTGGCACAGCCTGCTGTCAAGCACTTGCTGCTTGCCACTTCGTCTCTGGTCGAAGCCGCTGCTCTCGAGGGTGTCCCCATCGACAAGAACACAGTTTACCAGACTCACTATACGAAAGCCCTTCAAGCAACATGTACTTCCCCCCAGATTGAAAGCGTCCTAATGGCCTGTTTACTGTTCGCCTGTTGCGAGTTCATGAAAGGCTCAATCCAACCTGGGCTGAAACATATCCAAGCTGGCTTGAACATCATAGAAGAATGGGTAAATTCAACTCAACAAACAGATCTACAGATCTCATCAGCGGCAAAGTTGATCGTCCAGAAGATAGGTCCTATATTCCTTGCATATATTGACAAGGCACCCACCTACGGCATGGGGGATGTCCCCGTCAAAGAGTGTGCCTGCACCACAGTTATCACTGGAGAGGCCGAACTGCCTTGTGTCGAACAGTTTAATGAAATGCATCGAGCTCTTCATTCATTGGACGGTATCGGTCATCATATCGCAAGGTTGACGGACCATAGAAGACCCGCATGGACGCCTTCACCGCGATACAAGGTCCAAGCGTTACTAGAATCGTGGCGCATGCATTTCGAAACGTTCGAAGCAAACCTGATGGATACTCGGAGACAGCGTTTCGCTCTGGCTCTTCAGCTGCTCAGGGTGCACTACACCATGCTCTCAGTAATGCTCCGCGCCTCGTTCAGCAAGCACGAGAGCGTCTACGAACAGTTTGGTGAAGAGTTCAGATGGATTGTGGACAAGTATGACGAGTTTGCAGAAGCATGGAAGAGGGACGAAACTGCCAAGATTTTTGGCGGCCCTGGTAACCTCGACTATCACATGGGCTTCATTCCTCCCCTCTTCTTCACGGCCACGAAATGCCGGGATCCGGCTACACGCCTGGCAGCGTTGAAGCATCTCGGGTCATTGAAGGTGGCTGAGAACAACTGGACCAGCTGCATCGCATACCTGATAGCGAGGAAGGTCATGAAAATCGAAAATACGAGAGCCCTCAACAACAGACGGGCTGGTCTCAGAGATGAGCGGGACCTCATCCGGCCTGTGGAAGCATTCATCTCGGACAAACACAGCAAGCAGGCGGCTCTCAACTACGTGGTCTTCCCATACGACTCAACTCCTATGATGCAGGAAACAATCGATATCCAGGCATGTCCCTGGTCTCCGTCGACACGATGGGTAAGTGCTCGAAGAACGGAACGTGAGGGGCCCAAATACTGACTTCCACCAGCCGTTGAGCAGAATCATACGCATTGGAGGCTACCAAGGAGGAGCCGTAAAGCCAGCACTTACTGGCTGCGCATGCGTATTGCAATACCCACGAGAGACACTGCTCCTACGGTCGAAGCCAAAGGTGGAGGGATGAATATGCGCGGTGCCTCGGGGTACTATACAAGCATATTCCATGCAGCACACGGGTTTTGCTGCGGACCTAGCGTCTGCAAACTGCCAGCAGAGCACATCCCCTGGAGTATACTGCTCGTCCAAGACTGATCGATTGGCCAGACTCCGGCAGCAAGACTGTGTTCAGGCTTGTCTTCAACCACATCAGGGCTACAGACTCCCTGAAACTGCTGTTGCTGGCCTGACGTTACACGATGGGAGCACTCCCAGTGCTAACAGGCAGGCCGGGGTTTTGCATGTCGATATTCCACTTTGAGACACCACTCACACCTGTCCCGCCTCCAAGCACCCAGCAGATGGGCCAGAGGGCGGCACCCAGCGCCGGATAAACGCTTTGCAGCCCTTACGTCCGTGAGTATTACACCAGCTGCCCGCTCACACACCCACAATCACGAGGGTCAAGCGGAATTGGTACACCGCTTCCTCGACGCGTGGAGGCTCCGAAATCCAGCATTATTACCTCAGCGAGATCAGAGCAACATGACTTCGAGTGGTACGAGTGGGCACGCAGGGATTAGCCTCAGGATCGACCTGCTCTGCCGCGGATGGATTTGCGACCGCTGTGACTACAGCTCGCCTCGTCGTCACCGATGGGACCCAAATCGATCAAATCTGGGGGCTAGCGTCTTCAACTGGAGAAATGGACAAGGATCTTTTGGGGTTAATTATTAGGATGAGAAGAACATCCTGAAAGGGAGAAGGTGCACCATTCCGAAGTATACCGAGCTGGCCGATAAGGACGTACTGTGTACTTTGTACCAAAGTACTGTGGTGGTGCACGAGGCTCCAGCTGATGTGAGTGGTCACATCTGCTTAGAGAGATGGCTAGCTACTGGCAAATAACTGACTCACTGTCAGACCTCCGGGCAGATGGCTATCAAGGCGAACTACGACTAATCGCACGTTTATGGCGGCACTAGATCAGCCGGGCCGCTAACATTAGTCTGCCCGGGTCCGCTTCGAGGCTTGAGCCCTGTCATGCATTGCCGTGCCGTGCCATATGAGTACTCGTACTCGGTTGTTTGCCTTGTATAGCCGGGAAGCCAAGCGAAGAGGGCAGAAGAGTGTGACAGTTGTGCCTAGCTGCTAGTCACTGGTCATTGTGCTAAGGCCGTCTTGGGCGGGCTGACATAGGTCTAAGCAAGTGAGGCAAGGCATCAAAAACGCAGGAAGGCCCCTTCCGATGGCGAGAAAACCTTGCACCTTCGGCCGAGAATACCTATGAGGCAAGGGGAGAACAGGCGGTGATTGGACCGGAAATGAGGAATCAGATGTCGCAGTATGTTCAAGCCTATGGGGTACACGGGTCGAAGTACTGTGATGGCCCCTGGGTGATAGTTTAGTCTGTCGCACCAGAAGGGGCGAGGGAGGAATATTGGCTCGGTCCAGGTACTAGTCCACGTCGACAATATCACGCAAAGTCTCGACGGTTGAGCCGCCGATGGACAGAATGGTGCACGGGACACCAGCTCCGCCAGGCCCAATTTGAATGCAGCGCTGGAAGCCTCGTATCATCGGCAGTTGTTCCAGAAAGACATGAAACAAGCCAGACGAGTCGTGGCTTGCAAGGCTGGCTGAAGGTACCCGTCCAGCGAGCCCCTGTCTCTAGGGAGCCCCGCGATGGTCCGGAGAATAGGAAACGGCCTTTCAATAGTGCAGGCTTCATACGTCGGTGGCACAACAGTGGATTGCACCGTGTAACAAGACACTTCGAGTTTCCATGGTATGCTGTCACAGTAGGTCCTGGATACCATTGCATCCATTGCCACCTTGACGAGAAGAGCAATGTGTGAGGCGCAGCATAATCGGCCCGGAGGGTTGCAATCCAGAGCCGCGGTTCAGAGACAAGAGGGACGAGGAACTTTTGCGGATTATGCTGGTCGAAAGGGGCAGGTGGTAATGAGCAGTCAGCCCTAAAGTGGGCAATTTGGGAGCAACCTGCGCAGGTTTAGCAGCCTCGGTCGGCGAGACTTGTCCCAAGTGAGGCTTTGCCGTCGGAGATGGAACTTAAAGGCAAGGTCTTTTCCACGGTGGCAGGCATGCTTGGGAAACCCATGCCGTTAATAATCCGGAATCTGCCCGGTTAATCATTGGGCTCGAGTCCCGCCGATAGTGCAGCGGGGGCCCGGTAGTCTCAGGGAGCTTGGAGTGCTTGTTTTCAATGAAAGACAGGCCTCAATCTGATTCACAGTTGCGGATATCGGCGGAGGTGATTTCCCCCAATCCTCGCAGTTTCTTTCAAAGGGAGTGACGATGCTGTGGATGGCACGCAGTGTCCGAAAGGGTTATTGCTGTGTTGAGTTAACTGGCTGAGAGATTGCCGAGGGAAATGCATTTCGATGACTTCCTGATTGGGCCGGAGGTGGACCTTTGTAGCGGCGGGAATTTGCTGCCACTCAGTACCTAGGTACTCCGTAGAGCCTGATATTACTCGTACCAGTACCAAGCAGCGGAGCAGCAGCGGCCACGTCAACCCCGTGCACACAGTGATCGTACACCGCCATCCGCGACTCCGTGAATATGTAACCTGCGTCTTCTCCTCTTGATTGCCACGGTGTAGAACCTCGTCCTCATGGCCATGCCCTTCGCCGAAGGTGGAGGCGAGGTCATCAACGAGCAGCAAATGAGGGCGTGAGGGTCCCCTGTCCTTTTGCCTTCCCTTCTGCTCAGTAGGAGATCCTGCCAATCCATCGGCATCATGGGATCTTCGTTGCGCATGATCAGGGCGTCGGACGTACCGGGACCAACAGGCAAGCCAGAGCGTGGAGGAGCCGTAAAGACCGAAAGCATAGGAGCTTGGCTGAACGACCGAAATCGGACCACAAACACAGTCTCTCACAAATATCTCGCTTTTTCGAACCTCGATGAGAAATCAGTGGCCTTCTTGACCATTTCCCTGCGCTTGGTAGCGCTGATAGTCGATCCCGAGCCGATGTCCTTTTCCCGATCGAAGGCGCGGGCACTGGGATCGTCATCTGGGGGCTTGTCCCGAGAAGAGGTATGGCTGGCGTAGAGTGATGGTCCGCGTTGGGCCTCCTGTCGTGAGCGTCAGCACGAAAGACCGGGGCAAAGAGGACAACAGTGCTGGTGATTGGAGGTTGTGGGAGCCGAACATTCTCAAAAGAGGGAACGATGCAGGGTAGGGAGGCAGGCAAGAGAAGAAACCTACACTGTATTCCTTCATTCTCTTCGCGGTGGCCTCGTCGTGTGAGTTGTTGTTCCCCGAACCTGATTTCGTGGGTGCTGCTGGTGTAGCAGTGTCTTGCATACCCATTACCTCTCTCTTCAACCTCGCCTGCTTCTGCTCAGGCGTTTCGTGCCACGAAGAATCTCCGCCGCTGTTCGCAGCCCGGGAAGGAGCCTTCGCTCCTTTTCCAGTATTGAATTTACGATTTCTCAGTTTTGTCGGATCGACTCGCGAAGACCAGTCGCCATTTGAAGGCGCAATAGTCATCCACTCGTCCCGCTTCGCTGGTGCTGCAGACGTTGTAGGTACCGGCATCTGGGGTCCTATTGGGGACTGTATCGAGGAATGTGCAACAGTTGCATTGGCAGAGGGAAGACTTGGGCCAAAGTCATCATCCTCGCTCTCCGACTCCGCTGCACTGATAAGGCGTGTGTCACCTGAGACTGGACGTTCGTCTAATGGCGCCGGTGGAGGAGCCGGGCCTATGACTCTGGCACGTTTCGCGGTTTGAGCCGTTGTCTGTTCCTCGTCTCGAGGAGGTGGTGGAGGTCCAGTGGAAGAGTCTGAGGTATCCCCATCATCGTCGTGGTCGTCGTCTCGCTTCCGCTTTTGCAGGTCAGGCGGGAGGTCAGGGCCGACAGCGGGCATGGCGACTGATAAGACTTGGGCTCAGATGTGCCCTTAATCAATGTGAGACGTGTCCACAAGGCCCTGCGAAAAATCGGCAGAAGTCACAAATGCATCGACAGTAACGGCTGCTGGAAACAACCTTTTACGATCGGTGTCGATGACGGTTGCGCAGTTTGGACGTTTGGCGGGGCGACCTTTAACCAGAAGGAGCGCTAGGCGCCGCCTAGAAGCCGAGGAAGCCAAGGTGTACTCCGTACGCCGTACTTTGTACTGTATGAGCAGGCACCCTTTGTGCCTCTAAAAGTTTGTACCTAGTACTCCGTATTCTGTCGCCCTCCGTTTCGCCATATTCCGCTTCACTGATTGATGAATCATTTTGTTCCCTCAGACCTATCAAGGGACACCTACCAGCTCCGTTTCTGCATGCATGTTTCTCTCTTTGCGCCTTCGTGCGTCGATTCGACCAAGCTCGAGTCTACAAGCGCCTGGAACATGCGCCCCAGTCATTATTGCTGCAGCGCCCCGTATCTCCTGCCACTCAGGTATCAGTATGGCCGCATTTCCCGTCTTTGTCCTGGAAGCCAACGGCTCTTCCCCTCAGCCGTCCCAAAATGCATGCAGGAACGCATTGTTGGACAGAGGACTGCTGCACCTGCCATTCGAAGCTTTGGACAAGCACATGCAGGGTCCCACGGGGTGGAAGAAGAGGAGGTGAGTTTATAGCTACCGCTTCCAGGGCGTTGATCTGAGGTTGCCTTTCAACCTGAACTTTCGTGACACGCTCGCTTCCCGATCGCCTTCCCACGCCAGCCTCTTTAGTGGTCACACAGCAAGTCAGATACCTCTGAGGGGAATACTTGATCTTTCGCTTTTCCATTTTTGAGATTATGTGACAATAAGACTCCTCCTGTAACTTGAAGACCCCATACGGTCATCAACATGGGTGGGATAGATGTCGCTTCAGTGGTAACTTCAATCATCTCCGCCTTCGGTAGTGGGCTGGATATATTCCAGCGACTGAGTGGGAAAAAGCGCAAAAGTAATGCAAGACTCCCTCGACCAGAAGAAGAGGAAGAATGGCTGCGACACTCGTTGAAGAAACGACCTGTCGAAATCAAACATGAGTACGACCAGCAAGTGGCCAAGTTCGGCCGCAAATTCGAGCTTGGGGATGGACCAGCGCAGTCCAGCCTGGCTCACACCCTCCTGGTCTTGAACACCGGACTGATCAACTTGATCAACCACGCTTTGGCAGGTGACTCCAAAACAATCTCCACATCTCAGCGAGCCTTGTACAGCCTGTCTGAGACCGCAGCTGGCGACACCATGGCGGCCCTTGCACAGCTAAGCTCACGCCTCAGCCTTGCTTCGCCGTCAAGCCTAGCACTCGAGGACAAAGACATCCAGAAGTCCGGTGATAGGCACAGTCGCAAGAGCCGACATTCTAGCTCATTGACAACGTCTCAACAGACGAGGCGGCCACCTCCGACACCCCTGTTGGTTCGGGGTGGCTGGGTCAGATCCAAAAGCGGGTCGTCCGTGGTGTCGGTGGTGTCTGGAGCCAGTGCCAGAAAAGCTCGAACAGAGCATGGAGACAGGCATCGGCGGTCGAAGTCTGACTCTGTAGTGGTGAAGTCTTCGCCTCCAAGCCCGGATCGGCCAAAGACGAAGCACGATGAGGCAGACCGGAGCACTTACACTTCGAATGCAGTGTCCACAAGCGCCAAAGGTCGTGCTGAAGGGAACAAGACCTCAGCAAGGCACGATACAACCGAGTACCCTCGGCCTCGAAGAGAGCCCAGCATGCTCATCATGCCCGCGGATTTCTTCGAAAGTATGCAAACGAGTGTTGAGAAATTTACTCCACAAGGACCTCCACCCCGGCCACCGAAAGTCCCTATAGATAGGGGTCCCTTGCCAACACAAAGTCGAATCCGGCCTACATCTACCATGACATTTATGACCGCCAGCACAAAGATAGGAGAGATTCCTGAGGCCAGAGTCTACTCGAACGAAGAGGTACAATCGAGACCAGTGCCGCACAGCATACCACCACCACTCGAGCCGACAGAACCGAGAAAGAAAAAGGGATTCAAGTTTTGGAAGAGGGAGGATAAGAGATATGATATCGCGGCTTATTGAGCCATGTTGTTGGCGAATTCCTGTGGATGAGGTTGGCGCGGAGGATACCTTTTGGTGTTTACTTACGGGTGGTAATTATCCTGAGAATGCCACACACTACTCCATGGTGGTTGGTTGGGCAAAAGAGTCACTGTAAATATGTGAATACAGAACTCTATCACGTCAAGCAGCAGTCTTAGAATAGTCCAGGCCGGCAAGGCGCTCGCCGTCGTTGCTTCCTTGCTAGAGACGAATCCTTGCCACCGCAGCCTCGCGTCTCCACCTCTTCTCTTAATCCTTGATCAACCACGAACATCCAACGAACACTGCTCCGTCCTCCTACCCACAGCGCAACTATTAATATGGCAACTAGCAAGATACCCGTACCCAAGCCAGGAGAGGGCGAACCGATCGTATTCTTCGATGTCCAGCTTGGCGGTGAGTCCCGAACACCTTTGCACGAGTCCATCATGAAAGAAAGAAACCTTCATGGCCCAGGATACAGGCCAGATGTACCGACAATGTCTGCTCACAGACATAGGCGTCAAAAGATTTGGTCCTCCCTGCGCAGAACCAAGCCAACCTGACTCTCATATCGTGCTGGTGTCATTCCACGCTTCCATGCTCTTCCAGCATTTACTAACACGCCCTTTCAGGCGAACCCCTTGGTCGCATAAAGATGCATCTCTTCGCCAACGCCGTGCCCAGGACGGCAGAGAATTTCCGTCAATTCTGCACCGGCGAGCACAAAGGTCCCGGCGGCAAACCGATGGGATACAAGGGGAGTAAGTTCCACCGAGTGGTAAGTCATGAAAGCACAGAAGAAGATCAAGAGTCTATGGTGCAAGGGAAGTGACGGCACCAGCTGTCTTGATCCTCAACGACAACACTCAACAATGTCCTTGAAGCTATCAGTCGCGAATCACTCTGCGGAGGACACGTGCGACATAAAAAGCACTTGTTCACTATGTGTCATTTTTTTCTACTCGGCCCCTTACAGCTCACTCAAATATCAACGCCTAACACTTCTTCCGCGCAGATCAAAAACTTCATGATCCAAGGAGGCGATTTCCTGCACAGCGACGGCACGGGCTCCACGTCCATCTACAACAACGCAGCCTTTGCCGACGAGTCCTTCGCCATCAAACACACTCGGTAAGTGCAGGCCAAGACCACATCCATGTCCAAGCGCCCCCCCCTCCCCCCCAAACGAGGCACCTTTGTGCGTTCTCCGTCCATATGTGCTAGTGCTAACGCAACTCCCACACCAGTCCCTACCTTCTCTCCATGGCCAACTCCGGCCCCAACACCAACGGGTGCCAATTCTTCATCACCTGCGCGGCGACGCCCTGGCTGGACAACAAACACGTCGTCTTTGGACAGGTGCTGGGCGAAGAAGATGACGGCGGTGAAAGTATTCGTGTGGTCAGGATGGTTGAGAACACGAGGACCGCGGGTCCAGGCGGGCGGGGGACCGGGGAGAGGCCCGTCCTGGACGTTAGGATCGTGGAATGTGGAGAGATGTAGGGCGCGTAGGGAAGGTAGGGCACGTTGACCATGAGCTACCTAGGTTTCCGGTATGGAACCCTCACGGATTGACGAAATGCTGGGGATGGAGACTAACTAGAGGCAGCCAACGAATTGGATGAGCCAAGGTCGAAGTAGACGATGCACAGACAGGCGCCGCCAGGCGTGCGTTACAGGATGGCGTCCCCCCTCTCGAGTCTAGAGTTTCCTCTCTCCTGAGCCCGCACGGGATATTCATGTTTTGACGTTGATGCCTTAAGCATATGATAGTGAGCAGTACATACAGAACTGGACCACTGTGCATATCCCGACCGGTACCAACGCCCCAGGAAGGTGAGGACGGTAAGCAGCCCAGGTGCGCAGAGAAGGACCTACTCTTGCGACAGCACGCGTTGGCGGGACTCGAGTTGATTCATGGAAACCACCGTGATGTGTACTGTACCTGAGCACGTGAGCATGTCGGCATGTGCCTACATATGTGAGGCAAGTAATACCTCGCCTATGCACTTCGTCCTCCCACGCCTCCGGAACCCCACCCCACCCACGCTGCCATCTCCTCCTCGGTCTTTTTCTCCACAATACGCTAAGTTACGGACAAAGGGGACCGCGGTCCAAGAGCGGAGTAACCTTACAGTAGCTAAGCAATGGTTAGAGAGATAGGGTGGGCAGATAGATAGTGACGGTGTATACCACCGTACAGTATGAGAGACTGAGCCTACATAGCACGAGCGGTAACACCTGACTCTTTACACTGATCGGTGCTGCTCGTCCATGGTCTCCTGCGTTTGCGGTACAATTCCCACGATCAGGTTTCACTCCCAGCGCGATCGACTGAGTTACCCTCAACATAAGCCCGGTTGGAACATCACTCGGTGAATAATCAATCATCATGGGCTGCCTTGAGAAGAAAGTGATCGTCGTGACTGGTGCGGGAGCTGGATTCGGGAGAGGTGTAAGTCAACGTCGCGTTCCATGACAGCTCTTCTTAGTATGAGTCCTAGAGTTGTTGAGTTGTTGCTTGGAGTGGAAGCAAAATAGAATCTGAGTGGAAGGGATGGAAGTGTGAAAGACAATAATTAATTCAACCCCGATGCAATCAACATATATGAATGAGCATATATCACATCCCGAACACAGTACATGATACAATCGAGCACAGCCCGTGCATCTCTAACACAACTCCACCCCTTTAGATCGTCCAACGACTCACAGCCGAGTCCGCCACAGTCCTCGCCGTGGACATCAACGAAGAGGCCAACGAGGAGACACGGTCCCTCTGCTCTCTGAATCCAGGCGCCGTGGGCACCCTCAGAGCCGACATAACCCAGCTGTCGGCGTGGCAGAACATCCTTTCCGAAGCCCTGTCGCTAGGCAACGACCGTCTAGACGTGGTGGTCAACTGTGCGGGCGTGGTGCACCTTGCCGGCCCGAGCCATGAGATGGAGGAGGACGAATTCGACAGGGTCTTCCGCGTCAATGTGAAGCCGCTGTATCTGAGCACGAAGGTCATCGTGCCGTGGTGGAAGGAACATGAAAAGAAGGGCTTGTTCATCAATCTAAGCAGTATCAGTGAGCCGCGCCCGCGGCCCAATCTGGTGTGGTATGCGAGTAGTAAAGGGGCTGTAACAGTGGTAGGTTCAATTCCTGTTCCAGCTCTTCTCTGGGACATGGGCTCTAGGAGCACGGGTCGTCCCCTTGCTGATAATGCTTTTCCAGGCAACAAAAGGGCTTGCGGCGGAATATGCGGTCGACGGAATCAGGTATAATTGTATTCGACCGGCGGTTGGGGAAACGGCAATGTAAGTAATTACAGTACCCTAGCTGTCTCAGTCCACGTCTTAAGCTGATTTCGGACAGGCTTGGAAGAGTCCTCGGCGGACAGGACACAGAGGAGGGTCGTAAGAAGTTGCTGGGAACGATCCCCCTTGGTCGAGTATGTCAGCCAAGTGACGTTGCGAATATGGTGTGCTTCCTTGCGTCGGACGAGGCGGAATTTATCACTGGGGCCGCATTTGATGTTGATGGAGGGCGAGGCGTGAGCTGAAGACCAGACCGGAATCTTGAGCGTGGCCCCCAATGTATGAACATGTTCTGCGGCATGATTGTACAATGTTCGCGTTCGTTTGGACACGATATCTTACAAGCTGATCTCCCCTTTCCACATGGCGTCGTTGAGACCCAGCTTTTCAACAACATTCTGCCACCTTGGCCCCCCTCTGTCCTGCCTCCTGAGATATGCCATCAACTTCTGCCTCTTGTGGACCATCATTCTCAGTCGGCGTTTGTTGCTCTTGTCCTTGTTCGCCTTCAGGTTGTTCGCCAGGATATTAATTTTGGCCGTCAAAATCGCAATCTGGACTTCCGAGGACCCAGTGTCTGCTCCAATCCTTTTAGCAGTGGCGGTCACCTCCGCAGCTACATTCTCGTTTTTGACAGTCTGCTTGCTCTGGAGCCGCGGTGCCAACACTCCATCGGTGTTGTGCCGGCCGAACTCCTCGATGCACCTCTGGATGTTGATCTGGGTTCGATTCTTGCTGCTTGCGTTTTCCAGCGACGCGATAGCCATCAAAGCCCTCGAGGCATTCTCATGCGAAACTGCATGTTCTTGTATTCTTTGGGCGAGTCTTTCTTCCGCTCCAACGAGCTGATGGGATTCTGGCAGCGGCTCCGTGAGCCACCTGGAATGCTCCAGCGTCTTCTGCACGTCTTCTGGCTTGAGGAAATAGTTGAGGTAGGACTCTCGAATTGTTGCGATCGGGGCATTCGGCTGGAGCGAGTTGATAAATGGAGTGGGTCGTGACTTGACAGGGTCGCCCTCCTCCAGCTTGCGCTCGGCCTGTAGAATCCTTTGTCGTGCCAAGTTGGCTGATTTGCGCTGCCGTGCTTGAGCCAGGCGGTAAGGGTCAATATGTTTTCTGACTTTTCGCTTCTTCGCGCGCTGCTTTGCTTCAAGCGGAGCTGTGGTTGAAAAGAGGCATGTTGAGCATTTTGTCAGTGCTTGACTCCGTGTTGCGGAGGGCAAGCTCTGGAGGAGACTGGTCACTAGTTGATGTCAGCAGCGGATTGAAAGAAGGTGATAGTCAACCAACAGTTGAATACGCTGCTCGACACAGCGGTGGATATCCGCGGCGGCATGGTTGACGATGTCCTGTCGATGGAGGTTCAATGCAGTCTCGTGTCCCAAGTTTCAACAGCATGGACTTGAACTTCTGCCGCAGAAAAGTATCTCCGAAGATGTTTGGGCCAATGGGAGGTTAGCGCTGTTTCGCGCCAAGATTTCGAGATCCCACACACAGATTTCGACTCTTCCCTTTGCGATCAGATCAGCTTCGACTTCTCAACCTCACCACCTCTCGCTCTCTACAACTCGCCTCTCGGCTGATCCAAGAACTCAGTCGCAACCATGGCGAGCCCAGCAAACCTTCCCTCCATCTTCAATCCTACGTCCCAGGACATTGAGATGCTGCTTGCGGCTCAATGTCACTTGGGATCCAAGAACCTGCAGGTTCACATGGAGCCATACCTGTGGAAGACTCGCCCGGACGGTATCAATGTTATCAACATCTCAAAGACCTGGTAAATAACGGTCCCCAGAGCTGTACCTGTGCCGATTATAGTGCATGCGACGTTGTCCGCTTCTGAACCCCGAACTGACCATCCGTCCTTCGCAGGGAGAAGATCGTCTTCGCAGCCCGCATCATCGCCGCCATCGACAACCCGGCCGACATTTGCGTCATCTCCGCCCGTCCCTACGGCCAGCGTGCAGTGCTGAAGTTCGCCGCCCATACCGGAGCTGTCGCCATCGCTGGTCGCTTCACGCCCGGTAACTTCACCAACTACATCACCCGTTCGTTCAAGGAGCCGCGCCTGATCATCGTCACCGACCCGCGCACCGATGCCCAAGCCATCAAGGAAGCCTCCTACGTTAACATCCCCGTCATTGCCCTCTGCGACACCGACTCGCCTACGGAGTTTGTCGACGTCGCGATTCCCACGAACAACAAGGGCAGACACGCCATCGGTTTGATCTGGTGGTTGTTGGCTCGCGAGGTGCTGCGCCTGCGAGGCACGCTCCCGAACCGTGAGACCGAGTGGGATGTCGTCGTGGATCTGTACTTCTACCGCGACCCTGAGGCCGAGGAGCAAAAGGATGAGGAGAAAGTGCCCGGAGTGGAGGAGGCTGGTCCCGCTGCCGTCGACCGTGGATTCACCGACAATGCGGACTGGACGGGCGAGCCTGGTACTGCGCCGGGTATTGAGGGTGCGCCACAGGCTGATGCCACCTGGAACGATCCAGGCACTGGTGGCGGTGACTGGGCCCAAGAGACAACCGCAACCGGCACCGCAGCTGGTTGGTAAAGTGCTGGTTCTGCGATTCGATGGTACAGGGACGGGTTTTAAGATGCCCGACCTTGAGCTTCAGCGTCTCTACACGCAAAATTACCGGTCAATCACTTCCGCCAGCTTTGCAACACATCCTGGTCGACATCCACAGTCCGATCTTATTTCAGAAGATATGTCCGCGTTAAGTGCGACAGACTTTCAACCTTCCACAAGACACTCGACACCACAGCACTGCATACAAGGCCAAAAGTCTTCCGCGCTCATGAGGGAAAGATACTTTACCTGGAGATCACTCGTTCTTCTTCGTGTAAAGGGAAAGCCCTGTGTGGGGGATGAAGGGATGTACTTGACCGTTGCCCAGCCTTGCATGTAGCAGTTCGCGTGGCTTGTGCCTAAGCACGGGAGCTCCCTTTGGGCCCCGAAAACTCGCAGATAGGAAGACTCAACAAGAAAAGAATCCAAACAAACACGCATTACTGCCCAGCCCGATTTTATTTCCTGATCTCGTACCGTGTATGTTTTGCGATCCCAAGTATTTGTACACTTTCGCGGAGTACAGTTTCGCATTCCGTACCAATCTTACAAGGTTGCGTCTCAGTTGTGAGCTGTCAGTCTTTTTCCAGTACATAGTTTCCAGACATTTCGACGGCCACGCTGTCACTCTATCTCCAGGTGACATACTATGCTCTTCCGCAGGCTGTCCAGAATGTGCAATCAGCTTTTCACTCAGCAACCAGTATGGGACGATGCGGTCTTGGTAGTAACTTTCAGGATCATACGACGAGGCTGGCTGATGTGGTCTGGCTCAAGGAGGCTTGCTGACAGAGGGAGTATCAAATCGGCGGGACTAGTGTGATTGAGAGAATCTGCAGCATTGCATTGCGCGGGAGTGCAAACCTTGGGTCGGTCCCAGATGTATCTGGCGAGATCCCTACCACAACCGGGGCAATGACGAGATTGGACAATCCGTAGCGGAGGAGATGACTCAGTCTGATTGGCTTGGCGGTGATCCATCTTGTGTGATAGAAGGCTCGTCCTGCAAGCAAGTTCCTAGTCAAATTGATTGGGTGGTCGGGGAGGGAAATCTTCAGTTCTTGTCCACCGTGCTGTTTGTGTCTTGTGCTGACGAGAGAAGTGGAAGCATAGCTGGGATCGAAAGGAGACTTTTATTCTTCGAGGACTCCTGCACTCACCTTTGTCGGCATGGAATGAGGCAGCAGTTCGACTGCGTGGTGATCTCGCTTCCCTGACATCTGGCTAAGGACTCCCAGGTCCAGTCAAAGGGGTTCCGCAATCGCATAGAATCTGCCAGGGTTGTTGCTTCAACGGCGCAAAGAGCCGGCCATCACTGTGTAGTCCTTTCGAGGCAGTTCACCAGGACATAATGGTTGAAAGGGTCAGCTCGCACCTACCTCGTATTGAGCGAGACACGGACAAAGACGTTTCTTGGTCTGCCTTGTCTTCTGTCGGCGCGATATATGCTCTAATTACAGCAGTTCCGAACTGCGAGGGCAGTTGATGTAGCGAGGGTGATCACCGTTGTATGCTCAGCAGGAAGTCGCCTGATAAAGACCTGACAATGGGGTTGTCGGTGTAGACTGTTTCCACTTCGTCAGTTTCCAAGTCACCGGGAAGATGTGCATAGAGACCGAAAGTACATAGGCCACTTGCTATCGGTGCCAGAGGCTCAAGCTTCAGGTTAAGGCTGTTCGAGATTGATTTTATTTCCACAATGGCCATTGATGCGTCGTGTCGCGTTGAGACACCACTCAAAGAAGAGCTGGTAAGCGGAGGGTTGCTGACAAAGACAAATAGCGAACGCGAGGGTCGTTCAAGACGCGCTGTCTTAAACTGCTTGCACCCGTTCATCATATTCGAGGATGCTGTTTCTTTCTCCTTTCGACTTGCACTCAACTGGTGGTGACACAAAACCCGGGGCAGTGAGCGGAGGGTGTTCCGACTCCAGCAGTTCTTGCCGTTTTCTCAGGACGGCTTTTGAATTCGCGCTTCGAATTTTCCACCCAAATCTGGATCCCCATCTAGCGAATGTCGTTACGTTCTTGCTCAACTTAAGTGTCCAAGATGTCATTCGGTCAGTCGTTGCCGCCACGATGTCCCTTCTGTTCCCACAATGGGGCTGAGACGAAGCGATGCCATTATGGGTTAAGGCTTCGACCCCGGCGTTTAATGTACGAGGTACTTCGGCGTGGCGTCCAGCCGCCAATCGCCCAGACACTTGAGATTTCAGTCGCCTAGCATAAGAGTACGGGTTGTCCTGCGTGCCAGGAAAGGGAGTAGGTCTTTCAGCCGCAAGGCCAATTTTCGTTTCTCCTCTTCCCTTTGCATTCACTTGTGCTTTATATGTTGGAAGCATGGATAGCCTGGGGTGGAAAACTCGACGCGTCTACTGAGTTGAACACCAGCAGCGGTCCTCTGGCGGTCGAAGCCACGGACCGCACCTAAGCAAATCGTTCCCGCACCCGTCAGAACCCCTACCAAACTGTCCGCATGGCGTCTTCGGCCAACACAGCCGCTCCAGAAGGTCCTCTGTGGGCGCCATGGCATGTTCTGCGCCAATGGTCCCCTTTCAACATCGACGCTCTTGGTCTCGTTACCTTGCTGGGAGCTGAAGAGATCAATGCGGCTGTTGGACGACTAGTTGCCAGCGCTTACCTAGAGTATCTGCCCTTGCTCGGCGCATATGTCATCGCTGGAGATCGATTTACCGAGAAAGCGGCGGGATGGCACCTCTACAACATCTCTCAGGGCATCCACACTACCGACCTTGCTGCCTGGCTAACACGATGGATGCTCTCGCAGAACTTCGAAACCACCCGTAACTATGTGGTTTGGACGATTACGCCGCCGAGATCGCGGAAGAGCGACATAATCGTTTCGGTTCTTATCGGCTTTGTTTTGAATGGCCTCCTTGTCGCAGGGACCATTCTGTCGGCGGACTGGTATGGGTTCGCCAACGCCCTCGCAATGATCGTCTCCATCATCGTTCGCGTCTATGTTATTGGCCAACAGCGCCTTGCCATGGATGCCATGATCGATAAGGCTGTCGCAAGATTCGGCCCCCCAACAGGTGATTCCTACGAGGCCCGCCGTTACGAATACAAATCCTGGAAGCACCAACGAATGGACCAAATGAAAGATGGTCTGAGACTTAGAAAACCAGACCCACCGACGCCAATTGACGGGAATCAGCCCGGTCATGGTGACCCGTCTGGTCCTAAGAACGGCCACAAGCAAGCAGTCCACCAGGTCCAGGCTGTGAAAGCGCACAAAAACCCGGACCCGAAGGGCAAATACCCAAGAGTCTGGAAGGGCAAGCCGATCAAAGTCCTCATCATACAATCTGACTCGAAAGCCGTTACCTTTGAGATGCCGACCGAGCTGGTCATACCGCCGTCACTGTTCATCGAAGGACCGATCGTCCGGAACCCAAGGACCTACTCCGTCATGAGATCGCTTGGGTGGCTTGCCTTTGCTGTGCACATTATCGCTATCGGCATGGCGGACTTGGCCACCCAAATATACACTGTTTTACTTATTGTTCTGCCGACGTTGTTGCTGATCAAGAAGACTGGATGTGACGACTCGGATTGGATGAAAACCTTCACCAGCTGGAAGAGAGCCATACTGCATAGCCATGGTAAAGCCAGCAGGTCCGCCGGAAGCCAAAGCGCTGCAGAAAAGGCGGACGCGAAGAAGTTCCGCAAGATTCGCGAATGCTGGATCGGCTCCCGCCTCAAAGCAGAGGTGTACGAGTGGCCCGAGGCGTATGAATTCCACGAGGAGGGAGTCGGGAACATCAAGAAATGGGTCAGTGGTGGACTGCCAGCAGGAGAGGACCGGTCCAAGAAGCGACAAGATCTCTACGCCTGGCTGGCGCTTACGCGGGACGAGGAAGAGAGCATGGACAAGTGGGACCTCTTCCCCCATATCCGCAGTGGCAACAATTCATGGTGGGAGACGTACAAGAAGAAGAAACACGCACTGAGAGAGGGTCGTGACGCCATGGGCCCGCAGTACGTCGCATCCCAGGGGACAGACCCTCGAAGTTCCCAGGACGACTACATGAAGCCCTTCAACAAACAGAAGAGGCTCGCAACGGAGGAGTTTCTAGGCACGGCACACGAACAGGCGAGCGCGCCTCAGCCTCAACTTCCAGCCCAAGCTCCCCCTCCGCATCCACTACCTCCCCAGCCACAACACACTGGCCCAGTCACAGCAACCAGTTCCGCGTTTCCCGCCAGCAGCGACGCGGCTGCTGCACAACTTGTCACTGACAACAGTGCCACAGTATCTTCACCCAAGGCATCACCTCCTCGGGTCAACACGCAGCCCAGCACGACAGGCTCTGCGCTGATTGACCCTTCGGTAACCATGACGCAGTCGCCCACCACCATGGAGGCCACGGACGAACAACCCTGAGGGCCGATGACGGTGCCTGACGTGCAATGACATGCGGCTTGGACGGAATTTCAGTATCTCTCTGAATGAGCGAGCCAGGGTTTTGACACATTTTCCACATAGAATATGACAACGACATGACAATGATAGGTGGTTCATATAGAAGTTGGTCTGGGGAACATTGCCAGGACAGAACGGTTTGGAACGCTTTTTGTGAGGCGTAGATCTACCGTGCATGTTCTGTGCATCCGATCCCTCAGGAAGACGGACGGACTCTAGGTTCATAAGAATCGATTTGATCGTTACGTGATATTCTGGATCGGCTTAGGGAAGTGTGCTTGCTGGAAATTTCTGTGAACAGGCACCCAACAGGTACCGCAGATACTCCGCGTTTCAGCCTCGACTCGGGTCTTCAGCCGCTAATGCAAGGCTGTACTAGCCTTAGCGCTAGTGCTTGAACGGACGTCGCCAAGACATGAAAATAATCTCCAAGCTCCGATGCCGCTTTGGCTCAGTGTTTGCTTCTGAGGCAGTCCGCTCAATTCTGCGTTCTCTCCATGCACAAGTATGTCACCTGTCAATGGGACGGCGAAGGAGGTGCGAGTGAGCCTTCTCGGTAAGGAGAGCATAATAATCAACTTTGGACTATGGCGCAATTATGTGGCCCCCGATTTACTCACGAGCCTTGAGTCATCTACCTATGTCTTGATCACCGATACCACTCTAGGATCATTGTACGTCAGGTCTTTCCAAGAAGCATTCGAGGCGGCATCACAGCGAAAGTCGGGCCCGTCACGGTTACTGGTGCATCAAATCCCGCCTGGCGAGAGTTCGAAATCCCGACAAACAAAAGACGACATCGAGGATTGGCTACTCAGTCAGAGCCCGCCATGCGGTCGAGATACAGTTATCATTGCTCTGGGAGGCGGTGTTGTCGGTGATTTGAGTGGTTTTGTTGCGGCGACTTACATGCGCGGTGTTCGATATGTCCAGGTTCCAACAACGCTGCTCGCCATGGTTGATTCGTCAATTGGTGGAAAGACGGCTATTGACACACCTCTAGGCAAGAACCTCGTGGGGGCTATCTGGCAACCACAGAGGATCTACATCGATCTCGAGTTTCTTGGAACTCTGCCTCGACGAGAGCTGATCAATGGCATGGCCGAAGTCATCAAGACCGCTGCGATCTCCGACGAGGACGAGTTCATTGCACTTGAGTGCAATGCGGAGCGTATCATGGCTGCCGTGAATGCCGATATCAGCAAAGGTGCCTCTCGCTTCGAAGACATCGAGGCCATCCTCATTCGCATTATTTCTGCATCTGCGAGTTTCAAGGCCCACGTCGTGACCATCGACGAGAGAGAAACTGGCCTTCGAAATCTGCTGAACTTTGGACATTCGATCGGGCATGCAATGGAAGCTTTCCTGACGCCTCAAGTGCTACACGGTGAATGTGTTGCGATTGGCATGATCAAAGAAGCTGAACTCTCGCGCTACCTGGGAATCCTCAGTGGAGTTGCAGTCGGCCGTCTGCAGAAATGTCTCACAGTATATGGTTTGCCAACACGGCTTGACGATGAAAAGGTGCGGAGGCTCTCTGGTGGTAAGGTCTGCACGGTCGATGGCATGCTGAAGAAGATGGGCGTGGACAAGAAGAACGATGGCGCCAAGAAGAAAGTGGTGCTCCTTTCAGCGATTGGCCGTACTTACGAGCAGAAGGCCAGTGTTGTCTCGGACGCTGATTTGCGGGTTGTGCTTTCCCCCAGCGTCGAGGTGGTCCCTGGCGTGCCACGAGATCTCAACGTCGTCTGCATCCCTCCAGGCTCAAAAAGCATTTCAAATAGAGCTCTCGTCCTCGCCGCTCTTGGCCAAGGCACTTGCCGCATCAAGAACCTGCTCACCTCGGCGGATACCGAAGTCATGCTGGAAGCACTGACTCGACTTGGAGCCGCAACCTTCTCCTGGGAAGAGGACGGCGAGGTCTTGGTCGTGAACGGCAACGGTGGGCGACTCGAGGCTACAGAGCACCCACTTTACCTAGGCAATGCTGGGACGGCCGCGAGATTCTTGACTTCGGTTGCGACACTAACGCGACGGAGTCATGTGACATCTACAGTCTTGACCGGCAATACTCGAATGAAGCAACGGCCCATTGGCGACCTTGTCGACGCATTGAGGGGAAGTGGTGCTGGGATCGAGTACATGGAAAGCAATGGGAGCCTGCCACTCAACATTGCAGCTTCAGCCGGTTTCAATGGCGGCGAAATCAAACTCGCAGCCAAGGTATCATCGCAATATGTCTCGTCATTGCTCATGTGCGCGCCATATGCGAAGAAACCTGTCACTCTCAAACTGGTAGGTGGCAAGCCTGTATCACAGCCCTACATTGACATGACGATCGCAATGATGGCTTCTTTTGGCGTGCAAGTGGAGAAGTCGAAGATGGAGGAACATACCTACGACATCCCCCAAGGCACATACAGAAATCCGGAAGAATATATCGTGGAAAGTGATGCCAGCTCCGCAACGTATCCTCTCGCCATTGCAGCGATGACAGGCACGACGTGCACAATTCCAAACATCGGCTCAGCATCCCTTCAGGGCGATTCCGCCTTTGCCATAGATGTCTTGCGACCAATGGGATGCGAAGTCAAGCAGACAGCTTCCTCAACCACAGTGACGGGGCCACGTAGTGGCAAGTTGCTACCTCTACCCAACATCGACATGGAACCTATGACAGACGCCTTCCTGACAGCCTCGGTCCTCGCAGCAGTAGCACAAGGAAGCACATCAAACACTACACGCATCTACGGCATCGCGAACCAGAGAGTAAAAGAGTGCAACCGCATCCAAGCGATGGAAGACGAACTGGCCAAGTTCGGCGTCATATGCCGGCAATTCGACGACGGTATTGAAATCGACGGGATTGATCGATCACAGCTACGGCAGCCGCAAGGAGGCGTGCACTGCTATGACGACCACCGCGTTGCCATGAGTTTCAGCGTCCTCGCTCTCGCAGCCCCCAAGCCTACCCTCATTCTCGAAAAAGAATGCACGGGGAAGACGTGGCCCGGCTGGTGGGACACCATGGCGCACCAATTTGCCGTGAAGCTGCAAGGTGTCGAACTTGAAGCGGCTATTGCCCCAAGCGCGAAGAAACTCGATAGAAGCGCCGCATCAATGTTCATCATCGGCATGCGCGGCGCAGGCAAGACAACCTCCGGTCGATGGGCTGCTCGCTCGCTGGGCAAGAAACTAGTCGATCTGGATACAGAGCTTGAAATCCGCGAGCAAAAGACCATCCCCGAGATCATCCGTGAACACGGCTGGGATCATTTTCGGCAAGTAGAGCTCAACCTGCTCAAATCTGTCATGAAAGATATGTCGAACGGCTATATCTTCGCGTGCGGCGGCGGCATCGTCGAGACGGCCGAAGCCCGCCAGCTTCTGATCGATTGGCATCAAAAGAAAGGGCACGTCCTGCTCGTGGAGCGAAATATCACGGAAGTGATGGATTTCCTACAGATCGACAAGACCCGGCCGGCCTACGTGGAGGACATGATGGGCGTGTGGCTGCGGCGCAAGCCATGGTTCGAACAGTGCAGCAACATCCTGTACTACAGCCAAAGCATCCCGAACGAGCAGATGTCCGAGGCGGCCGAAGACTTCGACCGGTTCCTGCAGTTCGTGACGGGCAAGACCGATGTTCTGTCCCACGTGAAGCAGAAGCCGGAAAGCTTCTTCGTCGCGCTGACGTTCCCGGACCTGCGACCCCATCTTAGCATTCTGCCGGAAGTCTGTCTCGGCAGCGATGCGGTGGAACTGCGCGTCGACCTGCTCAAGGATCCAAACTCGCCCAATGACATCCCCACGGCGGATTACGTGACGAGTCAACTCTCCCTGCTCCGCGCGACGGTACCGCTGCCCGTGGTGTTTACGATCCGCACGCTCGCGCAGGGCGGGAAGTTCCCCAACGACGCACACGCCGAGTACCTGAACCTCTGCACGCTGGCCATGCGGATGGGCGCGGAGTTCGTCGACATGGAGGTCGCTTCGCTGCCGGAGGACATTTTGACCAAACTCCTGACCTTCAAGAGCAATTCACAGTCGAGACTGATTGCCTCGCATCACGACCCTCGGGGAACATTGTCGTGGTCCCGGCCCGGCAGCTGGATCCCGATCTACAACAAATGCGTAGAGCACGGGGCCGACATCGTCAAGCTGATCGGCGTTGCCAGGTCGTTAGACGACAACTTCGCCCTCCGCCGTTTCAAGCAGTGGTCCCACAGCCAGCATGCCGACCTTCCGCTCATCGCCATCAACATGGGCACGACGGGCCAGATCTCGCGCATCCTCAACGGCTTCATGACGCCCGTATCTCACCCAAGTCTCCCCTTCAAGGCCGCCCCGGGGCAACTCTCGGCGCAGGAGATCCGGCGTGGCCTGACGCTCGTGGGCTCCATCCCACGCAAGGAATTCTACCTCTTCGGCTCACCCATCTCGGCGAGCAGGTCGCCGGCCTTGCACAACACGCTGTTCCACCACACGGGACTCCCGCACCAGTACCAACTGCTGGAAACGACAGACCTGGAAGTCATCAAGGCGACGATCCGGCGGGCGGATTTCGGGGGCGCGAGCGTCACCATCCCGCTCAAGCTGGACATCATGCCGCTCTTGGACCACGTGGACGCGTCGGCCCGCCTCATCGGCGCGGTCAACACCATCGTGCCGACAGCCAACAGCACGCTGACGGGCTACAACACCGACTATCTCGGCATGATGGACTGCCTGCGTGCGGCCGGCGCGTCTGCAGCCCTTGGCGACACCGACGCTTCTGGACTGGTCATCGGTGGCGGCGGCACCGCCAGAGCGGCCATCCACACGCTCCACTGCATGGGATACCACCCCGTATACCTCCTGGGCCGGAACCACGGCAAGATGGTCGAGTTGGCGCGGTCGTTTCCCGCCACCTACGATCTTGTAGTCCTGGATGCGGCAACTGGGGGAGACGGCGTCGTCGAGAAAATGACCCCCACAAACGGCACCGTCGATGAAACGGCCACGCGCGGTTTACCTGTCGTCGCCATCGCCACCATCCCCGCCAACATCCCACTTGACCCCATTTTGGGGGAAGCGTTAAAGACCGTGTTCACGCACTCGAAGCTGCGCGCGACCAGCACCGCCCCCAAGGGACAAGGCACGTCGGCTCCGGCACGCACGCTCCTCGAGTTGGCGTACAAGCCGGCCAGGACGGCCGTGATAGAGATGGCCGAGCAGTTGGGCGGGTGGCGGACGGTACAGGGCCTGGAAACCCTCGTCACGCAGGGGATGTGGCAGTTTGAGTTGTGGACTGGGGTAAAGGTGCGCGGGCTGGGCGGGAGGATTAGTCGGGTGAGTTCGAATTGCTCTCTTTGTTTTTTTTCCCTTTCGTCCTTTTCCTTGTCATGTTGATCTTGACGATGGATGTCTCCTTTCGTCCCGTTCCATTTCCCCCGGTCATGTTGTGATCTTTGACGGACGTGGTTGCTGACCGTTGTGCTTGCTTGGGGTCGTGTAGGAGGTTGTTCTTGGTCCCAGCGGTGCCTAAGACATGCAGAGCGAGGTAGGGCTCGATGTTGAAGAGATGAGACGTAGAATCGGTCGGTGAGGGTCAGTCTCTCGTCGCTGTGGTACGGTCTGTCGGTTGGGGCCGGCAAAGGAAGCAGGGTGGAGAGGAGAGACTGGACAATAAATGATAGACCAAACGTAAGTAGATAAAAACAGGGTACTGTAGATGGAAGAGTCGTGGAAGGTGGAAGACGAAGAAGAGCTAGCTAATAGCTTAGGGCATAAAAAGGATTCCATGGCTGAGACTGTTCGAGACAATCAGTTGTCAGTGGCTCGATCACTTGAGCGACCGATTGACTGTTGAGCTCGCCATTATAAACACAGTTACTTTTGGGACGCTATCCAACCAACCTATTTTTACATGATTCTTTCATGCTCCTGCGGACTCATCACCCGTGGTTTCTCCTCTGCTCCTCAATCTGCCTCTGCAGAGCGGCTGCGACGGCTGGGTTATTAGCCCAAGCTCCGGACAGGAAAGTATTCTGTCCGTCGCCTGCGGTCGAGTTTGCAGCAAAGGAGGGTTGAGGGGGATGTTGATGCTGATGCTGTTGCTGTTGTTGCTGCTGCTGGAAGTTGAAATTGTGTTGATAGGGTGGTGGAGGAGGGAAGCCAGGCATGCCTGGAGGTGGAGGTGGGAAGGACGGGAATGTGGAAGCCGCTGGAAACCCGCGGCCGAAGTTGAATGATACGTTGGGTAGTGGTGTGATGGGCGAGGGTGTCATCGGCGGGTATGTGATGTTTTGCGGTGTTATGGACGGGGTGGTGGGAACATTGATATTTGGGACGGGTGGCGCTGTGAAGGGTTTCTGATGAGGGTAGCCGTGTTGTGGTGGAAAGCCGTTCTGTTGATGGGCTGAAGCATTATGCTGGTTGAAGTGGTTGTCGCGAGGCTGACTGAAGCCACCGCGACCACGGCCGGGTCGAAACCCACCTCGTCCTCCTCTGCCGTATCCCCTGCCACGCCCGCCAAAATCGCCGCTTCCCCTAAACTGTGATGGCGGTGGCGGTGGTGGTAAGGAATGTGGTACCCCACGTTCTGGTTGTTGTTCTCCCCTGGCAATCATGTCCGTCAAGTCGGCGGGTCGCTGGAGAGGCGTATAGCCATCTTCGGTGGTGCTAGGCATCGAGACATCATCGTAGTTCATCTCCAGGGAGCCACTCCCGTAGGCTGAACCATCAGCACTGCTAGAGCCATTGCCGGCATAGTGTCCTCCTCGACCTCCACCTCCGCCGCGATGTGCTCCTCTGGCGAATTTGGGGCCACCGCGACCTCCTCTGCCTGTATTCTCCAGGGACCGACCCTGCCTTTTGGCTTTCATCTGGCGTTTGTGCTCGGCCTCGGCCTCGTCATCCGAGAACTCCATCTCGTCGTCACCCACTTCTTCGTCATGGAAATTGGATGCGTCGCTTCCCTTGATAGTCTTCAAAGGGAGAGTAAAAACGAAGGTCGAGTGATCAGGAACATAATACACCGTGGTCCCAGACTCCCACAGGTCAGCTTCTTTGATAGCATCGTCGTTGTTGAATCGAATGGTGTACCTGGGTTCCTCGACTCGCCCTATCAAGTCGGCAACCACACCCACGACCGACCGGTCTTTGAGACATATCAAGGAGCCAGCCTCTAGCACGCGATACTCCCCTGACGTCTTAGCCTTGATGACCACTGTACTCTCGACCACAAACTCCACGTTGCCTAGCTCTTCAATCTTCATGTCCTCGGTTACGACGACGTCAGGCTTGGGGATGACTTCTTCCATGCGTTCATTAGCCGTCCGTAATGGACCACCTTCTTTCTTCCTTGGTCCTTCTTCATCGTCTGATCCGCCGTCAGCCTGCATGAGGATCCGCGCGGCCTCTTCAGGATCTAGCATGGCATAATCACCGTCAGCGCCATTGTCGCTATCTTCTTCTGAGGAGCTATCGTCGGAGGAGGTGTCGGAATCCGAGGAAGATTCGTATGGTGAGGAGTCGATTTCCCACTCGGCGCCCTCGGCTTCTTCAGGTACGGCCGCGGGTTCTGGGCGAATCGCGTCCATGGTATTGTGATCTGGAAGAGGAGCATCTATCGCAGCCCCCATGCCCGATACAGAGGGGCTGATACCTGGGATGACCTGTCCAGTCGTAGCGGATGGAATCCCGTCCGTCAGGTCCATGGGCTCCGCGGTGTTATGGACGACATTTGTTGCCATCTCTTCAGTTGCATTAGTCAGGCCATCACCATCATTGCTGACTGAGCCTCCATCTTTGTCCTCCGTTGAAGCGCCAACATGGCTCACAGGCTCCGGGTCTTGGATGTGGGCAGGAGGGTTCGAACTGAATTCGGCCTCGACCTGCTGCATCAACACGTCTAGGAGTGAATTCGAAGGTGCCTCCTCCAATGCTACAACTTGAGGCTGGGTTTCCCTCGACTGCACCGTGCCCACTGGCTCCGACTCTTGCTCGTGCGCCTGCCCTGGAGGCTTGGGCTGGGGTCCAAGTGCTCCATTGACTGCGGTCAAGGACTCAGGACGGTGGACGTCGGTTTCGGTTGCTTCTGGCGAGGCCGTTCTCTGGCGCTTGGCAGGCGAGGTGGGAAAATCTCCTGCGTCCATACCTATGAAACAAACGGTGAAGAGATCAGAGCACACCGTAAAGACAGCAGAATACCCAGCCTTCAAAGAAACCGCGACAAAATAATTTCCTCGCCTCCAAAAAAGTTCAGAATTGAAATGCGGAGAAGTTGGTCGCACCGTAAGCGGAGCTTGCCACGTGCTGTGTGAGTGGCCCCTTCCGTGCAGGGAGTGCTTAAGCCGGCCTCCCCGCCTATTGGATGGTGCCCAAGGCCAATGCCTAGTGCCTAGAACCTCCTAATAAGGCCGTTTTCCCCCTAAAACAACTAACCGAACGCAGCCGCCGCCGCCTTTTCTCCTGTCCACAATGCAGCTGTTGCCTTTCCACGCTCTACAAGCCCAATCGCGCGAGTATTAATTACCACAAAGCCTCAAGCCTCAGCGCTTGTACTTGCGGTCTGGACCAGGCTTGGTGCTCTCGAAAGCCGTGGATGTTCCAGGTTTCAAACAACACGAGGATGTCTCGCTTCCTCCTTTTTCATTCCTCCTCATCAGACTGGGGATAACATGCCGACCTTCAATACAGCAACGTCTTCAGTAGGTACAAGTTAACGCTTACAGCCTATTCTCATTCGTCCTCTCTTCCGCGTGCAGCAGCGACCGACCCGGGTAAGCCTTACGGTCTCACGAGGTTCTTACCTGTGACCACAGCAATGGCAGACTCAATAGTACAGGCACTGCGATCACGAAGATTGGCTCTGCAGCTGATAGCTACTGGCACTCTCAGCCCCGATGAGGAGATCGAGGCTCGTGAGGCATCGGCTCAGGTAGCAGAAATGCTGTTCAATGCCACTCGCGACCCGTCTCGCCTGACGGAAGCCACTCAACATTATCAAGCCATCATTCGCCTGCTCAAGACTCCATCACCACGACGAGCCAAGTTCCTCGACAAGCTGGCCTACTTGGAGATGACCGTCTTCGACGTGACCAAATCCATGAAAGTTCTCGATGATTCCATTGCCCATTCGAAGCAGGCGAGAGATGAAGCTCCGCCAACAGATACTTCCTTGCTCCGCAAAATCTACGAAAACCTGGGCTACAGCGTGTCACACAGAGCGCAGCTAAAGGACGACTCCGCGGATCTCGATGAAGCCATCGCCTGTGGCAGGGAAGTCCTCAGACTATCGTCACCGGCCGACGTGGAACATCAGCTAAGCACGAATAACCTTGCTGCTCGGCTACAGGCTCGATACAAAATGCATCATCGCGCGGTCGATGCAGATGAAGCTCTGTCGCTGATCGAAGAACAACTTCACCGTTTCCAGCCTGGTGCGCCACAGCATGGCGCGGCACTGCTGGTAAGAGCTCAGATCCTACACGACAGATATGAACAGACCAAGAACATAGAACATCTTGAACACGCTATCGCCGGCTTCAAGGTCGGTTTGCGGACAGTCGGGATGACACATGAACGAGCCCCAGAGATCCTTCGCCTACTATCGATATTACACAACCAGAGGTACACCGAGACGAATGCCGTTGCCGATCTGGCAGTTGCCGTCGAGTACTCGAAGACCAAGCTTCAGCTGATACCACGGACGTATCAGACTCGACCTGACCACGTCGCAGACTACCTAACTCATCTTGTTGAGTACATCCTGGTGGTAGACTCGCTGGTAACAGTAGAAAAGGCGGTTGAAGAAGCTCGCGCACTACGAGATGAAGTCCCAAAAGCACACACAAAGCGCCACTCCACCAATCTGTCCCTAACCGGCATATTGTCAAAGCGATGCCAATTATCGCAGGGTGTCAGGCACTTGGCCGAGGTCGTCTCCCACGCACTGGACAGTATTGACGCATGGAACGAGAAGCTCAACATCACCCAGTCCAAGGTTCCCACGGAAGATCTTCGTCGTTTTTCTACATTCCTGAGGAAGGTCGAGGTCGCTCCCGAGGAGGCCCCTGTAAGACATCAGGCTCTTGAGCAACTCTTCAAGTGGCATTTGGTTGTCCATCAATCTCGGACGCCGCTCGACACTATCGTCAATATGGCGCATCGTCATGGCGACGAACTCAATGTCTTCTCACGGAATTTTGACTCCAACGAACGGCTTTCAGAAGAGCAGATCAGATCCGGTATTGAAGTGCTGCAGAAGGAAACGAGCGCAAACAATGCCGAAGATGGGGACAGACGAGCAAGACTGCGCGCCTTCAACCGGGACGACCATACCGATCCATTCTTTGGTCATAGGCAGCTGGCAGTTGATCCTTTGCGCAAACGCCTAATCGTTTCCATGGAGGGCCTTGTCAAGAGCGTCTTAGGCTACAGCGATGACGAGGAAGAGCCAAAGTCATGGGCAGAATACGAAGCTCGAGAAGCTCGACTCGAGCGTGAGAGCTTTGTAAAAGACAAAAAGCAAGGAAAATTCCCTAATCCTAAACTTTGCCGGGTATGCAGACACGTCAAGCTGCTCAAGCCTTCGGATCATGGCGCGAAGTTTACCTGGAATACTGAGCAATACTTTCCCTTTGGGACGTATGCTCAGCTGCTCACGAGGAAGCACTGCTCCATCTGTCGCTTGGTGTTATCACTCTGTTCAGCGGACAGGGGGAGCTCCCTACATCCTCAACTGGCTCAGATTGATCGAGAGATTCAAGGCACACAGTTTCATGCGCAGAAACTCCCTTCTGGGGAGATCCTGCTGGGCGTAGAATATGGCATGATAACTGTTGGTGCCTTGAGAATCGTCAACCAGAGAAATCTGCCAGAAGCTGTAAGACAAACGACACAAGCATCCACTCTGAGATCTGTCCTCGAAAATGCGCATGGAGCTGGGCTTCCGGTTGACCAAGGAGATCAAAGAATAGACATCCAAAAAATACGTGGCTGGCTCTACGACTGCCATATTAACCACGGCGAACTCTGCAATGATCTGGACGACAGTCAGAGATACGCCGATGACATACCATTGATTCTTGTCGACGTTCAGGAAAACTGCCTGGTCTCAGCGACATCGGCAGAGAGGTATTTCACTCTCAGCTACGTCTGGGGTAAAGTTGACATTGCCACTACCACAAGGGCCTTGCTCAAAGATCGCCTGCAAAAGTCGAGCTTGGATCCGGCAAAGTTTCCCAACACCATAAGAGACGCGATGACAGTGGTTCAAGCCATGGGCGAGCGATATTTATGGACCGATGCGCTTTGCATAATCCAGGATGATGCCGTCATACGCGAACGAGACATAACGCGGATGGATATCGTGTACAAGAAAGCATTTGCCAACTTGGTGGCCCTCTCCGGGACTGATGCCGGTGGCGGACTGCCAGGTGCTACAACCAATTCAAGACCTCCCCAGAAGATTGAAGTGCTCCAAATCACCAAGGGCTCTAAGGATCTTGGCCTGCGAGACGAGCCCGGTGCCGAGACAGAAGCGGTCTACATCGTCGCCACCCCCCATCCACTCTCATCTGCTCAGACAAGCTCAATGTGGAATACGCGTGGCTGGATCTTACAGGAACAGACGCTTGCGCGTCGAAACATCTACTTCTCGTCCAACTATGTGTATTTCCAGTGCAACGAGAAGACCCTTTGCGAAGTCACCTTGGAAGGGAAGTATATCAACAACCCCAAGGACGACGAGGACGACGAGGATCAGACGACCGGCTTCACTATCAAGAACCCAGTCTCGGAACTCAGGAAGCTACACCGCACCCCGCCACAGGATCATCTGAAGGGCGTCTTCAAGGCCTACAGCGAACTGGTGGAGATCTACTCGACACGGAAGTTGACGCTGCCAACGGACATTCTTGATGCATTCTCCGGAATGCTCTCAGCATTCAAAGAGGAGTTCAAAAGCGAGACTTTGCATGGCCTCCCCATTGCCGCGCTTGACCTAGCCCTTTTGCGGACTCCATCCGAGACGCTGAAGAAAAGACCTGGGAGAAAGCCAACCGACACATCTCCATCCGCTGCGGCTGGATCCAATTCGTCAGCGCCTGCAACAACGGGGCAAACCTTCCCAACATGGTCCTGGGCCGGCTGGATCGGTGGTGTTGACTACCGCCTCTTGCCACTAGACAAAGAACCCCCTCCTGAGTCCCTCATTGCAGAGATTTACATCCTTCGTGCGGGCAAAATACTCTGCCTACGCGGGTACCAGCGCCCCTGTCTCGACGAGACCGCCAAAGCCTCACCCGAACTCTTGAGGGCATACTTCGGCCGCATGAGCATGGAAGTGCGACAAGCAATGCCAGATACCATACTGCACATGTTTGTCCCTCACGTTATGAACGCCGGATTCTCCATCTGCACAGGCAGAGCCCCGGATTATCTGAGTAACGCTCGGCACGTGTATCTGCAGACAAAGCAGGCTGTCGTGCGCATTCACGACGAGCATGGCAAACACTGCGACATCCTCTTCGAACATATCGACTACCACGCTTTGCTTGCGCAGATCTCCTCCTCCTTTCCCACGGAAACGAAGACTCTCCGAGATCACATTAAGATACTGCGCACGCTGGACGATAAAGCCATCGTCGCGGTCTCGCAGTCCAAAGATGTATATGGAGACCGCGCCACCCTGAGCAGAGTCGAGGGCGATATCAAGCGATTCGATCCCTATGAGTTCCCCGCGAAGGGGCCGGATAGTGCGCTGGTGAACGTCCTGGTCTTACAGTCTGGCGACGGTGCATTCGAAAGGGTCGCTGTGGGCCAGATTCATATCAAGGCGTGGCGAGAGGCTGGGCCGAGGAGGGCGTGGGTTAAGATAGGGTAGGCCGAAGAGGCCTCCAGCGACGACACCGGCTGCTGCCCGAGACTTTCCATCATCTTTCTCACATTCCTGAAGGGTGCTCGCAGTTGGCCATCTTCGCCGACGAAGCTGAAGATACAGTACGGATGCTTGTTCCGCCTGTCGCCGGTGGTTTTTGTCTTGCAGTGGTTGTGCGGTGGCTGGTGCAGCTTGAATTTCTGGCACTTCCCGGCAGAATCTGCGGCTAGGCCGGCATACCCACGACCTTTGCCGTCTCCGGGGAGTGACTTGGCGGCATTTGAGAGTGGAAATCTGAGCTCAGTCTCGTCCGCGCCTAGCGAGGTCCCAGTCTCGAGCTGCTTGATCCAGAAGGTTTGATGCCAGGGTAGACGACCTGGTGGCAGAATATCCGCCTATTCGCTGATCTGGATTGTGAGGCCAACGATCAACGATGGGATTGATTGATCCTGCAGAATCGCAACCGTAGAACAAGCACTGCATTTGATGGGCGTTGTGACTAGCTCCGAGCAGTTCGCGTTAGCAGCGCAACGGTCCTCTACGACAAGAAGGCTGTGCTGCTTAACCGACATGCGTTAGTCCTTCTTGAATACGGGCGGGCGAGTTCGCCTAGCAGCTGAATATGCAGCAGTTCATATCGAGACTGACACTTTCGAAAGAGGGGGAACTCGGTGCAAAAAGTCTGGAATTCCTATTTGATCGGTCAACCACCAGCTCGCTAAGCCTCTGGCTTTGTACACGGCATGTGACAAAATTGTGCGATGGACACGAACGCAGCTGTAGAGGAATGCATGGTCGACGAGATGGAGGCGATGAGGTACATTGCGGCAGCCAACTTGATGCCTCCTAGACGGAGAGCAGCGTAGAACGGCCAGCATGATTTGGCAGGGCGCTGCTCCGTCGTCGGGACGGTCGCAGGCAACAAATAATTCTGGGTAGCAGACTGCAAGATGCCCGTATGGTATTCTGAGGAGATGCCTCTACGTCTTTGCTCCTGATGCATGGCTTTGCGGGGAATCTGGCCCCACGCAACAAGACATACAGCAGACACGTAAGAACGAACGTGTGGGGGGGACGAGTTCGTGGAGGAGGGGAATCCGTGCCTTCTGCTTTACTTAGTACCTTCTGGTATCCCGGTCTTAGCTCTGACTTGGCTCGACCATCGACAAATACTTCATCGAAGCCAACACGATCAGAGCCTATACGACAGCTTCTTTGAGGGAATAGAGTCCGCTCGAATCGACACAAATCCATCTCCGACCAGCCAGCAACGATTGAATCGAGGACCCTCGCAAGCGCTGGGCTGAGTGAACGTCCCACTTTCTCACCAACGTAGGTCTAGTCAGCGGATTAACTCCATCACCATCGAACTCAATCTGTCCGTCTACGTCCCATAACACCACCATCTCTATCCATACCTTCTGTCCTTGCAACACCCACATCATGTCAGGATACGACACAATCCCCCAGGGCGCCAATATACAAGTGGACAAGTTCACCCTGTCCATCCCGGACCAGGAACTCCAGGACTTCAAAGACTTGCTCCGCCTTTCCAAATTAGCCCCAAAGACATACGAGAACCTGCACGCCAACGCCAAGGACGGCGAGTTCGGCGTCAGCCACGAATGGATGAGCAAGGCCAAGGACTTCTGGCTGAACGAGTACGACTGGTGAGTAGTACCGTTAAATGCACGGCCACTTGCGATACATTCTACGACTGACACGACCCCAGGCGTGCGATCGAAAAGCAGAACAACTCCTTCCCCAACTTCGTCGCCCACGTGAAAGATGACAACGGCGAGGTCTTCAAGATCCACTTCGTCGCTCTCTTCTCCAAGAAGCAGGACGCCGTGCCGCTCCTGTACATGCACGGCTGGCCCGGTAGCCACCTTGAACATCTCGACATCTTCGACCTGTACCGCAACAAGTACTCGCCCGAAGAGCTCCCTTACCACACCATTGCCGTGTCGCTGCCCGGCTGGACGCTCAGTTCCGGCCCACCCTTGGATCGGGACTTCGATACCGAGGACATTGCTCGCATCATGAACAAACTCATGATCGGGCTAGGCTTTGGCAGCGGCTACATTTGCCAGGGCGGCGATATCGGGTCCTTCACGGCCAAAGTGATTGCCGGGACTTATGACGAGTGCAAAGGTGAGCTTGGGCCTACAGTGACCAATACCCAAGAAGGCGAATACTGACACGAGAGGCTATCCTTGTAGGTGTCCACTGTGAGTCTCTCTCCCAAGCAGCGCTCGCGCGTAGCCCAGAAGAGCCAAGCCTAGATCCCGGCTAACCATGTGGCTTAGACAACTTTGCCATCTCTGGCGAGCCGCCGAAAGATGTGGACGAGAGCAAAATCACGGAGGTGGAGAAGAAAGGCATGGAGCGGATGCAGGCATTCTACATGACCGGCAACGGCTATGCGCGCGAACACGGCACCAGACCCGCGACGATCGGCTTCGTCCTGGCGGCGAGTCCGCTCGCCCAGCTTGCGTGGTAAGAATCAACGGCCCTATCCTTCGTGGTGTGACATGCTCTATGGAATGAGCACGAGTATTGACCATGGCATCACCACGTGCGTAGGATCGGCGAGAAATTCCAAGAATGGACCGACGAAACCCCTCCGCTCACCAAGATCCTCGATTCCATCACCCTATACTGGTTCACCGAGTCCTTCCCCCGCTGCATCTACTGCTATCGCGAGGTAGGGCGCTCCTGACTCGTGATCCTCCTCTCGTCAATTACATCACATGCTAATCTCAATTCTCCGCGGTGCTCAGTTCTCCATCCCAGGCAGCCGCGGCCTGCCGCACGGGAATCCAAAATACAACAACGACAAGCCGGTCGCGTACTCGTGGTTCCCCAAGGAACTGGCGCCCGTGCCTAGAGAATGGGTCGAAAAGCAGGGCCATAAGCTTGTCTTTTTCCGCCAGCACGAATCGGTGAGTTCTACTCCCACTCTGGGATAAAATCCCGAATCCCGCAAGCGACTTCCAGGCCCGTGGCCGGTAGCTAACGTGTGCTCTCGCTCTCAATCGTTAGGGAGGTCACTTTGCCGCCATGGAGAAACCGAAAGAAATGCTAGAAGACATGGAGGAGTTCATCAAGACGATCGGTTGGCCCGTGAAGTGAGTGCTAGAAAGTGAGAGGGGAGAGCTCGTGAAGTGCCCGGGCAACAAATTCGTTGACCGTGGATTGTAGCCCCAGCCACGCTGTGGAGCCGATGAGCCGTCCGAGTCCGCAGAGAGCCAGGCAGATTCTTGCTAAGTAGAGTGAGTGGGTAGGTCTGGAATGTCATGGCTTGGAAAACTACTTGGTGCATTGATCCGCGGAGAGCCGTTGTAATGGTTGAGTGCATTCTAGATGCCCCGGGCTGTGTGGAACGATATCAGTCCAGCAAGGATGACATGGGACAAAGTGCTTCGGTACCAGCTGGCAATCCGAGTTCCAGGTGGTGGTGCTGGCACACTCCGCACATGCAAGCACAGTAGGACGGGGCCAATATTTTGCATTTTTGCAGCAGGATCGGCTAGCCAAGTCGGTCGACATCACGGTAGGTGCGTCAGCAGAGTTTCTCCTGACGGTTGCGATTATGCCAGTGACATGCGGGATGCTGGAGCTCGCAAACCGATTGTTGCTGCCGCAAGCGGCTGGGTTTCACCAGGCTATGGCGTGACGGCGGATTGGGTTTTCGTGACATCTGTCACGGGATGCTAACGCCTCGTACGGAGACTTCGTGTTGCCTCAACGAGCTCGACAAATTTCCTGCCCCTTGAACGTTGTCGGAGTCGAGAAGGGGCATGGTCGACGAACTTCCGGCTTTACTGAAAGCCTTTCGGCGAGCAAAATAATCCGCGACCTTCCGACCAGCCACGACGTCATCAGCTTCAAATACCCTGCCTGACCCGAAGTCAACCCAGCGCTCATTGATCATCCGAAGGTTCCTGAGAGAAGCCGATGACTGTACATTAATGATACTGCGGTGGTGATACCAACATGGGAGACAAGACCTCAACAAATTGCGCACTTCTCATCTGGGATTTGCGAAGCTTCGACTTCTTCCCATATCAAGGCACAGGGTGCAAGGCATTCACTGTCTAACCAAAGAAAGCTGGAGAGTATGTTCCTGACTCTCGGCCACTTGGAGACACTCGCCGTGCCACCGTCTATCCTAGCGGTTCTAGCGGCACTGACGTGTTCCACCAAGAAGTCAACAAACCAGTCGTAAAGGGAGGTGCCTTTGACAAGCCAAGCGGTCATTAGGGTGGCCCAAAGGAGCACATCGCGGTATGCTGGGTCTTCATGCAGGCTCAAGTTGGTGGTTGCAACCTGCAGGCACAGTCGGATGCGTTGGGCATACGGTATTGTGACGTCTATGCTGTCGTGGAGATTTGGCAGGAGAACTGTCATTTGGAAGACAAAGGTGCATAGTCGGCACAATTCGTATAGTGCGAGGGCTTGACGTGGTGTAGCGGGCGGGCTACCTTGCCCGAGATCTTCAGGATATAGTTCTTCCGATAAGTCGGGCAGGGTTAGGAGTTCATGCTGATTCAGATTTCGGGCGAAGATGATAATTTTGATTGGTGGGGCTTCAGGCTCGCCGTGTTGGTAACTGTCGAAGGCAATGGTTATGTCGCGGACTCCACGCAGAACGCTCAGGAGGTCGATGGCCTCTGCTAAACCTATGTATTCCAAGAACCCAAAGCCAGAGGTAAGGGCAGACAAATTCTGCATCGCAGGGCTGCCAGGTTGACTAGTCGACCAAGAGCAGGTGACGAGCAACGACGGCATGAATAAAGGAAAAGCGGGTTTCGTCTGGAACATCATTGAAGTGTGAATGTCAAAGCTGCGGTCTTTGTCAGTGAGTCATGTACGAAGGCGCTGGTGGACTGGGTCCGCTTACGAAGCGATAGCAAAGGCAAGACCTGGAAACTGAATTGTGTGTAGTCCTCCTTTCATCTTGACCACTTCGATGAGCGCCCTCCAGTGTTGCCATTCGTACTCCATAGAAGCATAAAACTGGCCATCTTGCTGAGCGGCCATCGTTCTCTTCTCGTGCTTCGTCACTGAGGTGACCTTCTCTCCATATCCTAGTATCGCCAACAGAGCCATGGCGAAAATGACTCCGTCGCTCAATGCCGTTTCGCTAGACTGTGAAGCTTTCCTCAATGCCTTTAATGCCTCCCCTTTGCTCTTCAAACGCAGGAGCGCGCTTCTAGTGTTGTCAACAATCGGTGATTGATGGAAAGCTTTATGCGTTGCACCAGAGTAGACGAGAGTGTGGAAGCATACCGGAAAGCGGATCGCCGTATCCATGACGGCTTTCTTCGCCATAAGGAGAGATTCCGGCTTGTCATTCGGAGCGAAAAGTGTCCACTGGAATGAGATGGCATGGTCGAGCATCTCATGTATAATCAGTGAATGATCCGAGGTGCAATAGCTGTCGAAAGGGTCAATCCGCCCAGCTCCAAGGACGGTCACCGGGCCAGGAACTGTTGTGTCGGATGTCGCGAGAACATTGCTACTCTTGTCACCACAGACCACCGCCTCAGACCTTGGGAGACCCCCACCCAACTTGGCCTTCAGTGCCGAGTGTTGAGCGCGATTCGCCGCCGACTTCTGGCTGTTGCTAGCCGTCTTTCTGAGCAACTTGGCCTTTCGATGGTAAACCCTAGCGGCGTGTTGCTGGGGTGATTCTTCGGCAGTCTCGTCGAGGTCATAGGAGTCCTTTGAAGGGTTGTATGGCAAGAATTGCAGCCGCATGTTGGCATCGATTCAGAACAGCTGGGTGACACGTTAGTTCCTAATTGATTAGCTAAGTTGGGCCCGTAAGCGACGTCTCGAACTCTCCAAGGACCTGGTGGAGGGTGAGGGCTACAGGCAGATCTCCTTGAGTTCACCGTCAAGGAGCAGCACACACGCAATAGGCTGAGATGGTAGACTTGCACCGGGTGCCGGTAAAAGCAGCAGCATGATTGATGAACCGAGAGACTGATGCCCGCACCTTCTTTCCCGGTCAATCGCCCACAACAAGATGGAAGCTGGGAGAGGTGGAAGAAGGACCGACTCGGATTAAGGATGTTCCGCACTCCGTCAACGCTTGGGCGGAAAGAGTAAGGTCGCTGGAATCACACGTCTGTCTTCTTTACACCTGGACTGTTTCTCGTCGACATCCGTTCCGATTTCTGTGGCACATTCCACTTGCAGTGGATTCGGTGACAGAGATATGGACCCAAGTCTAGAAGATTTCAAGAGGCGAACGGACCCCATCAAGCTACCTCGAGGGTGAGGCCGAGATCCACGTCGAGGAGTAATTAACACACTAACGAAGTCAAGAGCCAAAGGTCAACCTACTCCTCAGCCAGCGCCTACGACATTCTATCTGCCGTTGGATATTGCCTTTTACTTATGCCTTGCTTCTCACATCCTCGGTGCGTTGTACGCTCCGATTCAAGACTGCGATGAGACTTTTAACTACTGGGAACCGTTGCATTACCTCACCCATGGTTACGGCCTTCAGACATGGGAGTATTCTCCAGGATTCAGCATACGGAGCTGGGCTTATATCGCCTTACATGCCGTCCCGATCAAGGTCGTCAGCTTTCTTGGGCGATCAAAGACTTTCGAGTTCTTCGCGCTGCGTGTAATGCTGGCTTTGGTTTGCGCGGCGACCGAAGTTCGTCTCTATTCCACTATATCTCGGACCATCAATCCGAGGGTCGGGGTGATATACCTCACGATTGTTGCCTTTACACCGGGATTTTTCTATGCTTCCTCGGCTTTCTTGCCCTCAAGTTTCGCCATGTACACCTCAACCCTTGGACTGACAGCCTTCATGAATTGGCATGGCGGCACCAAAACAGCTGTCGGCATTATGTGGTTTGGTGTTGGCGCACTGCTTGGGTGGCCCTTCTCGGGTGCTTTGATTGTTCCGTTTGTCGTTGAGGACTGGCTCATTGCACTAGTAGGGCAAAGCAATCTTTTCGAAGCCGCAAGGCGGTATCTGGACGGTGTGGTCCGATGTCTGGTCGTGCTAGCTCTCCAAGTCAGCATTGATACGTTCTTCTACCACAAAGTTACAGTCGTGCCCTGGCGAATTGTGGCATACAATATCTTTGGCGGCAAAGATCGTGGACCAGACATCTTTGGGACTGAGCCATGGCATTACTATATTCGTAATCTGCTGCTCAACTTCAACATCTGGTTCGTCCTCGCAGCAATCTCGGCACCACTTTACCTGTTCCAGGCGATAATTCTGCGACAGCACACCACGAAGCAATCAATTCTCAGGACACTCACCTTCCTCTCACCCTTTTACCTCTGGCTGGGCGTTTTCACCCTTCAGCCTCACAAAGAAGAACGATTCATGTTTCCAGCGTATCCCTTCCTGGCATTGAATGCTGCCATAGCATTTCATTCTCTCCTAGCGTGGATCGGGTCAACAGATTCGGTCATCTTCGGCAAGATTCCTCCGAAAGCCAAACTAGCTGTTATCCTACCTGTCGTTCTACTGTCGATCAATGCTGGCCTGCTGCGTATTGTTGGTACGGTTACTGCATATCGAGCTCCCCTGCAGATATACGATGTTCTGGGAACATCAAACATGACCCACCATGCGGACACAGTCTGCTTTGGTAAGGACTGGTATCGCTTCCCCTCTTCACACTTTCTGCCCAACGGCGTGCACGCGAAGTTCATCAAAAGTGAATTCGATGGACTCCTGCCCGGCGAATTTCACGAGGGCAAGACTGGATTCGGATTCTTTGCGGGCACCTGGTTGATACCGCCCGGAATGAACGATCGGAACGAGGAAGATCCCGGAAAATATATTGACGTTCAGTTTTGCACGTTCCTTGTCGACTCGTACATGCCCGGGATGGAGGCCACCGAGCACGAACCTCTGTATATCCCGGACGAAGAGCACTGGGAAAGAATTGTCTGCGCACCATTTCTAGATCCATCAAAGACGGGACTTCTTGCCCGAACCATTTGGATACCCGATCTACCAGTAATACCACCCAGGTATCGGCGGCATTGGGGAGAACACTGCCTCCTGCGCCGGAAAACGCCCTGAGAGCAGGTGTCAGGAGACATCCGGGTTGTCAACAGCTAAGGAAGCTGCATTTGTGGTAATTGCCTTGAACAAACGTGCGGATTCGGAGCCGCGCCCATGTCCATTTGCCTGAGAAGTTGGGAGGTCGCGGTGGCTTGCCACGAGCTGTTCGTGGCCCTGAGGAGAGGAAATCGCCATTCCCAAACAGGCAGTTTTGTCCAGGATCAGCATGGCCCGCGATTGGACGATGGCACCCATTTTGACATCACCCGTCGATTGATAAGGGCTTCAGTGGATGGCGAGGGGCAAAGCGATAACAGCCATTGTCCTACTCGTTGATGATTGGGACGTTCAATATCTGGGGTAGGCAAGCTTCTGGCGCGACCAAATTGATGGGCTGATGTTTCGAAATCAGACATCCAGTCCACCACCTAACTCTTCATATATGCAGGGCCTCACACTACTTTTCCATCTCCTTGGGGCCTATTCATTCTTACAATCCAGTCGCGTTACAGCGCCGCCGGCACCATGAACTCAGAAACTATCAAACGGCGAGTTTCTGACTTGATAGCTCGGTCACAACCATATGTCGATCAGACCAGGGAAAACATACAACCATATGCCGAAAAAGCAAAGGGACATGTAAGGCCATTCATGGACGAGGCGGCCGCTCAGTTTGAGAGATCCAAACACCACTGTTCCTCAGCTCTCAGCTCGGCCCAGACAGACTTCCACAGGCTCTCCCAACAACCTCACTTCAAGGAGATCGCCTACGGCCTGATACTGCTGCTCTTCGTCACCATCACCCTCGCGCGATACATATCTTACCGCCACTCGCGGACGCCATCCTCCCGCCCATCAACTCCCACGACACCACGTCTCGAGAAAGCAACCACCTACAGCAGCTCTCCGCCGTCCACGCGCAAACCAGGAACATGGCCGCCCTCGACATTCGCGCGCCCCAAACCACCGCCCTATGAAAACTGGTCCATCGAGCACACCAAGCCGCTCCCCTACCGCCCTTTCCGCCACGGCCCAAAGTACTTCCAAACCATGGGCCTCCGCAACGTCAAGTGGGACGACTGGATCGAACTCGACAACCACTTCCCCCGCTTCCACGGCGACAAGGCGCGACGCATCACCGAACGCGGCCATAAATGCTGCAAGACCGCCCCCGAAGCATACCCCGCGGCCATCGAACTCCTGGAAGAACTACGATCCTACCTTCCAGATCGATACCCCTCGCTCTACGCGCGCACCGACAAGGGCATCAAGAACCTCTGGAGCGGCGAGGACCTCGACACGACAAGCGACCCCTTGCCCGAAGACCCGATGCAGACAGCGGCCCGCCTTGTGCAGGACGACCTGGCCATCATGATCGAGCGGCCGGACGGCCAATACTACCTACTGGCTGGGGCGATCCTGCTCGCGGGCTTCTGGCGCCTGGAAGACAAATACGGCATGCCGCTCAGCGAGATCCACACGTCAGGCGACGTGCCGCAGTACCGCGAAAAGCTCGAGAAGGGCATGATGAACTTCTTCCGCCGCCTCAAGCCCGAGGAGCTGGTCGCGCGGAACAACTACTTTTTGCAGGTCGACGAGGATCTCGCCTGGTCGTACAGCATCGGCAGCGAGGACCGGCCGGACATCAGCTGGAACACGGCCGAGAAGAACCGCGCCATCGAGCATCACTACTTCCGCTCGGAGAGGCAGACGTTGCGCCGCTTGCCCAAGAGTGGAGGGGTGGTGTTTACGATCCGCACGTATTTCCACCCGATCACGGAGATCGCGCAGGAAGATTATGTCCCGGGGAGGCTGGCCAGTGCTGTTCGAAGCTGGGGCGATGATGTGAGTCGGTATAAGGGCAAGGAGAAGTATGAGGCCGTGTTGCTCGAGTATCTCGACAAGAAGCATCAGGAGCAGCTGGACAGGGGGTTGAAGTTGGAAGAAGAGGACGAGAAGAGGATTTATCCGTGGTAGCATACAGTATGTTCTGTGGTCGGTTGAAAAAATGAACATTACATATTGAAGCACGCCATTCTTTGCATGCATGCATGTATATGTTGAGCTTTTGCGTCAGCTTTCTTCTTCAGCCGCAGCATTGCCTCATCTACGTTGCTTGTAATGGTCCACCGCCCGGTATTCTGTACCGGGTTCCTCTCCGTATCATTTCCGCTTAGAAAGCCACGGGTTCCAATATCACCTGTGTACGCATGCACAATTCGCCTCCGATAGGCATGAAGACTGAAGGGCATAGACGTTTGCTCTTCCGTGCTCAGCGTACTCATCTGTGCAGTTCCTCCAACCCAGGAGGGGGCAATCCTGATTTCATTCCTCACACACGACTCCTTCTCCCTTTGTCGGCTTTCCCATCCTCGCCCTTCTCCAGCTCCTCTTTCACCTTCCTCCTCTCCCTTGCCTCTCTGACCATGACCTCATCCCGTTCCTTGACCCAAGCACATTCGTCGCGAAATTCACAAATGCGGCACTTCCATGCATCGTTGACCTCGACGCCCCTCGGCTCTCTGTCTCCTTTCCAGAACCCAAGCGACGCGTACAGTTGGGACGTCAGGAACGAGGGGTTGAAGAGGAGGGATTTGCTTCCCAGAACGCGCGTCTCGTCGTTGGAGTGGTTGTAGTTTGTGGCGATGTAGCGGGCCGTGAGGATGGGGGAGAGGCGCGTCGGTTGCGAGGGCGGGTCTGGAAGCTGAGAGAGCGAGGAAGGAGGTGGGATGGTTGGATCTTGGAAGTCGGGACCTGCTGTCGCGGTGTCTGTGTTGGGTTGGGTGGTCGTGCTCGTAGCATTTGGGTGAGAAGATGAAGAAGCGCTGGATACCGAGGCGAGGAGGAACGTCTGGCGAAGCTGCTCCAGCATGAATCCCCACAGGGCTGTCAGCGTATTGTGCTGGAGGAGGATATCCAGCGAGTCCTGAGTTGACGATGGCGTGAGGTTGTCGTGCCTCATGTCGTCACTCTGCTGGGACATGGCGACGAGCTCTTGATTCAGCCCGCCTATCTGGGCGATGAATGAGTCTGAGAAAGTCTCATTCACGTCGAAGGCATATCTCTCGGCGAGTTGAGAAAGCATGAACTTTCCTTGAGCCAGATTTTCGAGCATGTGATGATAGAGGTGCAGCTGGACGAGCGTAGGTCGCATGGCTGAACCGGTGGGCAAGGTCGGTGTCTGTCGTGTTTTGACGTCTGTGATGTAGATTTTCCTATCGTCGCCCCCGGGTTTGCTACTGTCAGGCTGGCTGGACTTGTCGCCACCACCTCCATCGTCTCCGAGGGCTTGCTGTAGCGACTGGCCTTGGGCTCTGTTCTCGCTTGTAACGAGATAGTCCCTGATACTGGCCTGATACTCTGGCAGTGGGGGCTCAGTGTCCTTCTTCTTCTGTAGGTTTTGGCTCATCTCTTCCAGCTTTGGATCGGGACACTCGTAGCTGAGCTCGTCGATCACTCCATTGACCAGCTCTCCGCCGACGGATCCCCAGATCTCCAGCTCTCTGGTCTTGCCTGTCTCCCTCAGCGTGCGCAGACCTTGGATGATGTTCCATATCCTCAATCCCCAGCTGTCCTCTTTCTTGGTGATTTCCACGGGGACTGTGGTATGGACTTCATCTTCCAGTGCTTGGTGGACAGCACTCCCTTGTTTCATGGCAGGTGTCCTCCTTTTGCGACCATGCTTGGTCAGAATGTAGTAGTATTGCAATTCGCACCACGACGGCGAGATGAGATCGGTGACAGAGAGGGCTTTCTTGGGCGGTTTGCGGAATCGTTCGAGGGGGGTTCGAGTGTCTGGCCCGGTGGGCTGGAGAGCTGCATCTTGTCCGTCGTCGTTTGGCGGAGCAGCCTCGTCGTCCTTCAAAGCCTTCGCGACTTCTTTATCGCCTTGACTACGTCTCCGTTCGGCTAGCCGCTGGTCAGCTCGTCAGCAAGACAAGCAGTGGAATCTGCCCCGGGGTAGCTCACCACTCTCGTCGCGTATGTTCTGCTGCTGCTGCTGGGTCCCAACAGATTGGCTTGGAAGCCCCCATTGACGCGTCGTTTCGACACCACGCACCTTGGGCAGATAAACGCCCCGAGGGTCCTCATAGTCCTCGATGTCTGTCACGACCAAAGGCGCGTCTGCTAACGCGTCTTCTCTCCGCTGGTTGGCCGCCTCGAGAAGGAGTTGATCAATTATCTCAAGCGTCTCAGGGTCGTCTGCGAAGTCACTGTACGCGTCGAGGTCTTCATCTTCGAGCACGTCGGTTGTTTCCTTGTGATAATCCGATTCAAGTTGCATGTCCAGGGTGGTATCTGGCGTTGACATCGCTGAGGCCTGGTAGTGGGCGAACAATGGGGATGTAGGCGTCATGATTCTTCAATTTTCCACCATGATTTGAAACATACGAGAGAGACAAGGTGCTCTGCGTGGGGCATTCCCAACTGTAAATCTCAAGAAGATACATCGTTGTAATGAATTAGTTGGTCTGTTTCCCGCCCTCAGGCAAGGTAGATTTGAGCTACCTCTGCCTGGTCAATCGCGGTCATGTTGACGCGCCGTGGGGCACGAGCACAAAGGCACGAGAAGATATGACCCAATCGATTACATGTTGCTGCCATTCTGGTCTACTGTATGATTAGGCTGGCATTGCTGCCTGTGTTTTATTTACTGGCCAAATTCTATGGTGTTCGCTCAGCCTATTCCTTTAGCATCGGCTTCGCCTAGGTCTATCGGTCGTCCAAAACGCATGCTCGCTGACCATGTCGAATCCTGCGAGATCTCTAAGCATGCCTTGCCGCACATATCTGTTCCTTCTAATCGTCCTCGTCTGGAACAAGATCTTTGAGGTTGTCCTTGTACAGCTCTATTTCACGACCGTGCCCTGCGGTATCACGGGGTTACTCAGTGTATCAACCTGCGCCTCAATCTTTTCTTCCTTCCTGTTCAAGAAGCTCAAATAGCACTGCCATGCCACGGCAAAGATCCCCGAAAACATGAACCTGTACTGCGGCGCAATGAAGGCGAACGAGAAAGCCGTGACAGCCGGCCACAGCTTCAAGGAGTTGAGCATGCTGACAGGGACGGTGGTCCTGATGCGGGTGATAATGCCGGAAGCATGTTCGCCGGTCAGCAGCGCTTGCATACCGAAGAAGTAGGAGTTGAACACGGGTGTGAAGACCGCTTGATTAACAGCCACTTTGGTGGCAATAGATCCGACTTTGGAGGAGTAGTTGAAGTTCCGTCCCAGGAAAAGAAACCTGCAATGCATGCTCGTCAGCTTCTGAAATGTGCTCCTGTCTCGGATATCGCAAGAGCACGGTCGTCTCCAAGCCTTGTTCCATGGGCCCATTGGTGTCTTACCACTTATATCCAGGAATGGCAGCAATCGCTCCGATGGTCAACATCCGCAGCGTTCTCCAAGGATCGTAGAGTTCTCCACCAATATCTTGCGCGAGTAGATCACCGCATAGGTAAGTTGTCAGAGTCGTACATAGTTGGACCGTGTATGGCCTCTTCGCCTGCGTGCGATGAAACCATCTGAAGAAGTCCGAGACGGGACCTAGCCGGTGATACCATAGCTGGATGGGAATATCGACTGGCTCGATAGGCTTTGCGGTCTCGCCAACTGGCACCTCGTTGAGCGAGTGAGGCGGCAAGTCGTTGGATCTTGCTGGCTGGGGAGTGGTTTGGTCTTTCGGAGGATTGGTGGAGGAGTTTCTCTGCGCTTGTTGCTTGTGTCGCACTCGCAATCCCTGTGTTCGTTGCCGCAGCCATGGCGACCTGGCGCTGAACTTGAACGCTGCGCGCTGCAGTGGGTGCATCATTCCTGTCAGATGCCATGATGGATAGAAATGTCAGCGACCTCATAAGACGCATTATCCGTTGGAGATTTGCGCAAAACTAATCCCTATGTCGGAGCAGGTTAGAGACGCAATAGCCCCAAAGATCTGTTCCGGGTTATGCAGGTCCACCGATTGCTGCCCGATGACGCCCGTAGCGGGTCCCTAACGCGGGCCATCTTAGGCACCGATCCTTTAGCTTTTACACTTCATACAGAAGGACACGCCTCGAGTGAACGCAAAAATCTAGAGGAACAGCTGGGAACAGGGAACCAAGGCAGGATTCTGTTTGTCTGATGCGTTGATCTGAACTGTATTCAGATTCTATCTGATGCAGCACATATTTGCTGTCCAGATCAAGTCTCGTGATGACTGCTAACCATGCTGTGATGTACAAGCACAAGCAGGGAGCAAGAGGACGCCAAATTTCCCAGTAACCACCCCATGTTCAATGTCGGAAAAAGCAATACAGCAATACAAGCCCTGTGTGAATCATCCATTTCGCCGTTGTGTCATTCGTGAAAACCCCATGCTCAAACCACTTCATGCCTCAACCTTCCCATGTACCAGAGTGTCATGATCGAGGAGTTGAAAGCAGCACAAGCTGTCATCTAAGATCGCTCACCACGGAGACGACGGGCGAGCTGGATGTCCTTGGACTGGATGGTGACACGCTTGGCATGGATGGCGCAGAGGTTGGTATCTTCGAAGAGCGAGACGAGATAGGCCTCGACGGACTCTTGAAGAGCACCGATGGCTGAAGACTGGAATCGGAGGTCGGACTTGAAGTCTTGCGCAATTTCTCGGACGAGACGTTGGAAGGGGAGTTTTCTGTGATGGTCAGTTAGTTGACGGTGACAATGCAGTGACATGAGCATCACATACCGGATCAGGAGCTCAGTGGACTTCTGGTAGCGACGGATCTCACGGAGAGCGACGGTACCAGGCTTGTAGCGATGGGGCTTCTTGACACCTCCGGTGCTGGGGGCAGACTTGCGAGCGGCCTTGGAGGCGAGCTGCTTTCTTGGGGCCTTGCCACCTGGAGACAAGAGTCAGCGATATTGTTCGGATGCGATGATGAGGCTGCTGTGAGCACAACTTACCAGTGGACTTGCGAGCGGTTTGCTTGGTACGAGCCATTGCGGATGGATGATTTGATGATTGAAGGTGTAAGTGCTGATGATGAAGAGTTGGCTGAATGAGATGATGAGTGAGGCTGATGAGGAAAGGAAGATGAGTGGTTGGGGTGGGGGAGAGGGAGATATTTGTAGGGGAAAGGATTGCGCAGGCACGTGCTTGGCGTGATCTGGTGCAGGCGTGATTGATGCACTTTGCAAGTGACAGGCAGCTGCGGGCAAAGTGGCCGTGACTGATTATTCGCAAAAAGAAAGTGCTCAGATCAGGGCTGCAAAAGCTCTATGATTTTGCGCTGCACTTTTGCAGTGATCCAAAACGCTGCCGAATTGGGCCTGACCCGGTGCTTGGCGTCACCACATCAAGATCTCACGAACCGCTCTGCGCCTCTATATCGCAGCAACCACAACGCGATCCATATGATCAATTGCATTAACTACTTTAGAAATGATCTCACAGGCTATGCGACGCTTACACTCGGAAGATCAGTAGATCCAACCGGTGGTGGTTGAGAAATCAGTGTATCTTCGTTCATTGCAGCTGGTGTGCATGGCGATTGCATTTGTCGGATATGATTTCTGATTGGCTGTGATCTGAACACGCGCGGGTTGATTTTTGGGCGCGCCACTGGCACTTCCGGGGGATAATAAACATCCCCCACCACGCGCCTCCAACCAGTCTTCATCCACCATCTCCATCCGTGCAAAGTACCAGATCTTGACCAGCTCTCATACCACTTTTCAAGTCTCTTCAATCAACTTCTCCAACACTTCATCAACATGACTGGACGTGGCAAAGGTGGCAAGGGCCTCGGCAAGGGCGGTGCGAAGAGACATCGCAAGATTTTGCGTGACAACATCCAGGGCATCACCAAGCCTGCCATCAGACGTCTCGCCCGTCGTGGCGGTGTCAAGCGTATCTCTGCCATGATCTACGAAGAGACCCGAGGTGTCCTCAAGACCTTCCTCGAGGGTGTCATCCGAGATGCCGTCACCTACACTGAACAGTGAGTATTCCTCAGACACATCGATCCTCGAGCATTTGCTAACATCCTCCCCAGCGCCAAACGAAAGACTGTCACTTCTCTCGACGTCGTATACGCGCTCAAACGACAAGGCAGAACCCTCTACGGTTTCGGTGGTTAAACATTTATCTGTTACGACATCGTTCTCGAGTGTATCGTGCTTGTTGTCATCCACGGCATGGTTGCTCCTCTTGCTTGCTTTGAGTTTCGGGGTGGTTCGGCATTGACATGGGTTTTGATCAATGGGGTTGTCCTGGGAGGTTCACGGTTATGAATGGAATGGCAAATCAAACACATCGGTGCCTTGACCTGCAATGATGTATCATACAGGCGCTGTGCCTCGAGCAGCCTGCTCCGGCGTTGACAGATAGCTGAGCCATGACATAAAGCATAGGCATCAGCATCAATACAGAACAACACTTGAAAACCATGAAAATGTCCTGGTGCCCTGTGATTCTTCGTCTGCGCGTCATCTTTGCTCTGGCTTTTGCGTTGCCAGGTAGATGATTTCTACCAAGGATTCTCCCGACAACTGCGTGACTGTGCTCTTGGAAGCGAGCCCCCGGACGATGGTGGCGGAGGGCAGTTACGTACTCGAATGCATCCAGATCCATGACCATGTTGAACATGAGCCTCATCACGCATATCATTTCGTGAATTCTACGTTCGTTTCTGCACAGTGCCACCGTAAAAGGTTCGAACTTTAGGCGAGGATGGTGAGGAAGACATGACCAGCTAAATCTGTCCCTGGTGAGCAAAACAAGACATGCAACGCGAGCAATGGCTCATGAAGGGAGGACAGGGCTGGATTGCGTGATAGCCAGGGTGAACGGAACGGCTGCCATGAGCTTGCGCATGCTGAGAAGGGTCAAGATGAAGACGCTGAGGTGACGCAGGAAGTTGCTGAGCGTATGTACCCTTGACCAGTGACGGCTGGGGATGGTGAGCGGACTGACACGATGTTGAAAGCCGCCCATTCGATTGTGGACCACGAGTTCGCGCATGATAGGAACCGTGTCGGGACAATAATGGCGTGAGGCGAAGGCTGCAATCCGGCAATAGTACTGTACGTCCTAGAGGCACAGAGGACTTCTCATATCATGCCACTCGGGCAGCAAGTAGACAGGTGACATGGGTCCGTCTTGACTCGACTGTGCCGTGCAGCCTATGCTACCTAGGTTGATGAATTACTGTTCCTACGGCCATCGGATGTGTGTCTCGTCTCGGGCACGGCATGTCCTTTGGGACTGCCACTTCCCGAGTTCGCTCGACCGGTTTGCTGGGCCAGTGTAAACGCGCCGTCTACGGCCTTTTCGCTGAATGGAGGAATACTGTAAGAAGAGTTGCCCGTGAGCCCGGTGCCCAAGGCTGTCGATCTGTCGTGAAAGCTTGAGGGTAGACGATCATCATGAGTCGTACAATCAATGACTAGCACGGCATCTACATGGTCTACACAAGTAATAACTGCTCCGCGCAACCACTTCGTGGCGCTCGAAAGATGCTCACACCTCTCTTTTGGACAGCAGCAAAATGTGTGTATATCTCAGCTTACCTTGAACTTGAAAACTTCCATCGACTCCGGACTACGGATAGGGCTAAAGCCTCGAACAATCGTCACGCTGACCGTGGCTCAGAGGCTAGTTAATCCGTCCATGCTAGCAAATCGCAATGGATCTTTCGAGCAAATACTAGTGATAGCAAATCGGCAATTGCATGACCTTTTCCAGCAGTCCTGGACACACTTGCTTGCTGAAATACGCTTCCGTCCTGAACGGCACGCTTCCGAGTCATTTCCTCCCTTCACCGCGACCAGCGATACGATACGAGCTGGAGCAGTGTGTGACAGCCAAGTGCACGAGCACAGCTGGAAAACTCTGTGTTGCGAGAATCCAGCACAGTGAGATACATGTCTGCGGAGGAGTCTCCGTGTAACGCCGTCCTGGACGTAACAGTCTCCGATGTGCTAATATGGGATACGATGCGGAATAATGTCGCTCAGCGAGCGGCTCTTCCTGCTCTACTGTGTACCGTATACCATGTGCCTGCCACATGAGGCTGCTGGCTGGGTGGACCTCCCCAATGGAGTATGCCCTGCCCTATGCGCCGGAAAGCGGAGTGCCGCATGGTCCACCAGAGTCAATCTCGAACACTGCTGCGCAGTGTCTGCGATAATTCCGAGGACCTCGCTCCCGATCCCGACAAGCGTCTTGCGGGGTTGGGCTGCCACATGGCAAACTTCTGGCGAAGGGGATGCGCCACAACCTTACGCACATCGTCGGCGCCCCTGTGTCCACCAGCGACTGACTACAGAGGGAAATCCTCGTTCGACGAGGTGTGCACCGTAGATTTCATCGGTCTCTCCAGATGTGGTACATGTGGCGGTGCAGCGTTGAGGAACCACGATTTTTAGAGCTGAATGGGCCACGTCCCCGACACAACCGGGAAACAGGGAGTCCTGGGCGCGAGTCTTGGTGTCCAAGTATCCAACGTGCCAGTCGCGACAAGGCTTTCAGCTCATCGCTTTCCTACGAAGCATATTGGGAGTCCTGTCCTAATCATTGGTTGCGGCCGTGCCGATAACTGATGGGTTCACAACCTTCCTGCAAAGGACGCTCGGGCGATACCATGGCAAGCCTCACCTAGAATGAGTGACAGGACGAAATACTGTTTACACAGATCCCGATAGTCCTGTCAAGATGTCTGATAGGGTTCGTCGGCAATTGCTGGATAAGATCGGGAGACCCCATTCCTAGCACGGAGTACAGAGACTTGACGGGGGCTGCGCCTACCACAACGGGCTAGAGTTGTTGTACGGTTGAGGGTTACACAGTAGATCTGTGGTGCGGAGAGTCCAGAGCCGATGCAGGCCATCAACACGGGGTGCGCCGATTGTAGCCGGCACTTGTCCTTACGGTGCAATATACCCGCCAATCAGTGTGCGCAGCACAGCGAACAGAATTTTTATCTCAGCTCCCGGGTACTGGGCGGCTTCTGGACCGAGGCTTGGATTCAATAATCGACCCCACTTTCGTGGTTCCAGCCTTATGCCCAGATGCCCTAAAGCAATGCAACCGCAGCTCGGCACGTTCCTGCATGCTAGACGAAAGAAAGTCGAATTCTAAGAGGAACTAGAAGTGGAGCACTAGACAGATGGGTAAACCCCACCCTCAGCAGCAAATGTTGAGAAAGAAGAGTCTACAGCTCAGTTCAATAGTCCCAAGCCGGTCTCATCACTGCCCCAAACCACGCCAGCTTACTCGTATCGCACGGTGTCTTAGAAAGCGGCAGAGAGAAACAAGCTGACTTTCGGCTACGCGGAGAAAAAGACCTCTTGGGTTAGAAGTACGAGTTACGAGGTACCTGCTGGGACATGGCCATCTGCCTGATCTGCAGGGCTATGCATCGAACCGAAGCATATCCGAGCCCTTGGGGTGATTTCTAATTAGCCTGTTACTGCACCACGCATAGATGAGCTGAGAGAATGCGGTTGTCTCAGGCAATGATCACTTGCGGCCGATAAGTTAACCAGCTCACGCATTATTATTCCCGTGGATAACGAACAAAGCTATTGTTATGGGGGCGTACCTCACCTTGGGAACGGTGACATGGTTAACGCAAGTATGTCGCGCAAGTAAATGTCGCACCGTCCTAGAGTATGGAGTAGAGTGTGCATGTGAGGCTAAACTCGATGACAAAGACAGTGAGTGGCCTGAGTAGAACCGGGTCCGACGGGTCTCGCGACATTCTAGAATCCGAGGAGAAGAACTTGTCCAACGATGCGGCTTACAGCAGCGAGAGTATTCCGTAGGCCTGGATTCCCGGGATCGCTCGGGCTGTCGTAATTTATAGACGGCGATTGGACGGACAAACAGCACAGCCACAGTAGCGAGTCGGACGACGTCAGCCTGCCAAGTCGCTCACTTGGTGCAGCCCATGATTACACTCAGAACCGTACTCGCAGATCGTACGGAGTATCTAGCCCGTAACAGTAAGGAGAGCGAGTTTCATGGACGACATGGTGAAAGCGTCAAATCAGTCTCGTCGCTACCATTACGAGTACACGATAGGCACTTCGTCGAAGCGACGGTCGAGGAAATCAGAAATAGCCCGACAAGCTTGCGGAGGACGTGGTATTGCGAACCGACAAGACGACCTGGACAAGCAGCAACTTGCTTATGGTTACGGGTGAAAGGTGACATGTCACTGTTGGGCTGAGAACTCTGCTTATTTCAGGGTCTAGGCTCAAGTGCAACACCCGAGAGTCACCGAGAGTCACCCTGGCTGAGCGCACCCAGAGGCAGCTGGTGTAGGTTTTACCAGCAAATACCCAATGTTACGGCTAATGGCAGGTACGACCAATCGCAGGCCACGTATAGCCGAAGCAGGTCTTGCCGCTTGAGCAGCCAGTTGAGGGTTTTGACCCTCTTGCGACTGCCCTGATCCGATCGTCCACGGTCAAACCGCTCACTGGCATCCCGGTCGGCGCCTTGGCCTATCGCAGGCAACCGCTCGTGAGATCCTTGTCATCGCCGACGTCACCCCCCACCATCATTCAATGAAGCGCTCACCCTGACAGTTTTCCCTGCATCGTCCGCTTGCTGTTGCCCTCGTGTCTTCCGGCCGATGGTCATGGCCGATTCCTCAACATCACTCAACAATCAGACGTAACCTCAGCACAAGGACATCCCTCTTTTTCCACAATTACCCTATTCGTACCTACTGCACCTGGGTTGGAAGTCTCAAAAATCATTCCCTCCCCGGACGAAATCAAAGACCATATTTGACCAAGTCAAGTCCGCCACATCACCGATACGTCCGTTCCATACCTCGCTCTCTTCTATCCTTTTCGACATCGGTCTGTCGTCAGCCCCGTGATCGCTCGGATACTCAAATATCCTACTCGCTTATAGATTTGCCACTCGGTCCTTCCCATCCGCTCTCCCATTCCTACCTGCGAGTCCACGGTACACATACGCCAAACCCAACCTATCCACGCTTCTCTGTACATTACCAAGCCCTTAACAATCCTCACACCTGAGCGACTATACAACAGATTCGAAGTCTTTGATTTGCACCGGCGTCAATCTTCGCCTCCTTCCACTCACAAGTCTACAACCCTTGATGCAATCAACGACCTCGCAATCACAGAGTCCTACGGTGCGCATACAGAACTCGAGCCCTAGGCCGACACCTTCAACACAACCACCCATGCTGGCCCAAGCTGCACTGGTGGGTGGATGGAATGACGGGTATAACAGCCCTGGGGGATACTTGAGCGCACTGCCAAAGAACTTTCAAGACCAGAGATTCCACAAACGAGATTCGTCGGGGTCCTCTGTAACGTCGGTTGGCCCGCCTTCGCCTCTCAACCACAATACTATATACCCCCACATCGTCGCCACATCTGACTCGAGTTTTCCACCTGCTTACGACTTTGACTACTCACAAACTCCACACACAGCCAAGTCAGAAACTCCGATGATGTATCCGGGAAACTTTGGCCCCGTCGACATGAGGAGGATACAATCGACAGGCGCCGACGAACGTGCGTCATATGGTCTGTCTGCGCCTCAGTCGGTGTCGACAATGAGTCACAATTCTCCAGCGACACCGCAGACTACATATGAACCCGAGTACGACGTGAAGCGCGAATATGGTGAGAGCAAGAGCGCAGTCGACGACATGGTCGATTACTTACAATTCGAGTCAGGGTACACCAACGCATACCAGCAATCATTACAGGATGTCTTTCCTGACCAGCATTTTGCCAACCCAATGGCCTACTCGCAACCGCCTCAGCAGAACATGCAGCGTTTGCCCGTCAATTCCCACAGGCAGAACATGATGGCCGAAAGACTTCAAGCAGCACAGCAAGATCACTTGCGAACGAACTCACCCACCTCGAACCCCCGGGACAAGTCCCCTTTCAGGCAGAACTCGCCGTACAGCATGCCCGCTCCTGCACAAAGACCGCAACCTACGCTACAGAAACAACGTACCTCGATATCACCGAAGGAGTTGATGCTGGACGAGCATGACCTTGACGATCACGCGACGCCGTTGTTTGCTCCAGATCAGTCACAATCTATGTTCGCAAACCGTAGAAACCCATCGAATCTTTCGAGTTTCTACACGCCGACAAGCGAGCAATCGATGCAAATGCCGCAACAATATCCCTTCGTCAGTCAGCCGTCACGGCAGTCTACGCAGGCGGGAATGCAGGACGTCACGCCGGATTTTCCGGCTCACATGATCTCGATGGAATCAACGGCGGACGAAGCGTCGGAGCCTTCTGGTAGTCAACAGTCGATGCAGAAGCCTAGGCTCCAGCCACAAGTCCAAAGTGCTGCGCCCCAGCACCAACAGACACCACAGCAGCGACCGGTCGACACGTCATCTGACGCAGGCACATACTCGTGTACGTATCACGGTTGTCACCTGAGGTTCGATACGCCAGCCAAACTGCAGAAACACAAGAGAGAAGGCCATCGACAGGTGTCACCTTCTGCATCGCCCAACCTGGCTCTGCGCAACTCGCAAGCCGGACCTCACCGCTGCGACCGGATTAATCCTAGCACGGGAAAGCCTTGCAACTCAATCTTCTCCCGGCCTTACGATCTCACGAGGCATGAGGACACGATTCACAACAACCGCAAAATGAAGGTCCGGTGCCACTTGTGCACGGAGGAGAAGACCTTCTCGCGTAATGATGCGCTTACACGACACATGCGCGTGGTCCACCCCGATGTTGACTGGGTTGGCAAGCAAAAGCGAAAGAGCGCAAAATGAAGCGACTGGAACAACCACGACAAAATGGTGTTGCGACTGAGTCGGCCATCATCAGACAATCGCAAAGCAATTTACGAATGAAGTAGCGGAAACAGACAAACGCCTGTTGATTGATCGGTTTACAACCTCTGGTCCTCGAGCCAAGTCCGACGCAATGCAACGCATCCGTGTACACTACCCCTTTCACACGTTGTACGACCATCTGGGATGCCCGAAAAGGCGGCCTCGCGTTGCTTTTTCAGCACTCGTCACGGCGTGGCTTGCTCGCATGGAGGGATTTTTCGGGGCGAGAAACTTTCCTTTGGGTATGGGGTTGCCGCTTAGGTCAGCAGGCCCGGCGATGACGTATGACATCATGAACGATCAGGGTTCGGTTAGCGGGATAAAAATGGCGCCAATGACATTCTCGGATGAAGCATGGCGTCAGGCGCGAATGAGATCAGGCACATCTGCCTGTAGACACTGCGAGGCTGGCTCGGGGTTTGGTTTGAGCATATGGGGAAAATTTCAATGGGTACAAAAAATTGTTGTCTTGGTTTTTGATCTCCCAGGGTTTGATCGTTCGAAGAATCATGACCAAAGAGCTGGCACCGGCGAGTGCCTTGGGTGGACAAACTAGCTGCGCCGGAGCGCATTGCATCTGGTCTGGTACTGCACTCATAGACTGTACAACAGCTTGTTCATACGTCACCATGGGATCTTGTATATGAAGTCATGTCATGGGTCAGGATAGATGCAATCGTGGCATGATACAGCAAAGTCGTCAATTAGCTGGTTTCTTGATTGAAATCAATCCACATCAGGAACGGATCACTCCGGTGTCATCTCGGATTGACCGCATTGCCGTCTCCGTCCTTTTCGGCTCGTCTCGTTCCTCAACACGGTCGGGTACCGCACAGAGCACAGCCGGGGTTTGGACCTCGGGAGGTTGACTGGAGGTGTTCGACTTTGCCCCGATGTCCCCTCGACTCCAGCAGAGGGATACGAGCAAGTCCGCTAGCTTTCACTCCGTTCTCCCTCGAAGGTTGTTATCCTAGCCCATCCCATTCAAGGTGCACTTGTCTAGCATACAAGTACCACCAAGCTGTCCTGATACAGTTTTTAGTTTTGGCGAGTCGCCCAGCCATCTTAGATGCATGCACTCGATGGCCAGATACCATAACGTCCCAGCAAAAGTGGATTGAGATGCGCCAAACGCCGGATGGAATAGGGAAGTTTACGACTCCGGTACTATTGTGTATGTATGTATGATTGTGCGTACTTACAGTAGTCAACCGGAGGCCGTCGAAGAACCATTGTCGAGGAGACGTAAGCAGCCATCCGGAACTATCAAAATCCCTATACCCAGAGTATCGCTACTTTCTAGAGACAAGACCTCTCCACAAAAAAGTCTGCCCTTTCTACTCTGTAGGGAAAGGCGATATGTATAGCTTGGCTGCTCTTGCTTTGTTCCTTGAGCTCCGCCTGCGTTTCGACTATTAGTATCGCTCATGTCGGTTGGGTAGGATACGAAGGGGCCAGGGACGCTCTGTTCTGCAGATTAGGGCCTTCTGGAGCCACCAGATGCTATGAGTAGGATACATACTATGTTCACGTAAGGAGACCCATCTTAGAACTGGAATTGGGCAACAAAAGGATGACAGACTGCGCAGTGCACTGAGATTCCGTCGCGGCAGTTGAACACACGCGCAATTACGTCTCTGGACAAGCCGTACTGTAGATACAATGTAAGTGCATGGTGGTCAGTGGTCAGTGGTCTCCATCGGAACGCGCAAGTAGCCCGCCACAAAAAAGGTGGTGGTTTTCTAGGGTTAGGGTTACAGCCCCGGGACTTACTTTTGTGACCGCGCATAATTGGTACCTTCCGTGGAACCTCACTTTTCCAAGCTCCCCATACTACTAGGATGATTATAAATGCCTGCCGCCTTCTATCGATAACAATAAGCTCATGCGACATCATGCGGAAGTCGACAATATAGGCCACAGAAGGCGCGCCTGTCGCAGTCTTGAGAATGCAGAGCTTTACACTCGGACTGCACACTTGCACCCACACAGCGCACACCGACACCACGGCTGCGCCAACCGCCGCGTAGGACCGAGAACTACTAGATGTATCGAGAGGCGGAATGCACGATTCACCTCAGTACATGTTCCCCCGGCAGCGAGCAGTCAATCATGCTGAGGTGTTTCCACCACGTGTACAGCGAACGAACCCGGCGGGCGCTGGCGCTTACGTCCGGACTCCCATCGTTCCCGCTTCTACATGCATTCGCCCACAGACATTCATGGTAAGTACTTACATCTTACAGTCCCAGTTATAGTGAATGCCACAACGGGAATTGCTCTCGCTGGCGCCTACAGCCGGGCTTCTGCCGCAACCATTCTACCGCGGACTGGAAGTCGCGAGGTCGAGCGCACCTGGAGTTTTAGAACGACTCGAAGGTTGTACGCCCATCGAAAGTACGAACCAAGTACTACATCTAAGTACTTACAGTATTAAGTACATATTTGGGTGGCTTACAGTATCCCGTGAACATCGGACCCAGGCGCTTTTGCGGAGGCGAGAAAGTCAATTGCAGTCCGACGAGGGAGGATCTTCAAGGCGTTGGCCGGGCTCGTCAGCCGGACATGGATTCTGTGCAAAGGAGTTGCCCGGGCTCCGGGAGATGCACCGCAGGGCGGCTGAACATATCTTTGACCAGTGTACTCCGTATGTACAGGAGGCATGTTCGCACAGCCGAAACTTTGAAAGGACAGCGGACCAAAGCGCACGCAGTCAAGTTCACGAGCAAGTTCAAGGACGTCTGCGCACGGTTCAAGTTTAACACGATGCGATGCGATCTATGGGGATGGTGCCATCCCTCCATGCTGTCCATTATGTACAGTACAGTACATAGTACCTACTGTTTGTTGATCGGACCTTGCATCGATGTTACATACGACATGGGTCTTGAAAAATGTCTCGCGTTCAATTCAAGTTCAAGTCAAGTTCAAAAGTTATTGATGATCGGAAGGACTCGACGCGGCCGTCGGATCAAAGCTCAGACATGGATTACGGCCGTGCAAATCTGAATGCAGTGCTGAGTGGGAATCTCTGTCCAGGGGACTGCAAAGGGCGGATGGAAACTTAAACTTTGACGGCGGCTGGCAGAGAGAACGTCACAGTAAAAGGGCAGTCGGTTCAACTAGAGTTCAGTTCTATAAGTTCGTTCGTGCCTTTTACTCACAACAGCACAACGATTAATTGTCCCTCACTTGATGTACAAACTTGATGTAACCTCACGCCTAAACCTTATCAACACCTGAACCTCGTCAACGCTCACCTAAACCTCTACCCTGCATTAGAATAGTAACTTTGAAGTTGCTTCTAATTTAACTAGGCTAGCATATGTATTAAATGGTTATCTGTAAGGTAACGTATTATAAGTACTAAGTTCTAAGTTAAGGTAGTGTTAATATAGAAGTACTATATATATACAGATATATATATATATTATATTATAGAGGTAAAGCTTAATCTAGGGCTATCATATCTTAAGTTAGTAGAATAGTAAAAATACTAAAATTTAAAAAGCTAAGCTTATTAAAGCGAATTTCGTACTCCTCTTAAGATTATCTACCCTTAGGACTCTAGCTAGCCCGGATTAGGCGAGTTAGAGTATGTAGATTATATGTTAAAATTACTTGTTTTCTGGGTTTAATTCTGTACTAATATACTTTAGTTTAGAATCACCACCAGTTCACCTTCAGTCCACCTCCAGCCCGAGCCAGCTCGGTTCCAGCTCAGTTCCAACCCGGTTCCAGCCCAGTCCCAGCTCGGTCCCAGCCCGGTTCCAGCTCGGTTCCAGCCTCGGCCAGCTTAACTGCAGCCTAGGCGAAACACTACTATAGAATACTTTACTATATAGTATATCTTGAAAAGAACTGAGCTGTTAGTATCTTAGGACAGGGCACTGTAACACTACTGGTACTAGTACTAAGTATGTGTATTTGAGAAGGCATCTGACACTGTCTTTAAGAAGCATCTGATATTTCCCAGACGCCTCTCGGATACTAGTACTTATCGGAAACTTTCTCCATACTGATTCAGACTCTACTGCGTACATAATATAGAGTAACCTAAGAGGGTAGAACCAAGCGCCGTGTCACTTATACAGTATTTCCTTCATTCTAAGCACTGAGTGTTCTAATCTCTTCCCTCGGTTGGAAACTTCAGGCTAGCTTGCTACTAGTACTAGTAGTATTGAATTACTAGTAACTTTAGAGCGGTTCATTGGCGATTGGAAAGTAAGTACATACTTAGTCCTTACTAGTAATACTAGTAGTACATAGAGTATTAGATCAGTTTAAGACTAAGTTTGAAGTGATCTGGAAGTGATCCATGGAAATGGTTTCTAGGCACTTAGATCTAGCAGATCTAGATTACTAAGTCTCAGATCTCTTTTAAGATTACTTACCTCAGATCAGTCTTAACTCGCTCTCAATTCAATTCGAAATAAGTACTGGAAGTATATAACTCCCTTCCAGACTGCACCTGGCTCGGGATACACTCGGCTTTAGACTGAGTTAGACCCTATGGGAGAGGCAGGGGAGTACTATTACTTAGTACTATGTAGTCTCCAGATCGTCTTACGTTCGAGCCACCACTCCAGATTTCCCGCTCGGGGTGGCTCGTTACGACTACTTAGTACCCACGGTTCGATTTCGTCAGCAGGCACTGGCACCAGTAATGCACATGATGGTCCGGTCGCCGCTTTACACGGCTAGAACATACGCCTTATGTACTCCGTATGGCGTAAGTACTGTATACCGGTAGAAATACTCCGTATGCGGCCAGAAATTGCTCAGAAATACTATGTACGGATAATCTCTCGGGCCTTCGACATGCACGTTGCGCACATTACGCATTAGGGCAGCCTCGCGCGAGCTCGCGGTAGATCGCGGCGAATAAGTAAAGTAATCCGAAATATTAGTGCGACGGAGAGAACCCTATCGCGTGG